GGGGGGGGGGATGGAGAGACGAAAGGATGGAAGTAAATTTGACTGGGATGATAGAAGGAGAAGTGAATGTACGATTAAAAGACGGAAGGGATCTTTATCAGGAGGAGGAGGTAAGTGGGATGAGGAGATAGGGCTGTAGTTTATATTACAGATGTACATTAAGATTTAAAGTAAAGATTGCATTATGATGAACCTGTTGGAATTTAAAGAACATCTCCATTAAATTACAAATCGAATTCTGATATAAAACGGCGCGGTTTTAGCTTTTAAACCCCCAAAAAAGTGTATTTGTGATAAAATGAAAGTTTTTCGAGTTTTTCTTAATGGATTTTGTTAAAGATTGTGTGTTTTTGGCATTTTAAATTTAGGTTCAAGATTACAATTCATGAAGTAAATGGATTTTTAAAACTTGTATAACTGTTTGGCTGGTCTATGTCTTTTCTGACAGCATAAAATGCTGAAGACAGCTATAAGGATATTTTAAGGGTTATTGTATTGATACATATTTCCCTGTATTTGTCTTGTGAAACGAAACATAAAGTGAAATCAGTTAGTGAGTACACTTGAAATTTCTTTGTGGTCTATCCAGCACTATACAATATTTATGTATTTACATTTTGTCGGATAACCAAAAGACCTTGATACGCCTTGTAAAACGGTTTCAAATAGGACATATGTTTTTAAATGTCATGTTAACCATTTTCATATAAATTATCTTTCCATATTACAATTTTTTTACACAACGATCAGTCTAAAGAGTCACAATGCCAACATTTCCACCCACGAGGATTTCCAGTTTTTTATAATATGTTAAGGATGTATGCTGGTTTGTACAGGTATGCTTTTCATGTTAAAATAATCAACAGCAAGAAACATATAAAATATATCTCGTGAATTATTTCTTTGAACAATTAATTGGTTCACAGGAATGGAGTGATTGAAAATACATGTACTAAGGAAAGGTTTACTTATTAGATATCTATTAATGAAAGCACCGAAGAGAAATAATTATTTCGCAGACCATTGTTTAAAATCCCAAGGTTGCATATGTATGTATCATATCAATCATGATCAGACAATCAAGAAGTCTGCTGTCTAAATCCGTCTACAATAATGTGTGCTAACTGAATTTAGATGGCAGATTATTTTTGCGACATCCCTGATACCCCATGCTATAATGTACAGGGTCACCCTGGTCGTGACAGGTCACGTTATTTTCTATGGCACATCGTTGACGACATAATCCGACACCGATTCGCCAGTATCGATTTGCCTTATTTAATATATGGCGCGTTATAAGCATTGTAATTAAAAAGGTGATATTGATATTAACGTGCAAGCACGAACTTTTCTGTGATAAAGTGATTCTCAATTTTCTAAAAGCACAATCGGTACACTGTGGCTGACACGTAGGGATACACTAACACCTGGGAACGAACACGGAATGGAACAAATATCCGGATACGTTGCGAGAGCCAAACTCCAATAATGACCATAAATAAATATGTAAACACTCTTTAAAGCTTGATTGATGTGATAGGGCAAGGCATCGCCTGCTTGGAGATTGAAGAACGCGTATATTCCGTGACGCATACAATGCATACAAGATATTAAGATGAGAAATGCGTTTCTATGACAACAAGCAGTAATGTCGAAACAATAACTGTCACATTTTCCTACTGAATTCAATTACGAGTTCAGAAAAACGTTAATTTTCTTATAACGTAATGGTGTTTTTCCCATTTGTAGATCGCTTGGGGAAAGGCGGAGAGCACATGCCTTACACGACCCTTTGTGGGGTTAACTTCTTCTCGCGCCTACGAACCCCAAGGGTATTACTTAATGAATTGTTGTCTACATCTTCAAGATATTGGGGGGGGGGGGGGGGGGATGTATTGTCAACGTAGCTGGGAATTTAATGGCCAAACTAATGACACGATACGTTTTTGTAACTGATCACGTCTCAGTGAAATAACTAAATATGTATTGTCAGTTTTTCATTTTTATGTAAAAAAGCAGAATCGCTCCGATGATCTTGTATATGCTTCAAATCAATAGATCAAAGTTAGAATTAGGCCTTAACAAGTAATAACCTTTCAAAAACGAAGCTTAGATGTTTTAGATTATGCAAAATCGAATGAAGAAAACAAATTATAAGATATGTATGTAGCCTAACAATGTTTCCAATCTTGGTATTGGAATGTATTGTAAAAGGGGCGAGAAAGACATCCCCTATTTTGATTACATCGTTACATAGCTTTGTGTACCGGTCTCGGGGAAGCTTTTTATCTGCCGGAGGGACAAGTTGTAGGGGTCAAGGTCAACTCACTGCGACACCTATTTGTAACAAAGACTAGCCAGTCCTCTAAAATACCCCCACACACGTCAACCCGTCACCACTGGGCGGGGAAGAAAGCCCGCTTGTATGGTGACATGATTACCGAAATGCGGATCAATTTCAGCGGTGTAACTTGCAGTAACATTGTCGGTTGAGTGATTGGAGATTTACATTTCATCACAGCCTACAAGTTCACTGCTTCCTGTTGTCAGCGATGTTTACGAATTCTGTTTTGTTCGTGGAGAAAAAGAAGCAAGCTTAGATCGTGCAAATCTGTCGTTCACTAGCTATCGGCAGGGAGTAGCTATTTTAACGATACTCCGCTATCCTCCGCATGGTGCTGATAGCTTGACAAGCTCTGGAAAATATCTTTATTGTAAAATGTGTGTGATATTGAATTCATTTCAGTGACATTTTTGTAGAAGTGTGTTATTCCGTGGCATACATACCAAAATAGGTCGTTCATCACTCGGATTTAAATAATGATGACGATCCCTAAGTTGCTATTAAATTGAATTGGATTTAATATAATGTCATAACGATGGATTTATCATCAGCCCTTGTGCTGGTTTTTATGGTAAGTTGCTTTCGTAGATAAATTGTCAAATGTGATATTTACCCTTTTTGATTTGTCCGATACAATACTTTTGAAGCCAAACGTCTATATGTCATAAATAAATACTAGCCAAAGATAATTTAAAAGTTACTGAGGTTGCAAAAATATCGCGAGCATTTTATCTCTAACCTAGCGAATGTAAACATTAATCAAATGAACTTAACGACCTTTCTTGAATGAAGATAACGGCGTTATTTGGCATTAATGGATAACAAATTAGCAAGACGCCATAGAAAATGGTGGGGGTTTTGATGACGTGACGGAAAGATAAGTCGGTGTATAGTTAGCATGGCGTCTGTTTGTGTAGCTTGTGTAGAGGTGAGGATGTAGTTGGTCCCTTTAACTCAAACTTCTCCATACCAATGTCAAACACTATTAATCCAAATTCAACTTACGCAAGGAATTCGTGCCTGTCTTATAATGCATTCGCTTTCTCGATGTCGTTACTTGATGTTATTTATTTCGCAATTCCAAATTAACACTTTCAAGTGAATAAAACCATGAACAGGCCAATTAAGTATTATGAAGTGTAAATGAATAATCTGTTTAATTGTTTGGGTAAGGGGGAGAGGGGGGGGGGGGTAAAGTACAGTAATGACGTTCTGCTAGTTAATACTATACACAAATGTAAGACCAAATACTCAGAAAACGTTAATAGAGCGTAACCCATGGAATTTCAAGGATGACAAGACCTCAGAAAACTCCTGAAATCAATCAAACTTACCTTGAACTAAAACGAAATTCTCATTTAATATAAACAGTACAAATATTTCTGATCTTGACAATACACATTCAGTAAAACTAATCCATTCGGGGTCATTCGATAACCTGGTTCGAAACCAATATTTGTGATAAACACATTTGGCACTGTCCCATGCAATATATAAGCCAGCAATCAGGGGACTGGTATTAAATGGAGGTCATATTACAGTAAAGTATAATATGTGTGTGTGTGTGTGGCGATTTATAGCACTATTTGTATGGCACACGAGGACCCACGTTTACGTAGTGTAGTGTGACACGTGTTATAAGAACAATGACCGCCAAGCTTTCCTTAAGAATATAAAATATGATTCATTGAAAAGATAATTTTCAACCACTTAAGCTCATAATTATAATTCCCTACCATCTCCTACCTTACTCTCTCCATCTATTCTGGAAATGCGATGATCTGAAGTTGCTCTTGAAACGTGCTCTTCGAGGACTTTAATTTACAATATAGAATGGACTGCATCAACTTTATCGAGATAAACTCCCAATCGTCAAATCATTGTTTGTCAAATATTATGGTCATAAGAACACTTCTGAGTTAAACATGATTATTCAAGTAATTTGTTTGATGAGTAAATGTTTTGTAACAAATCAGGTTTAGACATATTTCTGGTAAGGATCAATCCGTGATATTTAGAGTACAGTAAGATCAGAGAAATTTTAAGGGGCGTACTTCGGACAGAGGGAGCTCCACGATATGACGAGAACAGTATCACTTTTTTTATAAGTACACGTTTAATTCCGGACCTGTATTTGTTAATTTAGTACACACACCAAAGTACCATCCCTCATTAGGTCTGGATAATGTGATGTGGTCATTTTTTAAATCCATGTGCTCTGCTCTCGATATACATGTCCATTACATATCTTCTGTAAACAACAAGTATGATACCCTAATTTTTCGGAGATGTGATTCGGTGAACGACCCATCCTTTTCTAAATTGGTGGTGCTAACCTTCTTTGAGACGTTGACTATCAGGAGGGTCGTGTCGCTAAACCCTCCCAGGGAATTTCACCTACTTGGCCTGTCCTATTAGAACACAAACAGAGTAACTGACCCCACTCCAGGTCTTGTCGCGTGTTGTGCTGCTCCCCAGTGAGTCGTTATGGCGATGCGTGTAATTGACGTATTTGGAGTCAAATTGCCGTTAAACAACTTGTTTGGGAGTACATAAACCACAAAATGAACAATTTAGCTCTCTGCCGATTAAATGTATAGAGGCATGCTTCCGGCTTGCATTACCACAAACAGTTGAAGATTCGTTTATAAGCCCGCGTTTACGTATCATACCCCTTTCATTTTTATCTACATTTGTATGCTCTGCAAATTAATCGTAATAAGTTGTCGCTTAAATCCTATTGTTTCATGTTTCCTTCTGATAAACGGTAAATATGTTGCTACCTGCAGCAATAGCCCGTTACATGATACTATAGTAAAACTGTCTGAAGTAAACGTTTGGATTGGCCATATAAAGGTCTGATATTTAAAACTTAATTTTTTTTTCTTTTTTTTTTTTCTGAGCAATTTGCGCTTATTTGGAAACACTTATGTTATTTCGCTGTATTTTGCAGATTGCTCAAGAAATCAACGCCATTGATGGAAGCTGGTCGACGTGGAGTCAATGGAGTGAGTGTTCACGATCATGTGACGGTGGATTAACCAATCAGAGACGGCGTTGTTTGGGCGACAGGTTTCGATGCAGGGGTCCAGATGTGAAGTACAAGTTGTGTAATGCACAGGTATGTTATATGGACGCCCATCGATCACACAATGATCCAGGAAATAGACATGTACCTGGAATGCAAAGAACTCATTGTACTGAAAGAGCTGATATTAAAACGTTCTGCAACATTTAATGTTGCAGAACGTTTGTTTGTTCGTTTCCTTTTGGTTAAACGTACCCGCAGCAGCTCAAGTCATTTGATGACGACAGCATAAGGAGATACTGTAAAGTAGGGAAGAGAGAAAAAGGAAAGATACATATTCCAAGTGATACAATGTGGGTAGCAAATCAATTTTGATTTCTTTAATGTCCTTTTAGCAAAAGACAAAGAAGGAAATCCCCGATTGTGCAGGGAACCCTACATGAATTGCACAGCGTGCCTATTATTTCTCCGAACCTGCAGTAGTAGTATACATCAGTAAATAACAAACAACTTAATGACCAACAACTTTTGTAGAATGTAAATATTCAGACAGAGATCGTTTTATATCGTTTGAAGACCATGAAGATGGAACATTCCAGTGAATTGGCAATACAAAGAAGCCACAACGTTGTTGCAAAACAAGTGTAAACCGTTGTTATATAACTACTGTGTTGTGATGACATGAACACCTAGATAAGTCAACAAACAAGCAATCATTGTATGAATGGCACTGCCTTCTAATGATTTATGCAAGTGCGAAACGCAGAGTAACCAACCCCATGAGTTTGAACTTTTAGCAACACTACAATATTGAATCAATAATGTAAAATTTTGATTTCTGTGGGGGTTTTGCGGGCTTTTCAACCCTTCGGTGTTGCCACGAATGTGTACTGGTTCCCCTCACGATGGCATTTTTATCAAATTCGTTGCATCCTGCTATGTTAAACTAATTATATTGAATGCCGTTTTAATTGTATTCTTAATGTGCAGCTTGCACTAATAGTTGTCACGTTAAAGTAATCAAAGAGGACTGGAAATCTAAAGAGTTTCATAATGAAATCGTTAATTGTGGCCTTAGTGAGAAGTTCTGGAATCTCCCCGCCGCATTAACCCGAATGTAAATCATAATTACACACTCTAAACGTAATCAAAATTCAAATTGACGTGTCTATTTGACACGAACTGAAATATTGATTTAAGATGAAGCTGGTACTTTTACGCTAATATTACAGCAGGTTATTCATGATTCTGGAACAAAGCAAGAGTTGGCCGACCTACTTACTATCGTATCATGCAGACGTTGAATTCATATTATCATGTTTCATAAACACTTTTTTTTCAAACAAAAATCTTTAGAACGACAGGAATCTGGCAGGTAATTACTATTCCCTTACCCCAATATGATAAAGTTTCTCATCAGAAAAGCACATTTAGCTGTTGGTTTTTATTATTATTACCATTAGACTTTATTTTTTTTATAGTTTTTACCATAAATACAAGACAGCCGTTGATATCCTAGTAACTTTAGGTATTTTAAAATACTACAAAAATTACGTATCTGTTCATTCATTCTTTAATTGATTCATTCATTCATTAATTGATTCATTCATTCATTAATTGATTCGTTCATTCATTAATTGATTCATTCATTCATTCATTAATTAATTTATTCATTCATTAATTGATTGATTCATTCATTAATTCATTCATTCATTCATTGATAGATTCATTCATTCATTCATTTATTTATTTATTGTAGGCGTGTTCGTTTACCTTTCAATCATTGGAGGACCAAGTGTGTGAGATGAAGAATGGTGTACCAATCAATGGGAGATACTATCGCTGGGTACCACTCTCTCGACAACAGTACCACTGCTTTGTGATGTGTGAGGATGAACACCGAAACATTCCGAATGTACTGGAGGTGCACATCTCGGATGGAACGAGATGTGGGCGAAGTACGAATCATTACTGCATACAAGGGAAATGTGAGGTACGTTTATAGTGCATGATGTATATACAGAAATTGTACCTTGATCTAGGTTTTATCTCAGAATGATAACGACACAAACAACCCAAGATAGATAAGAAAGAGAAAATGAATTAGAGGTACCTGTCTTTTTCGTTTGCTTCTTATCAGGAAAAGATTAACACTTTTTGAAGATGTCAAATGAAAAAATATTTAGGTCATAGAGGGAAGAAAAAAGTAGCTGATATAGAAGAAAAATCTTTGGTGATTCCCTAAAAAGTGCATGGTTTATAAAGCGTTAAACTGCATAATGTTCACGGTTATAGTCCCATAATTCTAAACAAGATCACAGACAAATCAAAGAACTCGCTTTAGTGCGTGATGAATATCATTCCCTGAATAGTAGTGACTGTATGAAAGAATAACTGGCGCTCAAAAAGAAGTAATAAGCATTTTCATAATGGTATGCACAAACAATTGTTATCTTAAACTAAATAGGCACGAAAAAAGATTATTTTTGAAAGAACTTCAGCGCTGTCTGTAACCGGATTGGTCGATTGGTTTCTCCTGCTGCAAAGGGCTCATAAATTTGATAGATTATCTGGAGAAAGATGCCTTTACTTCCGTAAAGTAATTGGAGCTTCCTTCATGCTCCTCTGCCAGAATGTATTTCGAGTCCTGCTTCTGAATATTGCCGAATTTCATACCAACCAAATGAGGGTAAAGTAGCTTTTTCGCGTCGAACACACCTCACTGTTCCTGGATCTATGAAAAATACAAATCTCAAGCCTCGTACAGTGTAAACATATTTAAGAACCAGAAATATACAGCTTATATAAATTCTTGTCACGCTTTTTCTGAGTAATAAATTTTACTAACGTGATATGACCTTATTGGATCTGAGCTAAAAGTGATTCTGAGATATCTATTCTTGCTACTAAAATTCAATGAGTTGCCATCACAATAAATTCAAGATCTTCAACTGTATCGCTTGAATTTTCAAGTCCTTATTCAAAACTTTTTTGTTTTCTAATAATGAAGTAGAGCAACGTAGATATGTATTTGCCAGAAGACCAGTCATTGTACCTGTACACTGGTTCATATTGCATACCCAGCAAATGGTGAACCATTAAATATTTTCTTTACATCATTCAGCTCTGTTTGCAATCTCTTGTTGTAGAACATCGGTTGTGATGGCTTTATTGGGTCTAGAGCGGAAGTTGACGATTGCGGTGTATGTAAGGGCGATAATTCTAGTTGTCATCAACATGCCGGAAATAGACTGTCAGGAAAGCCGCCAGATACTCCGTACCAATGGGATGTTCGGTGGGAACCTTGCTCGGCTACGTGTGGTGTAAGTCTTTGACAACAGTGCACGCATAATGAACAATGAGAGTATGGATGAGTAAAAATCAAAGTTAAAATCGGCAGGTATTTAATTTCCTTGCTTAACGTGGCTTCTATTGATACCACTCTTAGCATTGTAAACTAATGAAAGGGCGTCATAATATTTACATCAAATCGTGAACTGTGTTCTCTAGATTGACCAACATTAGCACAGGCAATAATTATATTTACAAAAACATTATGAATCAAATAACCGTTGTTTTACCAGGGATATGCAAATCACGTTAATGTTACATTTGGATTAAACTGCATTTATTCGAGTCATGAAATACATGGCATGAATACTACAAATCACGTTAGCAAACATGATGAGGAAACGTGTGATGTGTACTTATATAAATCCTTCTCATCTTTCTAACAAACTAGTGGCCTTATAGATTACTAGCAATTGATTAAACTACAGGTAGTACAGTGGTAAGGGACATGTAACGAAATGTTGGTAAGAAAGGCGATCAAGGCATGTACGTCTGGGAGTTTCATACTTGTGACAATGTTTCGAAGGCAGCAAGGCAAGAGCAGTTAGGACTATAATGTTACATTAAACGTTCATCAATATTTACAAAATGTTTCAGAATCGACAGGTTTGTGAAATAACATTAAATGTGTTGACTACTCTGTAAACGCATACGTAGATGTGAGCACTCAGTAAAAAGATCTCTATCAGTGTCGTAAATGACCTGACATCTGAAGCAAATACCTGACACAGATGTTAATGGTATACAAAAATGAAACGATTGTTGGAAATTTAATAATGTACCACAGGACAATTTGATCAGTTTGTCACGGGACAATTTAATATGTTTGTAAACATTAACTTGTGGCCTGTAGTAGGTTTAAATTGTACTCTCCTGGTTTAATTAACATTACATGTACCATATTAAATCAAAGTCGGAGTTATTTTATAACGTTTTCAAAAAGAGTATTTCAGTTATTTTCTAGGTGATGGTTTTATATCGAATTAAAAAAATGAAACGTGTCACATAATAGCGTGTTCTTTTTCTTCTGAATTGCATTTTGTAAGCTCGTTATCATTTTAAAACCGGATCAGCTCTCAGCGTGCACCTGTTGTGATAATTGAAGATAAGTGTTGTGTACATTTGTACCTGGACTACATAATACCCATTCTCGTTTAAATTTGACATGTCAAAATGTAATTTGGTAATTAATCGTCGATGGTGCTGTCAACTTCACGATTCAATTTCATTTTATTTGTTGTTTTCTCAGATATTATCAAAGTGCAATAGACATCTGAAATATACCCAGCTAGCTTTTGACACTTTAAAATATTTCACGTTGTTAAGCACTTCACACGGTTAGCTATTCGTTACAAAATTGAACCATTGTCTTTTTTGTACCAATGCACTCAAGCGAATGAAATAAAAATTTCTTTCTAATATATATTTCCACTTAGAGCAGTCTTTTCGATATCTTATATTTCCCATTAATTTAACCCACGCATGTTTTTTTTAAATTTTAGTATTTTTTCTACATGAATTTGACAGCATTATTCAGATGAATTTGTTAGGTAAATAACATAGCTTTGTCGTATAATGATAGAAATATATTCAACATATTTGGGTTTATTGAATTTAAAATTCATTTATGTAAGGTCTCACTTCATAATATGGTGTCCATTACAGCTTTTACAAGTATCATAATTAATAATAGTTTCTTAATCAACCCAGAATTGTACTTAACACGATTGATGCTTACATTATTTAACACTTAAACGTCAAGGTTTGTCGAATTTCATACATTATCAAAAGCTATTTCAGTTATTTCGGTCAACTTATAAGATCAAATGATAACATTTCTCGGGACGGCGTAGACTGAAATTTCAGTCTCCTAAAACCATTCAAATGCATCTGATAAATTGACATTTGCTTAAAGATATGTCGTACAGATTAGAAGGAATTCACTTTAAAACGTTAAAGACTGTAACTGGATACAAGACTTATAACAAAATACATGTATACACCAGTTCATTAGCGCCAAAACGTTATATGAGCATTATTGAGACTGAACTTTTCGGTCTTGGGAAGGAGTAAACAGACTGAAATAATTTTCAAGACAAATGTATTCGGACAGGCGTCTTACATGCTGTTGGGGTTTTATAATTCACTTAGCATACATGTACTAGGCATCGTTATTCTCTGTCTTTGCAGGTTATTGTTATAATATGTAACAAAATGTTTTTATTTCTTTAGACAGGGTACCAGATTGCTTCGTTCGATTGTAAGGACATGCGATATGACGTCATTACCTATGACTTCTCGTGTACTAACCCGCGTCCTCACGAGATCACGAGAGAATGCAGGGCGAGGCCATGTGAACCGGGGTACGATAATATATATCATTTATGGTGAACATTGAATTGTAAACTTTCTAAAATAGAAATCACAATTTTATATTTATGCTTACCATTTAGATCTTTGTGATATTGGAAGTATCATGGGCATGCATACTAATAAAATTGAACATTGTCATATACAGTATATTTCGGTTTTGCGGATAGTTTTAATCATAAACATGATTTTTATTTTTATTTTTATAGTTTTATTATGATTTCAGAGCTTTTCAAGCGTATTACTTATGGAATGATTTACTGACAGTAATTATCATATCTGAACGCATAGAATTATATTTTGCCTCTATCACCAGTCCTATATCCATCCCAATAGGTGGCAAGTTAGCTCTTGGTCAGCCTGTTCCGTGCCATGTGGAGGAGGCAAGAAGGACCGAAAAGTTAAATGCATGCTGGATACCGGAAGAGGACGAACGACACCTTCACCGTCATACCGATGCCCTGATCCAATGCCAATTTCGGAAACTCCTTGTAATATGCAATTCTGTCCGGCATATTGGCAGACAGGGAGATGGTCAGAGGTATTTATTAGAAACCCCTTAAATAATTTTCAGTGTTTTTACACTAGAGTTATGAAACGACGGGCAATCTTTTTCGCTCTAGAGGAAATTTTAGGAACAGCGTATTTATGAGTTTATAAATGAGTTTTGTACCTTTATTTTTAATATCTTTAACGTTGGCTCTGACGATCACCAACTGCTTGAAATATTTAAAGTATTTTGATTGGCAATCATCCTACCTAGTTCACGCAACACAGCAATGTACAAAACAATTCTACTTAAAATTCAAATTGTTACCTTTCAAAACATTGTCACGTCAACTTAATCCGGCGTTACACTTTCACGAGATAATAACTCGGCCTCATATTTCAAAAGTCAACCGCTATTTTGTAATCGCATCTGTGAAATAACGAGAATGTTTATCTAAATTTGAGTCGTCGGTGCCAACAGTCTAGATAACCATGTATTTTATATCGTATATCAACATTTTCTTTTTTCAGAAAAGTGTATAAAACCCCCTAAGTTTAAGAGTTTAAGTGACTAAATTGTACGTTTTGGGTATCAAAGGCCTGTCATAAAAGCGCTTGACACTGACAATGAAATTGTTTGTGTGTCTGTTTCATTGGCGCCAAATAGCTTTGATACACGTAATAGCTGTAACGTAAAGTGGACCCGGCTATGTCGCTGGTTCAGCAACTGTTACACGGACCGAGAACGTCGGTATTATGTGATACATACACTGTGTCGCTGTTAGAAACTATTACCTGTCTCCCAGTTTTAATATGTTACCTGGAATCTTAGTATTTCCACTTTCCGGTATAAACTGATCCTTATACGTCGGAAATGCTGCCGATATTGTTTTTATGAAATCTAAACCTATCATCAATTTCATGGGATGATAATCACGTTAAGACATATATTCTTGTCTCTTTCTTGTTCCATTCGGTCTCTTCTACAGAAGTATTAGTGTATGTTGCGATGTTTAAGTGGTAGCAATGAAGAGTTTGAAGAGTACAGATTAAAAATTCCTGTAATTTGATTAGCTTAACGATCTATTACTCTTGACTTCGGACGAGATTTCATTAATCTATATAACGTACAGACATACAATGTCCAGCGTACGAGCACAGTCTGCTCCAATATAACCACAGATTGGTTTTGCAACAACTTTTATTTGAAACCAAGCTTTTAAATGTAATTATATACATGTATAGGCCTCACAAAATCGTGATTGGTAACCAGATCAACGTTTATTTCGTTTTCTGAGGGGGTTTTCATCTGACAATGTACATGTACTATATTGAAAGTTTACAGTGCAAGGTAATGCAATCTGCCTGTATATATATAGTATGTCCAGCATGCTTTCCAGACAAAAGCTGAGACGAATAGGCAACCTATTTCTGTTTCATTTTCTTTGTTGGCGACATGCGTACTGTAGAAATCCTACAGTGTAAGAGACAAAACTGATAGGTCATTAAATAAAGACGTGATACTTGTTGTGGTAAACATTATGCTTCTCAAAAAATGCTAGGTTTGTAGATGCAGATAAGGTCTTTCTTTATCAACATTGTAAAGCTATAATGGTTATGAGCTACGCTATTTTTACGCATTCTGTACATATACTGTAGCAATGGTTCGCCATGCCATCAACTCATATATTTGCAATCTTGAACATTATAAACGAATGTACATCGTCATTATTATATTCATGAACTCAAATTTGATTTGGTAGCTTTTGTGCTTCAATAATGAATTGGAACTCTTAAACTACCATTTTGATGGCAGATAGCAAAATCACGCGAACATTATCACAACACTGCTTCCTGTGTGTCATGCAAAAATATGATACCGTTGTAGGTGTTACCTGGCTTATGTTATGTTATTATAAAGGAACGTTACATGAACTCAAAAGTGAAGAATGTATATTTATGTGATTAATACAACTGAACCCCCCCNATTACTTTGTTTTTAAACATCATAACTGATTTGTTTAAGAAATATTCAACATAATTATATAGTTTAATATATAATGAGGGTGGTAATATATTGGGGGGAAATCAGCGAAGGCAGAGTTTATCATTTTTAAAACATATTCGTCACCCAAATCATTGATTTCACTTTTGTATACAAACATATGTTGATTATATATATTTTACTTCACGATATCGTAGTATTTTTTGTACTTAAAATATAAAGCGTAAGGCAGTGTGATCTAGGTAACCAAAGTACTTAAAATAGATCGTTCTTCTGCATGTGCAAACATTTATCACGCGATGCTTAGTTTTCTTCATTAAAAAACAAGCCGCCGTTGTTTCCAATTTTCCTGTTCTGACAATTAAACAGAAGTGTTATCTTCATAACTTCCTTTATTTGGAGATTTGGAGTGGTTCAGAGGATTTTACATTAAAGAGGTACAGATTATGATTTTTTTTTAGAATGTTTAGAAAAGTGTATACATGTTCCCCTGGTCCTATTGACGAGGATGTAATATCATACACTTTACATATTAGATGGGCATATACACGACATCGTAGCTAGGATGTAATTGTATAATAACAATGAAGGTAATAGCTTGTTACCTTGGCGAACAGCATACATTGAAATATAAGTGTCCCAAGTAGGTATGGGGATCGAGGTACCAAATGATACTCATAATACAATTACAGAAAAAACGGACATTTACATGTAACTATCGCATGTAAATAATATAGTTTTGTATGATAGTAATAAGAGTGACACTTCAAATGTGTTTTATTTTATTTTATAACATATAAATGAATATGTGTGCATTGTATAAGAGAGATGATCTGGAAATCATCTGTGCTAATTCGCTTAATTCGTTGTCACCCAATGTTTACTCCCCTTGTCCGTCTCGTTTCTGTATATGGACTGGGTAAACATTTGTATTTGCTTTATGTGATCACCAGGAAAATTAAATACTTACCGTAATTCGTGATCATGACTTTCGTTTGATGGTGATCTATTTTGTTCTTCAGTGTTCCGTTTCCTGTGGAATAGGCAGGGAAAGTCGACCTGTGTTCTGTGTCAAGATTCCGATGCAAGGGTCAAAGGTCAATGTGTCCTCTATGGAATGCCGTGGCCCTAAACCATCAGGTGTCCGGTCATGTTCTAGACCGGAATGCTACCAGAGTGTCTCCAGAGTTCCCGCCATAACTCTACACAATGACACCGTCTTACAGATAAGGCGGACGAAGCGTATCCAGCTCCGTGTGGGAGAGACTGCCACTTTATTGGTAGGACAACCTGTAAAAATGATATGCCCTGTGCAGAATTTTAATAAGAAACTTTTATTCTGGACAAGAAATAATAGACTGATTCCAATGTCTAGAACAGAACGAGTGTTTGTATCTAGGAACGGAGCTTTAAAGATAAAGCGGACAGATCCTACCTTGGATACGGGTGAATTCACATGTATAGCAGGGTTGCAGAGTGCAACAATACGTTTACGTTTTTCTTCTAAAAAGAAAGCTATGAATCAAGGGAGGAAATTAATGAAATCTGTAATAAAAGACACTGCATCAGTGTCAGCATCCCTTGACCAGCCCCAGAGCGACAAGGTCCCGGGGCCTCGAGGACCGCACGCAGTACGGCGTGCTATGATGGACGCAATGTTGGATAGTCTTGGTGGCGACTTTGTCTTCACGACAGCAGATTGGAACACTTGTTCCCGCAGTTGTGGGAAAGGCTTGCAGACCCGTAAGGTCACATGTGTCAAGGCCACTAGCGTGTATATCAAGGTTGTCAATAAGGAGGCTTGTAACGGAATCCAAAGACCTCCGAGTGTCCGGCCGTGTGTCATCCAAGAGCAGTGTCCAAAATGGGTCGTCGGGGAATGGAGAGAGGTAATGGTATTTATTTTGTTACTTTATTGACACTTTGCCCGTTCTTACTGTTCTGTTTGTTTTCATGACAATAGAGAGCATCTTCTTATAAAGTGCACATTGGATGACTTATATTTCAGTCTAGAAATTTGTTCTACCTATATATAGCTTGTGTATACAATCTGTATTTGTGGAACGTACACCCTTAAATGATCAAGATTTGTGTTTCTAAGATAGTAGCAGAGACGATGCTGTGATTTTTGAAGTATATTGAACCGACAATTTAACTCTGTATTTAATCCTGCGTTCTTGTGTGCTATAAACGGTTTGTCTTGTACGTAAAAAACGTTTTTCGATAAAACTGGATATTTTCATTTCGTTGTTACCTGTTGTTACATCGGATATGTACGAGCGGTTTGATCTGATACAGTCGACTCCTCCGGAAGTTCATGTGTCAGTGCATGCTTTGTGTACATTTTGTACAATGAACAGTGGTATCGTTTCAAACCTCGGGTTAGCCTTAGCGGAGAAAAGATGTTTTCTGTTTTGATCATAAACACCACATACAGTGCGAAGGGTTGGTAATTAAAACGTCCGATGTTCTTAGCTGGTAATCTGTTTACAGGCAATTGTAGAAAACCCCGAGCGTATATATATATCACTGAAGTGTCTAGCTGTAACAACGCCGATTTGTTAACGTTAAATCCAGCCCATTTACCCTGTCAAATAAACCACTAACTGTATATAATTTACGACTTGAGTTTTGATGTTACATTGTAGTTTTTAATGTTTATCATATGTACTACCATGGATAACACATATTTGGCGTGAAGTACTTAAATTGGAGTAAACATTTGATATTAAGAGAACGTCTCTCCGAGAGCGTAACTAGCTAGACGAATGTTTCAGTCCGAAATTTATGACTTTATCAAATCAGCGGCATATATAGAAGAATGGAATCAAATGATGTCATAACTGTACCACCTGTTTTTCGTTTTCATTGCATAATTACAAGGTTCGTCTAGTGTCTTCTAAAGTCGTAAAGTCACATAAGACGCATTGTTAAATACACTGGAACGAAATGACAGAGATGTCTAAATACTCTACACAGAGAAATAACAACGGTCATGTCCACCATATCCGTTTCTGAAGTCTTTCACTTGATTCTTGTCTTCTCTCAGATTTTGAGATAAAATCTTCTTCTGTCTGTTTGTAACAGAATGATATATTTGATGATGATAAATAGACTTCGAATAATATAATAGGCAGCTGTTCGTCTTGTCGATTCTAACATCAAAGAAAAACCAAAATCTCTGATGTACCACCCATTTGGCCATTCACCAACCACTAAACGGATCATGCCGCTTCTTAAAGTTAGAAAAAAAACTTTGGTTGAAAAGATTGGAATATGTTAAGTAACCCTGTATTCACCTAGGTTATGATGCAATCAACCCCTTTTCATGATCATTAGCATTAATTTCTGAATCAATTATAAAAATTAATAGTATGAGTTCTCAATGAACTTAGCATTTGTAAAATATCTTCTTTTCAGTTGAAAAAAATATTTATTTTTCAGCCATTATTAATTTTTTTTTTTCATTTTTTTTTTTGTCCTACAGCACATATTTTTTTCAGCCATTATTTGTCTACGATGGATTGTTACATCCTTCACAAAATCTCATTCATATTATTATTTATCATAATACGAATCTTTTGATGTTATTCGCTGGCTGTCGGAAAATGAAAATGTGTGTAATGAAAAGTTGCCACCGAACAAGGGAACAGGGTATAAAGAAACGATTTCGCGTTGATGTCTGATGAGTTTCAAACTGACTTGTACTGCGTATCATAAACATTAAACAAGTATTGTATGTTTTATGATAATTGTTTTCAATTTAGTGCTTCTCGAAATACTTTATGTCTACTTTACGATGTACTTTAAAGTATAGCAAAACAACCTTAATAAGAAATCAAGAGAAGACAGATAAAACAAACCGATGAAACTAGGACAAAATATGAACAAAGGAAAGACTAACACAGAGATTAACACAACGTGCAGATTGAAAAGACCAGGTGTTCCGGAAGGGTAAGCGTCGTCTGCATCGACGACGACACCCACCGTAAAAGACTAGTTCGAACCCACATACTTTCAACGCACTAGGCCTGTGATAACGAAACTATAGAACCGCTATTGAGCATTATCAAAAACGACGTTATGAACAAGAAAATAATACTAATATTTCACAATAAGATCATGTCGGCGACCAAAAGATTTGCCCGAAGTTTTCATCGACCTATATCTCTCAAATCTCTGTGCTGTAAGTTTGTCTGCCAGCATTCGGCATTAACATTACCAGGGAAATCGTGGTATTTGGGATAAACCCATTCTATATTGAATCAACTACGATATTAAACACTGAAGTTAAGAGGAAAGTTCATGATCGGATAATCGATATGGTCACTTTAATTGTGCAGATGAATAGTAGGTCGTCCCTGTTATTGATGTTGTTAATAAAAAAGATCGAAGTAAGCGGCCGGTGAAGATAAATATGTAGGCTCGGTTATTTCAAGTTTAGGGGTACCTGTAGAAGGTCGATTTAGTCAATGAACTTCTATGATCACATCTTCATATGTATGAAAATGAATCTGACGAATTTGGAAAAGTATTTTGCTGGAGGCTTCTTCTGCGGAACTCAACTACACTGCACCTTAATTTACTGGTAGTAGCCATATGAGTTAGGGTCCAAACGTTTTAAACGCACTTAAAAGAATTGTACCAAATATTTACGATATCCAAATTCTTCTATACTTTCAGTGTTCTGAAAAGCATTGCAAGAGGACAGGTCGAGCCACACAGTCTCGAGAACTCCACTGTCAGAGTGACAACAACACGGTGATACCACGTCGCCGGTGTTCACGCCTACAGAAGCCAGTGGTCAAGCAGGAGTGTGAGAACCCCTCATGTGTATCTGTCTGGAGGACGTCGGGCTGGACAAAGGTCAGTAAGACAGGTTTTCAAATCACAAAGGTAAAATATACACACGAAGTACACAGGTGACGGTCAGCGATTATGACTAATGCAACAGGTGCCTCGATCCAGATTAAATTCTGGAATTATGTTAGGATGGAGGAGGCGCAGATTCATGAATTCCTGATGAATTATGGTGATTACTAGTTACAGTTGTTATATAGGCTACACGTGTAGTTAAAAGGAGACTGTTTGTCTCTAAAACCTGACGAACGAAACATTAGCTAGTAAACATCCGGACAGAGATAAAAGTTGACTGATCAAATGTTAATACAGTTTTCAGTAATTATTGATATACAATCCTAGCTAACATATAATTACTTGTATTTATTGTATATAGTTAAAGCTTTCGTTGTATAACTGTTTCAGTGCAATCCTCGTTGTGGTCCGAACGGAAGAAAAGTGCGCATGCTCTCCTGTGTTTGGAAGGTTACCGGTAAATCTGCCCAGACCAACTGTCACACAATACCTAAACCTATTGTGTGGAAGAAATGTAAACCAAAGAAGTGTCGTAAAGGTATTTATCTCTATTAATTCTTAATTATTATCATTACATATTTTGCAAAAAACATTTTACCGCGACTTTAATCAAAAATGGTACACTTAAATCGTTAAGATTTAGAGTCATGTGGATTTATGCGTGGTATTTTTTTTTTAATTCTTAAGGAATCAGGTACAGACTAAATTAAAGTTCAGTAACTCTTGCCTCCTTGTAGAGAAATGTAAACGATATGAGGAAAGTGATGTAAGGGAGATAACTTAAAAAACGCTTCGCAAATGTTTGCATTTTTTAATTTTAGCTATTTTTGCCTTCTAAGCCACGGAAACACAACAAAGCTTTATTTCATAATTGATGATATTCTATTAAATAAATGTATGTTTCTATTTGTTTACAGTGGGATGCAGTGACAACTCGCGGTACTGTAGTGTAGTCGGGATGCTACAGATGTGTACATACCAGTCCTTCATGACGAAATGTTGTCAAACTTGTAGAAATATAAACAACTCTTAACACGTACCGGTATGTCGTATAACTATTTATTGCGATTGATATGATAAAACTAGAATTCCATTAAAAAATCATTTTGAATTTTGAATTGTTTAAACAATGATGTGACGTATGGAAGGGAGACTTGAACGATGTATGAGTGGATTCGAACATTCTGGCTTGATTGCAAGTATTTTTAGGTGTACGAACGAAACTAAATAATAGAATGTATGACAATGAAAAACTATATAGTCTATGATAGCTGAATGTGATTTATATATTTGTTGTTAAATCTTGTAAAAGATTTAGTGTCGATGATTGAGGGATGACGTTTTGCTGGAACAAATGTAGATAAGCTTCGGTTATATTTGCACAGACTACACACTAAATACTGATATTAAAATATGATAACCTATTAATAAGAGGAGAACTCTGTCTGAGGGCTTCACTTAAATGTAAACACAATTACCTATGCATAAGCGGATAACCCTGTTTGAGGGCTTCACTAAAACAAAATAATTTATGAATAAGCGGATAACCCTGTTTGAGGGCTTCACTAAAACAAAATAATCTATGAATAAGCGGATAACCCTGTTTGAGGGCTTCACTAAAACAAATTAAACTAAGAATAAGCGGATAACCCTGTTTGAGGGCTTCACTAAAACAAAATAAACTATGAATAAGCGGATAACCCTGGTTGAGGGCTTCACTTAAACGTAATAACCTAGGAATATAGGGATGTCTGAGGGCTTCGCTTACATGTAAACATAATAACTTGTGAATGATTTGGGAGCTTCACTGTTAACCATAATAACCTATAAATAAGAAGAAAAACCATATCTGAGGGCTTGACTTAAATGTTAATACAATAAACTATACATAAATGAAGAACCATGACTGAGAGCTTCACTTAAACAAAATAACCTACGAAAATTGGGATGTCTGAAAGCTTCGAATACATGTAAACATAATAACTTATGAATGATTTGGGGGTTCACTCTAAAACATAATAACCTATAAACAAGAGTAGAACCCTCTCTGGGGCATTCACCATAAAAGAAAAACCTTCCTGAAAACGGTTCCCTATAATGGGGACCCTGTCTGAGGGCTAGACGCTTTTAAAAATAACTTGAATAAGCTTAAAGTTTCAAGAGAACCTTTTTCTTGAGTTTGTTTTCAAGCTAGGTGAAACACAGCATTATTGTTTCATTTTCATGATGTACCTCTCTGGAAACATCGCTTTTTCACTTTGACAAAACTGACTTGTTTTCAACCTGATATGTTCTTAGAGCTCATGTTTGCAATCATTCGAATAAAGATTTTTAATTTCCTAATGAAGTATTTCTAAACCGGTTTATTTGTAAATAAATGAATATGAAACTAGGTGGTAGGACAAGTGTTATCATTAATATAGGAAATGCCCTAGTATTTGCCCTTGTATTTTCTACAGTCTTTGTATCCGAAATTTTAACATGTTAGTTGAAAACAACTGAAGTGACAGAATAAATGCTGCTGGTTAAAACGGCAATATCATATGATGTGTACAGTCTGGATAATAGAGATGTGTTCAAATATAGTGTGTATACGGCGCGGTATAAGCTGTAACTTCCTTTAAAGTGTTATTGTCTATACCCAACCTGCATACTCTTGAGAATCTGAATAAAATCATACCTCCAGCTATTTAATCCCAACAGAGTCTATTCCTAACGAAAATGTTACCCTAATTGTGTTCTGTTAATCAAGAGTATGTTTATGAGTGCTAGAGAGTATTTTTTATTTAGAATTCATGTACTAAACTGTTTATATGTGTGTAAAGTTGATGCTAGTCAAAAATATTTTATACTTCAAATACCTTTTTTTGTATATCAAATATTTATATTTGATAGTGTTATTGTAAGGATTCATACAACCTTATTGATCTAAAACATATTTCCACACTACTGAACTGCACTTGTGAAAACGGTAAATCAAACTTGATAAATTGATAACAGGTTTCAAAGAAATGTGCTCAAGAATTGATGACACGTTTTAATAGAACTCAACAATTGATGACACGTTTTAGAGTTACACAAAAATTGATGACACGTTTTTTAATGTGCACAAGAAATGATGGCACGCTTTAGAAGTAACCAAGAATACGCACATGTATTACATTGAAAATTGAGAATAGCTAAATAATTATTATCAATTCAGTAAGTGAGACAACATTAAGATAAGTCAGCGTTATAGTGTGGAAGGTAGGATCTATCCTTATTTATTAGGTTGGTTACATTTGCATTCGTATTCATTGATTTTTTACTGAAAATATTACCTTTATAATGCCATGTACAATCAAAATCAGACCAATGCATTTTTCGTGCGTTATAAAGAGTGTTCCAGATTGTGTTGGTTCCCTCTCCTAACTAAGGAAGGTGATCGGAAATCAAATGCGCAACATTTTTTTTAACACACTAGTCGACAAACTCAATAGGGGTATAATGTTAAATGTTTTTAGGGAAGCCGTGAAGTCATGAACACACGTCAAACACAAAATGATTCTTGGGTTAAAAATCTCAAATTTGTTCCTTTTCCATACGTTGATAATACAACTGACTGAAGCACGTTTCATAGAAATGATGATAAGTGTAGTTCACTAAAGATTCCTCAACAAATACAGAACCTCATTAATGTTAGCAAGTCTCACCTAGACGTATACCATGGGCACTGAGCTGCATCTATCCCAAGTTGATGAGGGTAATCCCGTTCTCTCATTGACACATACATTGTACTACCTCGTGTTTTACAGTTATATAGTTGAAATACGCGAAGTTGACATTTCCGGGTTATTCAAAAGGAACTGTCGTTTATGTATTATTCGTTTTCATTTTCCAGGTGTTTCGCATAGTTTACCATTAAAACTACCATTCATAAAAGATAAATTGAATCAATCACCTCTGTGTGGTGTACGCAGAAAAATATTAACCCGAGGGAATTTTTTTTTTTAAGTTGAACAAATAACGAATTCTAGGTTTCAGAAGTCTTTTTCATTGGATCTCTTCTCCATTATCCAGAAGCGTTAAATTATTTTCCTCTCTTACTTTTCTGTCGTACATACATAAAAAGTGTGGCAAAATTGATGACGTTTCCCAGGTAGCACTGCATAAAGTGATGACGCTACCCTGGAAAGACTGCATAACGTGATGACGATACCCTGGAAATACTGTATAAAGTGATGACGCTACCTTGGAAACACTGCATAAAGTGATGACGTTACCCTGGAAACACTGCATAAAGTGATGACGCTACCCTAGAAACACTGCATAAAGTGATGACGTTACCCTGGAAATACTGTATAAAGTGCTGTTTTGTAACAAAACAGAGATATCCCCAGTGAAATACTGACGTGGTGTAATTTGTGATCAAGTTGTACATTGTTTCTTTTGGTGCCGATTCAGTATCACACAAAAGGTATACATATATCTTCTCAAGAAAATTTCACAAAAAGACTAGAACAAAACAAAAAGATCTGTTTTATATTCACGTTCGAGTTTTTTTTATAAACGTTTATACATTGTATCATATTTCTAACTTTGAACAAGTTTGTACCATGTGGATTCATTTAAACTTTATATATGTGTGTAGTGTAAGAATTTGTATAGGTTTGTAATATGTGGATTTCGTGTAAAATTTAGTATAAATTTGTACTATTTGAATTACGTGTAAGATTTGGGATTAGTTTGTAAAATGTGGATTGTGAAACATGTGGAGTACGAATACATACTTTTATATCAATAACAGGTGAAAATGTGTTTATCAATGCTTGATGTGATTAAACGATTTAAACATCATCCGTTTTTCTTCTGTTTGTTATAACCAGGTTTTAACTTGTCTCTAAACCAACTTGTGTCCAGTTAATTATAATACGGCTTTTCACAAGAGGGCAACAAGTTCAACATCCTCGATATCCAGGGGTTACGCTCACTTTCGCTTTCTAAACCCCTGGAATATGTCATAGCAAAATTGAAGGCAGGAAGATAGCTGTTTGATTGGTCTCGGGTAAAAAAAATGACCGATCGCTAGGCTGATGCATGTCCTGTGTGAAGATTACAAAGGAGAGACGCCCGACTTTAAAGCCTGTCAATTTTTACCGTTACGTGACCGCGAGATTCTTTTGATGTATATCAAAGGATCGAACTAGTCTCATCAACAAGGTGGCGCACACCGAGCCTTCAATTTCGCTATGACAGTATACGAAAGTGTCACAAAACCATTAATTGAATTCAAAATTGATAAAACTATGTCAAAAAACATTATAATATTTAGTATGCATAATGTTATATTTACATTCAACATGTAATGAAGATAAGACCAGGTATCCAAGGAGGATAAGCGTCTTCTAGTCATCGATCACCCCCGTCATGTAAATCAGATCAAGGCACATCAATGAACATAATAAAAACATCGACCTTCATATCACACAAAGAAATAGCATATTTTTCAATGGGAAATCGAAAACAAGTCAAACCAAAATATGTTTGGAATGTCATATAATAACAATCAGCAAAGCCCAGACATTGTTTGTAATGAATACTTTACAGCGGCAATACTGTCATCATACAGCTAACCAGCGTATTGGCCACTATGTATGTCAGCCATTCTCACCCGCTTCAATGGTAAGATTTGTCTGTGTACTACTTTAAACCATGGTCGCTTGCTAAACAATCTTTCGTACGGAAGGAAGACATACTAGCAAAAGTTATCTATACTTTCGGAATGAGATTTAGATATTAAATGCTAAGTTTATTTTGAACACAAACAGTAATTGAACACGTTTATTGTAAGCTTCCGCAAACATCTATATATATTTTTTATCAAGCAAAGAGTGCAAAATAAAAAAATAACTTACCATTTATTACCTATACTCTCATTTTAACCATCTATTCAATCATTTATACGCAAATTCAAATTCGATATTACCATTGGATTCTGGTCATATCATGTCGGAGGACGTTATATGTGTGTGGCACTTGAGTGAAACTAAATTATTGCAAAAACGGGAAAGGTGTTCTCACTGAAACCATGATGCACGCATATTAGCTGGAGGTGACGGGCTTACATAATTTCCTGTCATCAAAATGATGAGCTGCTTTCGTATCGTTATCCCCGATCTGAGCAAGGTTATAAATAGTACTACATACTAGATAGATTTGTGAAGCAGGAACACCACTAATGTTAAACCACATGTGCGGGTGAACATTGTTAACCCACAACGTCCGTCTCTGAAGTGTTTCTTGACTTTTTAGTGCACATGGCCGCAAGGGGCAACACGCAATCTACGTTTTTTGATGGCATAACGTAGTGTCCCTCGTCTGTGCGGGGTCATCGTTTCCTGTAAAGACTACTTAAGCTAGAATGGCTGGAGAGATTAAGAGGAAATGTCAATGTTGAATAAATGAAGGGTGTTGCTCACCAGAGGTTTGGCAACACCTTTTTTTTAAAAAGACTTTACTATTGGTGAAGAGATTTGAACCGAATTCGGTAAAGAAACCTGGGCAAAGGGATGAAATGTTCTAGACTAATAAAAGTGTTATACCTCTGGAGAAAGAAAGGCATTGCCCAAGATGGAAAATACGGCTTGATATCTAAAACACTATTCCTTAAATCCTTATAACGGAATTTTCAACAAGGTTTTATCGTAAATACATGTAACTTAATTGTTACATCTCTTCGCTCGAATGACATAAGATCAAATATAGTTGCGTAATTATCCATTGACAATTAAAATGACAAATGTATAAAATATATGTGCGCCAAGCTTAACAGGGATTCAACGTACAGACCGAAAGGTCAAAGGTCAACCGTAATACTCATCACGGCGAAAATATAATTTAAGTTTTGATGAAATACAAAAGAGAACCTGTCAAAACCACAGGTATCTGTCAATCATATTTCATATAGTTATGAATCGTTCTATGTACGTAATTTGTGGAAAGGGTCCCTATCTCATAACGTTGACTGAAGCCTGACGCACTGGGCGTTACCTTTATAATGCAACTCTGCTTCACAGATATTTGGCTTTCATTGTGAATAGTTATAACATGATTTATTCGATTTACTTTCGCTGTATTATACATTTGACAAAATTCATCTATATTCACAACAAACATAACCACAAAAATGTAACAAAGACTACACATAAAAACAAATTTGCAAGAAAAGATTTTAATTTCCAACAACAAAAATTGTAAGTATTCACAATAATAACATTAACTATGCATAGTTTACTAGTTAACCTAAGTCAACTGTACGTGTTTACGCTAACTATATATGTCCTCTACGTTAATGGAACCTATGTTTATCTAGGTTAAATGTAATTGTTACACTATATCTATGTTAATTATGCATGTTAACTACGTTACTTGTTTGTGTTTGTGAAGATAGATAAATGGTGTCTATCTACGTTAATTGTTTGTGTTTATTAATTTACGTGTTATTCAAGGTCAACTGTACATGTGAAGATAGGTAAATGGTGTCTATCTACGTTAATTCAACATGTTGATCCTGCCTAATTGTACTTGTTTATTTAGGTTGATAGAACGTGTTAATCAAGGTTAATTGCACGTGTATATCAAGGCCATTTAAACGTGTTTATCAACACTTATAGTACGTGTTTAACAAATTCAAATTGTCATCAAGGTTATTGCACGTTTTTATCAATGTTAATAGTATGGGTTTATTTATTTATTTATTTTATGTTAATTGTATGTGTTTATCAAAGCTTATTGCTCGTGTTTGTCAGGTTACTTGCCCGTCTTTATCAAAGCTGAATGCACGTTTAATCGAGGCATATTCCATGTGTTTACGATATTTAATTGCATGTGTTATGACGGATAATTGCACGTGTTTATAATGGTTAATAGCACGTGTTTATCGAGGCTTATTGCACGTGATTAGCAAGGCTCGATTCTGCTTGATAGCAAAATTAGTTATATATATATATATACATATCATTTTACTCCAGACCAGCAGGGATTAGCATTGTCGGTTCTACTGTATAATCTGGCATTTCCTGTTCCGAAATTTATAATGTAATTAGTTAAGGGTTAATATATATTACTTACTGAATAATTAACCTTTACTTAATTAATACCACTTATCCATTAGTATATGTATTTTATGTTAATAACATTCCAATCAATTAGAACGTTACATTCCTCATACTAACCATACTTAGAACCACGAGAGGTATATCATATCCACAAATATCAAAGGTGTTTCCCCAGATGAGCTTCTGTCTTCATTGAATTTTTACTACGACAATATAATTGTTAATAGTCTTATTTAAACGTAAAATTGTCGTGCTGCATACGCTCAGAAAGCGAACAGAATATATTTACATTCAATTTCCTTGTTATAAACTTGAAACAACACATAAATTAACCATGCATTACATTGATTATGTTTTATTTTCTGTCATGTGAGTGTATATTGTCTTATCTAAATGAGCAGAGCGCCTGGAAAATCCGACATTTAAGTTGATGTTGCGGTTGTAATGACTTTAATAATAAAACGTGTATATTATATCATGCGGAAACTTACTTTAGGTTGAGGTCTTTTGCATACGTATCTTTTAATGAATATAAGAGTACAGCCAACACGCGCCGTGGTGGGATTAACGTTACTACCTACTGGAAAAGGAATGTGTGAAGGCCATTTTGTGTCGATGACAATCCATCTTTATTCACTGATGAGCTTGTCATTAGTAGCTCGATACACACTACGCACTTTATAGCTATTCTGTGACGAGAATAGTCAAAATTATTGATGAGGCCTAGCCAACACAACTCACATTGATGTGCCAATCGCCGCCATATATTCAGACGTCAACAAACGTATCTTTATACGGATCATTCGAAATTCTTGCTAGGACAAGCAACATTCTAAAGGTGAGTTCATTTCTTGGAACTAGAAAACACTCGCAGTTTTCATTATTCTATCTCTTTGTAACTTGATATCCTTTATTGAAGAGGTAATCAATGTATGTACATCTGTACGTAAACTATGAAATGTATACATGGTTTGAAGATGAGAAAATGTCGGGGAAATATAATCAAGGCCGCTTCGGACAGAGTTATTATTTTTTCAACATTTTCAAATCCCAAATTTTAGTTTCCTCCATAATATACAAACGCATGTTGATTATATCTATTCTGAAACGTGAAAATGAACCTGAATGTGCTTTCGCGTCTACTTAAGTACATATTGGGCAAAGTGAAATTAATCATTTAAATATTGAATTTAAGCTGTTCTTTTACTTGCGGAAACATTTGTCACGTGATGCCTCGTTCTCATTCCACCAATAAGCAAGTGTCACAGCTCAGCAGCAGCTGACGTCATACATGTAATATCATGGCGCTGCAGCCAATCAACTTATTCTCCAAGATTGAGATGGATGGATGTGGAAATATACACTCGTGTACCCTCACTTGACAAAACTGAATTGTTCACAAGACCAGTCACAAACAACTCACTTGTAACACTTACGAAACAAAGAAGGCTTTCGGAAGAGATTTGCATATTATGGCACAAAATATCATGCAAGTGCTTTCATTAATGTAAATTCTGCCACATCTGAGATGTAATGAAACTTCTCATTGCTTAACAATTATGTGTTATTGTACGATAGACCATGCGCGTGCAACGTTCTTCTGAAAACCTCCTCGTATTGCAAATGAAAACAAATGAGTTGTGGGTCTAGGTCCATTTGTCGAATGAGGGAGCAAGTATTTACCTTTCGGAATATATTTGCTAACCAACAATTTAAAAAAAATCTATTTAACCCCTAGATTTACTAAAATCACGTCAAGGTCACGGTCCGAATATTCCGTCGAACTTATCAATATAACTTGACATTGGAGATAGGGTCTTCTATCGCAAAAATATATACGAAGTTATTGACCTTTACAGTTGGCACATACATCTTCTTTGGTGCTGATCGTTTTTCGTATGTTTACGATGAAATAAATATAAATATACATATAAATACAATACTTGAAAATAAATATACATATAAATACAATTATTAGGAGGCACGGTAGTCTAGTGGTAGGAAGCCGGGCTCGTGACCGAAGGGTTGCGGGTTCGAGTCACGGAAAGGCACTGTGTTGTATCTTTGAGCAAGATACTTTACTCCGTTTGTTCCAGTCTACTCAGCTGTTAATGAGTACGTGGTTGGGCAGTGCTAGAATTGTTGAATGCCAGCTGTGAGCGCCCAAACGGTAGCACCGGCTGTATGCTCCCCAGGGAGTTGAGAAAGATATTTGGCTGGTTGCAAAGGCCCTATGAGCAAGGAAAATAACTTGTGAACCGCTTTGAGACGACCTACGCACTAGGTTGTGATAGAGCAGTATATAAGAACCTCGAATTATTATTATAATTATCATTTTATATAATCAGGCGTAACAGGACAACTGCCCACAGGGTCAGATACAATAAAAACGCGCATTTTGTTGCGCATCACGTGACAAATATTTGTACGTACAAAAATACAGTCTAATTTTAAATAATTGGCTTGTATAGGTCAGCCTTCATAATATAGCCCTGTATTTTCATCCTGTGTGGCTATACCCTTCTATATACTTTCTATGGGAAGGTTCACTTATGAAAGCAAAGCATACATAGCTGCAACTGCTATGCAGTGTATGAATACACTGCTTGAGCACTACCGCTACGAATGCATGACTATTCTGTCAAAAATAGTTCCATAAAAAACATTATTTCAAATGTTCTCCGGTATTTTAAGCGTTTTTTGAATACGGTTGTTTGATTCATTTAAGGATTGATTCTTGCTTTGGTAGATTTCATGGAGTGATGAATGAGTTGGTCTTGAAACAAATTCAACATGAACTGCGATTGAATTTTGCTTTGATCGATTTCATGGGGTGATGAATTTGAGTTGGTCTTGAAACAAATTCAATGACTTGCGAAGCAGTTCATGTTGAATTTGTTTCAAGACCAACTCAATTCATCACCCCATGAAATCGACCAAAGCAAGATTCAATCCTTATATTTCAATCAACGTGTGTGGTTTTTTTCAATAATTGTGTACTGGGTAGAAGATATATAATCAATACTTGTTTGTATATTATGGTAGAATAAATAACTCGGGATTCGGAAAAGTTGGGAAAATAATCAACTCATTAATTTATTTGTTTTCAAAAAATTCACATCCTCGATGTCCTAGCGCTATTCGAACTTACATCTCACGCCCTGCAGTTGAAATTGCAATTATTTAAACATTCTCATCTTTACATTTAAAATTCATAGCCTTTTTAATTTTTGGAAATACATGATATAGACCTACATTTACTATTGTTTAAATAATAAAAGGCGTGACGTCCTATTTAGAGTAAATCACGATGCGTAAATAAAATCTAAATTATGTATTCACATGCATAAAAATATGACGCTCTTTACATGCATGTCAATTTTTTTTCTGTTTGTCGTTCTTCAGAATATCCTTCAGCTACAGAGTGGCGAATCCAGGGATTCCAAACACAGATGTCTAACGCCGGGAGGGCGACACACGGTATACACCAGATTTATAGTTAAATATCGTTCCTAAAAACATAATCTGTGAAAAGATCGCGTGCCTGTAGGGATCGATCAGTGAGGCGTGACGCTGACCACTGTTTGGACTGACCGCCTCCCTCAGGAACTTCGGACACAGATGGCCTCAACTATGTAGACTAGACATCGTCATGGTCAAATCGGATGTCCCGAACGATGGCTATCCAATGGTGAGTATTCTACTCTTTAAATTTTTAGAGTTTCATACTTTGTATCAAATGTTTTCTCTCCATATGAAAAATGAATAGACAATCTATGGCGTTTACATAGATAAATATAATTAATGTAGACTCAACACTCTTGCATCTTACAGGATATCAGTATACTTTTTGATTGGAATCAACGTAAGGCAATTTAGAGATTTCCAATGTATTTAATGCATCCTTATATAGAGCTCATTTGGGTTACCTTTTCATGAATCACATTCCAACCAGATTCAATTAAGTAATGCAGTTCTTCTCGTTATTCTCTTCGTAACCACTTTCTTTCATTTCCTGATGCACCCCTTCTGCCCTCCCCTCCCTGATTTCTCCTTTATCTGTGTCTGTTATATACTATCAAAATATATGTAACAGTGCCGTCCTACTGCCAGTTTTATTAATAAGGAGACGAATTAATATAAGTACTTGTACTTGTTTTCGAATCCTCTTTGTTGATTTTTGTATTATTTTGTCACTGCCATATATTGAATAAAATACTGTTTAAACTAAATAAATATAACAGAAATGTTTTAGCTGCATCTTACTGTACGAGAATTAATTTAAAATATCATTTACGGTCATTTAATAAATGAAAACATGCGATATTTCATAGGAGGTTCTATAATAAAGATTACTTATAAGCATTGGAATATTAGTAGACCTGATTTCGTCAATCACCTGAAAATTCGCTCTGCGGACGCCAGTAGTGGGTTCTTGGTCCATTTATATTTTTGTGGGGATTAACATAGGTCTTGTCTTACTCTTTTATGTTGTTTTTTCCGTCCCCTCACCACATAAAGTCAAGTTTATATAGCAGATCAAAATATCTTTTCTCCACAGCCGTTTTATGGGGGATTGGTTTCGTGTTTGAACGAGTTGTGTGCGGCACACTATCAGGCAGGTAGTACCACCACGGAATTAGATTAATCCGTGGTACCACAGAACTCGTAGTAGGTGAATTATAAACAAAAACAATTGTACAAGCGTAGACAATCGGACGGAAACTGACAAGTAAATTTGTTTCAATACTTTAATGACATTCCTTTGTTAACGAAATCGAGACTGACCTACCACGTGACTTGAACTGCAAACGACACATTAACAATGCCAACTGCACAAATTGCATGTTTAATTTATTTAATTAACCTTTTACATGTAATACTTAAATCACGCTTTCCTTTCAAGTCGCATTTTAATATGTAATATTTCATGAGTTGAAAGTCGTATCTTTTCCATTCATGACAAGCATAAAGAATTATATCTTTCTTGTATAACTTATGTTGCTTGCTGTCGGATATTTCTGTTCCTGCTAATTAGTAGTCAAATACTAAATGTCGGCAACGCTACAAATGTCTGACGGCTTAGCCATGTTTATGTAAATGATGCACCGTCTAGTATAACAGGGCCCGGGTAAACTGAGGTAAGTACTTCTGAAAATAGATTTAATTAATCGATATAAAATTAAGTTGATTTCATCTAAGAATGAAATTGTAAATGGTGTGTGTTTGTATCTAGTTTGAAGTTATCGTCTGATGAATATTGTTACGCTTCATTAGGGCCCATGTACGTGATAGACATAAAGAATTAGACAAAATGTTACAACATTCTAGTGACCTTGAACACCTGTCGTGTAACCTTAGTAACAACACTTGTGATGTAGTAATATAGTTCAACATAAGTTGCTTTCTTGGTACCATAGCGACAACATTGGACCTTGTTGACTGTAACTTCCGTAACACATTAACCTGGTTGTAACTTTAGTTGTAACCTAAGTAACTAACTGTTCATGGCTGAAACATTAGCTGTAAACATAGCACCATATCTGTCACGTAAGTTGTAACCCTAGTTACTCACTTTTCATGGCTGTAACGCTAGCTGTAGCCATAGTACGATTGTAACATGCATGTAACTTTAGTTGTAACCATAGTAACTTACTTTCAATTACTGTTACTTTAGTTGTAACCATAGTAATTTACTTTCGTTTAATGTAACTTTAGTTGTAACCATAGTAACTTACTTTCGATTACTGTGACTAAAGTTGTAACCATAGTAACTTACTTTCAATTACTGTAACTTTAGTTGTATAACTCTAGCAATTTACTTTCGTTTACTGTAACTTAAGTTGTAACCATAGTAACTTACTTTCGATTACTGTAACTTAAGTTGTAACCATAGTAATTTACTTTCGAATACTGTAACTTTATTATAACTATATTAACTTACTTTAGATTACTGTAACTTAAGTTGTAACCATGCTAACTTACTTTCTATTGCTGTTACTCTAGGTGAGACCTGATAGTAAATTACTTTCGATTACTGTAACTTAAGGTGTAACCATGGTAACTTACTTTCTATTGCTGTAACGCTAGGTGAGAGCTGATAGTAATTTACTTTCTATTGCTGTAACGCTAGGTGAGAGCTGATAGTAATTTACTTTCTATTGCTGTAACGCTAGGTGAGACCTGATAGTAATTTACTTTCGATTACTGTAACTAAAGGGGTAACCATAGTAACTTACATTCGTTTACTGTAACTTAAGTGGTAACCATAGTACCTACTTTCGATTACTGTAACTTTATTATAACTATATTAACTTTCTTTCGATTACTGTAACTTAAGGTGTAACCATGGTAACTTACTTTCTATTGCTGTTACGCTAGGTGAGACCTGATAGTAATTTACTTTCTATTGCTGTAACGCTAGGTGAGACCTGTTAGTAATTTACTTTCGATTACTGTAACTAAAGGGGTAACCATAGTAACTTACATTCGATTACTGTAACTAAAGGGGTAACCATAGTAACTTACATTCGTTTACTGTAACTTAAGTTGTAACCATGCTAACTTACTTTCTATTGCTGTTACTCTAGGTGAGACCTGATAGTAAATTACTTTCGATTACTGTAACTTTATTATAACTATATTAACTTTCTTTCGATTACTGTAACTTAAGTTGTAACCATAGTAATTTACGTTCGTTTACTGTAACTTTAGTTGTAACCATAGTAATGTACTTTCGTTTACTGTAACTTAAGTTGTAACCATAGTAATTTTCTTTCGTTTAATGTAACTTTAGTTGTAACCATGGTAACTTACTTTCTATTGCTGTTACTCTAGGTGAGACCTGATAGTAATTACTTTCGGTTACTGTTACTTTAGCTGTAACCATAGTAACTTACTTTCGATTACTGTAACTTTAGTTGTAACCATAGTAACTTACTTTCGATTACTGTAACTTTAGTTGTATAACTCTAGTAATTTACTTTCGATTACTGTAACTTTATTATAACTATATTAACTTACTTTCGATTACTGTAACTGAAGTTGTAACCATAGTAACTTACTTCGTTTACTGTAACTTAAGTTGTAACCATAGTAACTTACTTCGTTTACTGTAACTTAAGTTGTAACCATAGTAATTTACGTTCGTTTACTGTAACTTTAGTTGTAACCATAGTAACTTACTTTCGATTACTGTAACTTAGGTTGTAACCATAGTAATTTACTTTCGATTACTGTAACTTTAGTTATGACAATATTAACTTATTTTCGATTACTGTAACTTAAGTTGTAACCATGGTAACTTACTTTCTAATGCTGTAACGCTAGGTGAGATATGATAGTAACATACCTGTGACGTTAGTTGTTACCTTCGTGATATTGTTTTCGTTGGAACATTAATTACATACTTACTATGACTGTTACGTTGGTTGTTACATTGAAAACATAGTTACAATAACTATAAAGTTAATGGTAACTATAGAAACATAGTTACAATAACTATAATGTTAACTGTAACTATAGAAACATAGTTACAATAACTATAATGTTAATGGTAACTATAGAAACATAGTTACAATAACTATAATGTTAACTGTAACTATAGAAACATAGTTACAATAACTATAATGTTAATTGTAACTATAGAAACATAGCTTTAGCGTTAGTTTTGTCTTGGTAATTTGGCTATAACTTTGGTCGTTACCCTGGTAACAGTTTTTAGCATGGCTATTACTTTGGTTGTTACCTTGGTAACATGTTTTATCATGTCTGTAACGTTGGTTTTTACATTGGTAACATGGTTGAAACTTCGTTTGGTACCTTGGTAACATGTTTTATCATGGCTGTAACGTTGGTTTTTACATTGGTTACAAGGCTGAAACTTCGGTTGTTACCTTGGTTACACACATGTCGAAACACTGTAAACAGTTGATATCATAATAAACCTAGTTAACACAAAAGGATAGTGCTAAAAATAAGGAAAAACACTTAAAGGTTCGGAGTTGAAGACTGATACAGAAAACTTGGTGCAAAGTATGCATAATTCAAACATTATCGAGAAATTGTGATTATATTTATCAAATTAGTTCAAATTATTATTTATTCATAAGCCAATTTACAATTATACTTAACATAAAATTTCCGAAGAATGTGAACTGGATTTGTTGCATGTTGTGTGATAGACACACCAGGGCGTTTAATAACATCTAATGTTGCAGTTTGTATTGTTGATTAAATTATGTATTTGAAGTTCTTACGGATTTGCTTTGTGTAACTAATTAAACATACGATATGATTTTTTTTGTTAAAGTCTATTGCATCCTGTGTTCATGCTTACTATTGTAAATATGTATTTATTATTGCCATTATGTCAGTCATGTTTAAATGTGTGTAAAGCACAAAGGCATTGTTGCCTATTGCAAATTAAATAAAAGGCTATATACATGTACATATGATAGAACGTTTACGATAGCATCCCAATTTTCAGCCCTCGGTCCCGTTATCAGCCCTCGGGCAGACTGATATCGTAACTTTCTGCTTGATGTGGGTAATGATGCCAACTGGCCATGCCGAGGCTATTGGCTATACAATCTATAATACATACATTGTAATGACTCACACTCTTTTTCTTCTAGCTCCTGCTGTGGGAAAAAAATGAGTCTGTAAAAAAACAGTTCAAGAGAGTTTACCAGACAGTAAAGGGTACCTCTATTAAAATTTAACCTATATTTATAAAATGACCTATTTATTTGATCATGACAGATGCATTATAAAATGATCTGTTTACAAAGATTTCCTAATAATGAATCAAACGACACATATATATCAATATTATATCACATAGCGTTTATTCTCAATTGTAAGATAATAATTATGATATTGACTCGGTTTTACTATTTTTAGAAACAGCATGCAAATATTCTCTTTATGTCACTTAAATTGAAGTTCCACAATGCTCTCCGCCAAATGCAGCAATTTTCTAACGTTCAATCTTGAAACATAATTTCGTATCTTGTTTACCAACTATGTACTTATATTTCTATGAATATGTGGCTATATGAACATCAAAAATTACATAAATCTCGAATTCGTTCCGGTTATATCTTTCTCAGGTTCATACAAGTACATATTCACCTCAACAAAAGTCCATAATTGACGATATTTGTTTGGGAAGGGCGCCTGTCCTTGAATATTAACTCACTGGAGAGAGCGCTTTTCTATAAACATTAACGCACTGGAGAGGGCGCCTTTCTATTAATATTTAAACCTGGAGAAGGCGCCGGTCATTTAACATTGCTTCAATGGGGGTGGACGCTTTTCTATAAACATTAACGCACTGGAGAGGGCGCCGGTCTATAAATATTTAAACCTGGAGAGGGCGCCGGTCTATAAATATTTAAACCTGGAGAAGGCGTCGGTCATTTAACATTGCTTCAATGGGGCTGGACGCCTTTCTATAAACATTAACGCACTGGAGAGGGCGCCTTTCTATTAATATTTAAACATGGAGAAGGCGCCGGTCATTTAACATTGCTTCAATGTGGGTGGACGCCTTTCTATAAACATTAACGCACTGGAGAGGGCGCCGGTCTATAAATATTATCTGACTGAGGAGGGCATCAGTCTATAAAAAACCTAACTTAGGTAGGCGCTAGATCTATAAGTATAACCTCACTAGGGATGGCGCCTGTATATAAATCTTCCCTTAGAAAGGGCGCCTTATAAATATTGTCTGACTGACGAGGGGGGTTGTCTATAAATAATGTTCTACTCAAATAAGATGGGTGTCTGTCTACATAAATATTACGTAGCAGGACAGGATATTTATCTATAAATATTTCCGAAAAAGGAAGGGCATTTGTCTATAAAATTCCGGACTATGGAAGGTACATGTCTATATAGATTATATGTTAATATAAACTAACTTGGTGCGTAAAAAGCTCCGCCTAAAAGTCAACTTGCACGTGTTCATTACCTCAGAGCCCAGAACATGTGCTGGCCTGCATGTCATTTCTGATCTGAAATGTCATTTTATCAAACAAGATATATACATGTATGAGCATCAGTAATTGAAAGTGACAGTTAGTTCCGACTTTGTGGAGTATTGAGAAGGATATATACATCAAATGACAGTCCCATTGTGTGGAATATAAAGGGCCCTTTACATGAGCATATGCATGTACATCTTTAATGGCTAAATACATACGATGACAGTTAGCTCCGACTTTGTGGAGTATTGAGGATTCTATATAAATCAGGTGACAGTCCCATTGTGTGCATGTAAATGAAACTATACATAAACACGTTTAAATGCAAAATACATAAGATGACAGACAACTTCGATTTTTGGAGTTTAGAGGAAGCTTCGGATGATTGAGGAGGATAGATACATCAAGTGACAGTAAGCTCTGACTAGGTAAAGTAAAGAAAAGGGTGTATAAAGATATGAATGTACATCAAGCCTGATGTAAACCATCCGTCTCCTGTTTAAGGTTGATAGAGATGTTTTAGTGTGTAAATTAGGTTCTTTCTCTGTTACGTAATAATTATACTTTACTGAGTCCATGTCTTTTTTTCTTCCTTTTTTGCAGAACCTTTTTCTTATGCACACTTTGGTTTTGGCAATGAACATATGACGATTAAATCGACATGTCAGTTCGGATACACTTTTTTTTAGTACCTGGTTATATATGCCCCCTCGTCTCGATTCAGAACTGGCCAGCTGTGATGCGCTTGGACGGGTTGCTCTCTCTGTCGACCATTTCTGAGCTATCCTGGTCAAGTACAAGATTTCGGTATCATGGTCTTCCATATGCCGATCTATTTATGCCACATTTGTATGATGAAGGTGACACAGTACGCATCGTACATGCTGTACAAACAATTATATACAGAAGTATATCATAAACGACAGTTTAGGTATGTAAAACAACAACAGCAATGACAGGACAGCAGGGACCACACACTGTAGGTTGTAGGTGGTATTGTTACATGTATACGTCAAGATAGGTTATCAGGAAATGGGAAAAAATCACTCAAAAGAACGGAGGTCATTGTAATATAAATATTTACATGTCAAATATCACGTTAGATTTTTAAAATAAACATGAGATGCATTTACTCGTCATCTTACATGTTAACGTCACGTGACACGCGGGGATATGTCTATCAATATGTAAAATCGCCATAAGGGCGGGGGATGGGAAGGGGTCGTATTCGTATTCCAATATTTCATGTACACACGTACCTATTGCATAAATTACGATAAATCACTGTTCAGAAATGTGAACGCCGTTTAAAATTCATTGATGCATTAAACACACGTCTGTAGCTATATGGGGTTAATCGTTTGATGTTTCAGTACGTGCTGGACATTTCTACCTGCTGACAACGTATTGTTATCATTATCTTCCATATTCATCTGTACTTACTCAAGCCTGTGACGATAAGTGATGCGTCAGTATCCCCGAGGCTACGTATACTTGCACGTACACAGATAATTAGGCCATACTTACTATCCGGGCTATATCATTCTGTCTTTCACACGATATCGTAAAATTATTACTCAAAATATAAACAATCAAAACGTTACAGTATTCGTAATTAATGAATTTCAAAATCATGTTATGGAACTTGTTATTGACGCGGACGTTAAGACAGAATGCTTTTTCCATTGACTTCGTTAAGGTTAATTGGGTTAATTGCGTTCTTATAATGAATACATTATTACAACGTTTGTCCATGATTCGCATCAATATTCTGTACTCTTTTCGGGACGCATGTTTTAAACCACAAAATTATTGTTTATTACTATATACATATATGTAAGCCTTTAGGGCTTATAGAGATGTTTAATTGACATAATGGCTTCCCACTAGTCTCTATTTGATTTACGCACTGCAGACATGATTGTACTATTTGTGCCCATGCTTTATAGTCGCATAGCTTTGGTTTTAACAACCAAGGTCGTAATGCATGAGTGCATGAGGTCCCAACATTAGTTGCTCTCTCTTACACTATATATAGTGGGAACAGCGGGTATATAATTTTATCAATCCCCGATTTTGCTGGGGTGGCGAGTACAATCATTGTTTTCTATGCATTCATAAACGGAACTCGTGATATGGCTAAGAACATCATTTACGTGCCACGGTTTCGCGTAAGGATGGCTGGCGCTAAAACTTTTAATTGCCATGGGTAACGTTTTCGGCAACAGCCATATATTTAATAGGCAGTGTGATAGCCACAGTAAAGGATTTGGAAACAATATAAGAAATCTAAGGACAATATAAACTGATAAAAAATAAAATCTGAAATATGCGAAAACATAGTTCTGATATGTTGAAAAAACAATTAATATCATTCAATATTCAGTCTGAGAAAATCCCAGTAGTACATGTATATAATTATCCCTGTTTGAGTCCAGCCAATCAGTCTCGTTTATTCTTGAGTCTGGCTTATGGGAATGAATTTCCTGGTCCTACATATAAATGTACAAGTTGAGCCAGTATCGCGCGAACTTGCCCTTGAGGTTCGATCAGAGAATATCCGTCTTAAAAAAAACTAGGGTGCTGTACGAATATTCATAGCACCCTGAACTGTGTAACAATATGTGTAAGTCATTATCGTTTTCAGTGTTGAACCGGTTTTGAACATTGAATCTGTTTCTATGACACGTGACGTGTATTAATGAATGTTTATATTCTTTTACATAAAACAAATATATGAAGCTTCATTTGATTTCTACACATTTTTTATTCTTCCTTACAGGACACATGGGAGAAAAGTACCACACCAAATATGACCTCACAAACGCAACTTCCGGCCAATGGATTGAAACGAGGCTTCCGGAAACCACAGAACAAGTTCCGGTGGTACATTATCATTGGAATCAGTGTGTTGATGACCTTGGTGGTCGTGGTTGTTATCTCTTTGGCTATTCATTTCACAAGTAACGCAAATAACCCAGGTGTGTATATTTCATTATTTAACCCGTTTAGGTTTTTTTTTATTATTATTGTCGAGAGTTCTAAAAGTTGTATCTAGGTGAATCTAAAAATACTTTATTAGAATTAGCATATGAAGTCAAATTTGAAACGAAACTTTTATACATGTGCTACAGCGTTTTTGAACACAAATGAATAAATCGGTTCCAGTGCCGAAACCGAAAGATACGAACAATAACTGGAAGTCATCAAAACAAAATGGACGTCCTGATTAACACATGCAAAAGATCAGTAGTTTCGGGTTTACATTTGTACTGCACCACGTGTGGTACTAGTCATGTTTTTTGTGAAATCCATAGAAATATGTGATCGAAAGTCGGCCACTGTCCAAAATTATAACACTGAAGAACAACAGTGTGAAACGTTAATCGGATTCCTCGAATTTACATTGTTACGAAATCTTGTCAGAAAAAGACTTTTTAATTTGATAATTATACAAGACATTTGTTAATACAGACGATGACGTGTACTTGGTGTGGTTCTGATGGGGGTTAAATGGCTACCATCATGACCCTGTGACACAGAAACCATGTTTGTCAGACATAGTGACTGTTATAGATCTTGACTTGGTTTAGTGCCTATACTTATGTATATCCGTCAGTTGCGGTTAGTTTATGCGTATAAATTTGTCAAAGGTCAAAGGCCTGCCAAGCTCCATGACGGGTCCAGCGTATGCTTGCGGGCTATTGGTGATCATAGCATTACAGTATATCAACAGTTAAGATGTCTATGGATGGGGATTTTTTGAATTGAAAGAATATTTAGCGGCCATTCAAGCTGTATAGACATTGTATATCTAACTACGTGTATATATATAAGCTATATAATACTTACTCTTTTACTTTTTAAGTAACAAAACATCAATTCAAATCTGTTTCTCTCTCTCTCTCTCTCTCTCTCTGTTGTAGAGACATTTTCGGCTTTACAGAAAGAAGATGGGCCTGGTAAGCTACGCATGGGTATTGCAATGTATATTGCAATGTCGCATTTACCTGAACTATTTGTCGCCACTTTCGTGATGTCGCATTTACCTGAACTATTTGTCGACACTTCCTGCTACGATTATACTGAATGAACCCCAACTATTTATTGTAATGCTTTCCATTTGTTTCATATAATTTTATTGTATGCGTGTGTGTATAGATATACAATACCATACCTTGTGAATACCAGATTACTAATAAGCTAAATTTGTTGATTTCATCAAAACCTTTCCCATTCAGCCTGTGGCCCATCCTTGATATGAAGGGGTTACGCTCACTTTCACACCCCTGGAATATGTCATAGAAAAATCGAAGGCTCAGTGTGCAGCAACTTGAGTCGACTTGTTTGATCCTTTGATGTACATCAAAATAATATCGCGGTCACGTAACGGTAAAAATTTAAAGGCTTTGAAGTCGGGCGTCTCTCCTTTGTAATCTTCAAAGGACAGGTATCAGCCTAGCGATTTGTCAGTTTATTTTACCTCAGACCAATCAAACAGCTATCTTCGTGCCTTCAATTTTGCTATGACATATTCCAGGGGTGTAGAGAGCGTAACCCCTGGATATCGAGGATGCCTGTGGAATCATTTAGAAATCATATTAAGTACCCGGGCCCAGTTGTTCAAAAGGTGGTTAGCTTAATCACTGTTTAACGACTACTCCTATAACATGAGAGGCCGCTGGTCGGCCTTTTTTTCTATCCGATATGATTTTGCCGACTGCGACCTCTCATTTCCGAAGCACTAATTCTTTGATGAAGTTTCCGCCCGAAATCCGGGCGGAACTAAATCGGCTTGAAAAACTCAATTAAGTGGTTCACAGTTCATGACAACGATGACTTCTCACGGTTCATGTAACATAGATCCCATATGTATGCCACAGACACAAATATATAGTAAATTAAGGAATAGAACACTCAAAATACATGTCCATATCGTTGTAGCATTATCTGACCTACTTCTAAAACATGGCTTCCTGGGTTAGTACAAAATAGCAGGGGGAATTTCAAACGGAACGAAACAAAATGGAGTTTGTTTGTTTACCGCTTGTTAAACATCACATGTATTCCATTTTTGCCTTAACCGGGAAATCATGGCAAATGTTGTCTGCTTCACTTTGAAAGAGGAAAATCTTATTTGTATGCTTCGACACCAAATTCTCATTTAATCATGGATTTATGGAAAGGAACATTTATTGGACCCTGTTGAACATTTAAATGTATGTAAACACATTATACTTTTTCTAAATCCGAACTTTGAAAATTTGATCGTCAGCATCGGGAAAATCAGCTATGGGCAGTTAGAGGTTACGCGGCGCCTGTCAAAAGTTTTTCGCCGTGTAAAACCTTGTTGGAGTATTAAACAACATTTTTCAACCTTTAATTATTTCGTCCATATACATGGTAAAATCTCACAATTTTGCATGTAAATTCACTCTACTAAATATTTGATATCTGAAAGTTGTAACTAATTTAATGACTGTGTTTTAAAGATAAACAAAAATTAAAATTTCCGCTAAACACTGATTAAGCCAATCACCTTTCGAACAACTGGACCCAGATCAGTCACGTAAACTTGATCACTTGTGTCATGATGGGTTCAAATGAATCTATCTTGTATCTGTGATTGATTTTATAATAAAACTTGCATTCTATTTCAAAAATAACGAAACTAGAGACATAACAGTATGCATCTGTGTAAAAGTACACAACACTGTCCGAAATGTCAATACTTTGTTGTTTGGTACACTGATGTATTGACGACTGATGATAATTTATACACTACACAAATGCTTGACGGATTATGACAGTTGAATATTTTATTAATATTCTGTTTCAAGTTAAGGATTCTAATATTCCTCATTGACCCGTCTACGTACCTGAATAGTCTATTTATCTGGCTCGCAGAAAAAAAATCTTTCAATATACATAGTGTAAGTTATAAACATTGTGTATTAAATCATTTTAGTATGCACATTTGTTGTATCTAATTTTTTTTTTAAATTTCACATTAGGGTTGATGATCAATTTAATCATAAATCATGCGAATAATCCCCAAAAATATTTTCTTTGGTCACCGTGAAGTTTTAAACGTTGCCATCTTGACTGCAAGTCTACAGTGTCCGTTGTGTTCAATGTGACGTCACAATGGTATGACGTCATGTCTTAATTCTGACACAAAAATATGTGTATTATGTGTGGTAATTTGCAAAAAGTACGCCATGTTTGCATAACACTGTGTACCACAGGACTCACGTGTTAAATATTTTCAATGTATCCCAACATGTACTGTAGCAACTCTCCGATACTATGAAGTACTTCGTATTTAATATATCCCCGCACTTTCCCCGACTTTGCTATCCCGGGAGTTAGTCATGTTGTTCAGAGTATTAGTCTTTGCTATCCCGGGAGTTAGTCATGTCGTTCATAGTATTAGTCTTTGCTATTCCGGTAGTTAGTCATGTCGTTCAGAGTATTAGTCTTTGCTATTCCGGGAGTAATCATGTCGTTCATAGTATTAGTCTTTGCTATTCCGGGAGTTAGTCATGTCGTTCCCAGTATTAGACTTTGCTATCCCGGGAGTTAGTCATGTCATTCAGAGTATTAGTCTTTGCTATTCCGGTAGTTAGTCATGTCGTTCAGAGTATTAGACTTTGCTATCCGGGGAGTTAGTCATGTCGTTCAGAGTATTAGACTTTGCTATTCCGGGAGTTAGTCATTTCGTTCAGAGTATTAGTCTTTGCTATTCCGGGAGTAATCATGTCGTTCATAGTATTAGGCTTTGCTATTCCGGGAGTTAGTCATGTCGTTCATAGTATTAGTCTTTGCTATCCCGGTAGTTAGTCATGTCGCTCAGAGCATTAGTCTTTGCTATCCCGGGAGTTAGTCATGTCGGTCAGAGTATTAGTCTTTGCTATTCCGGGAGTTAGTCATGTCGTTCATAGTATTAGTCTTTGCTATCCCGGGAGTTAGTCATGTCGTTCAGAGAATTAGACTTTGCTATCCCGGGAGTTAGTCATGTAGTTCAGAGTATTAGACTTTGCTATCCCGGGAGATAGTCATGTCGCTCAGAGTATTAGTCTTTGCTATTCCGGGAGTTAGTCATGTCGTTCACAGTATTAGACTTTGCTATCCCGGGAGTTAGTCATGTCGTTCAGAGAATTAGACTTTGCTATCCCGGGAGTTAGTCATGTCGTTCATAGTATTAGTCTTTGCTATCCCGGGAGTTAGTCATGTCGCTCAGAGCATTAGTCTTTGCTATCCCGGGAGATAGTCATGTCGTTCAGAGTATTAGTCTTTGCTATCCCGGGAGTTAGTCATGTCGTTCAGGGTATTAGACTTTGCTATTCCGGGAGTTAGTCATGTCGTTCTGAGTATTAGACTTTGCTATCCCGGGAGTTAGTCATGTCGTTCAGAGTATTAGACTTTGCTATCCCGGGAGTTAGTCATGTAGTTCAGAGTATTAGACTTTGCTATCCCGGGAGTTAGTCATGTCGCTCAGAGTATTAGTCTTTGCTATTCCGGGAGTTAGTCATGTCGTTCAGAGTATTAGACTTTGCTATCCCGGGAGTTAGTCATGTCGTTCAGAGTATTAGTCTTTGCTATTCCGGGAGTTAGAAATGTCGTTCAGAGTATTAGACTTTGCTATTCCGGGAGTTAGTCATGTCGTTCAGAGTATTAGACTTTGCTATCCCGGGAGTTAGTCATGTCGTTCAGAGTATTAGTCCTCCCGTCTAGGTAGTTAGACCAAGACGTCCCTTAACTCTACGAAAACGGTCAAGCCCATCTTCGATCAGACAAGAGTGTACGCTGCTTGGAATATTTTCAGTGCGACTTGTATTGGATAAAAAAAAACCATTTAAAGTATTGGATTTTGAAATATAGGAAGTTTCTTGTTTCCCTCGGCCAAAAGGTCGACTTCCCTAGATATTTTCCCGGGAAATAGATTTGGTCGCGGGGAACCAGAAACTTGCTATATCCCTCAAGTATATACTTAATGTATGATTGTCTTGTATAAATTTACATTTAACATAGGTAAACATGTGTTCAGTTGAAGGTTTTTTTAAGAAAGTCACATGTTTTCTTGTTCTTAACCAACAGACGCATGGGCCACTGACCAACCGGACGCCGTAACTACGTTGATGACGTCGGGCGATGATGTAACCACGTCTTCCGTCCCCCAGGACATCACAACATCCGACCCAGGGGCGGTAACTCCGAACTCATTGACGTTATCTACTATCACCACACCTTCCAACCCTAGTAAGTTGACACAATATCTTACAATAAGATATACACATTCCTGGTTATGTTAGCATAGGACATAGGTTTTGATATTTCCATATAGTCATTGTACAGTGAAGCACCAGGTGAATCAGATTTGCAAATAATACAAAACAGAAAACGAAATGAATGATTTTTAGCCTGAATTTCGCTTCACACACAATGTATGCCCTTAATTCTATGTACTTAATAAAAAGCGCCTTGTATCCACTCAAACAGTTGGCATTAATGGCGAGACCAGGTTACTTTCACAATCTAGCGAGTTGTTCATAAGTTGAAATGTGATTTATAAACAAAACTTCAAAGGAACATTAATGTCTCCTAATAAATTTAAGATGAAATATTTCTCTTTCAAAATATCATTCAATCTTTTTGGTTAAAAGTGTTATGGAATTTTCCCATAAAACCCAAGAACTCATATAGACATATTATTATCCATATTTAAAACACCTGTCCCCAGTTTATTCTGGGGACAAAATAGCTCGAACTGTCATACAGTAAAGAACTGACCATTCCGGTTTACATGAGATGGCCTACCATTGCCTACCCTGTGGTACCACAGTGTAGGTGAACTTCCCATATATAAGCTGATATATGATAAAGAAATCTTAACCTTTGGAATTAGCCTGTCAGCCATCCGCCACTTGAGGGGGTCACTAAACCAACTCACCGCCATATATTAGAATGATATGTTTAAATAATTGTCAGGATAACCTAAACAACTTAGAAAATTACCCTGTGGACACATTATAATGTTCAAAATATTTGTATGGGCTAAGGGAGATAACTACAACCAATTGAATTGAACAATTAGCCCTAGGTCACACTTAATGCCGAGAGGAGGAGGCATCAGCGGGTGGGGAAGATGTGCTGACCCGATTAAAGGAAATATTAAAAAAAAAAACTGTCAATTATTGAGGTATATCTGGTTGCTAAGTCCAGACAGATGGACTCCATATTTTCGATAAAGATGAAGCTCCTTATCTGTAATACAGGTGTGTCGGNATTAACTCTACCAAGGCACGAAGAATGGAGGCGAAATGCCAATACCGCCTAGGCAGGAGGTCGCTCCAGCTCCATACAACATAGACACCTGGAACCAGGGCCAAAAGGCGAAGGAGGTCACACTTGATCTGTTCAATAAGTTTCTTGCTCTTGATGACCCCAAGGTCATTGGAACCCAATTGAATCAAAACCCAGGATGGAGGGGGATTCTTTTTTAAGTAGTCCTCCATTGTTGTGCTGAACTGATCCCAATGCATGCCTCTTTTCCCCCGCCAATCGAACTCGTATCCCACCAGCCCCAGGTTAGGACCTCCTAATCTTGAGCCAACTGCCCTATGTGCCCAGAATATTATGGATGAGCCAATGCACACAAGCTTGCCTCCTGAAACGTATAATGCAATATTTAAAAATCCATCATTAACTGAGTAAAACAGTAACAATATTAACTGTATGGAGGTCTCAAAATTGTAATCTGATATAACCATTGTAAACTCTCGAACTCCAGCGCCCCCACCTTTTAATGTCATCGTCCGCGACCCCCGTGTGGCTAACTCTGTTGAACGAAGAGGAAAGACTTGTACAAGACCAAAATGGCAAATAACCTAAACTCATTCAGGATTTTCACTTTAACTAAACTGGTGTTATCACACAATTGATAAACCTTATTATTAGAGCGAATCTTGACATTTATACATTCCAATAACACAATGATCAATCGTAGAACGAAAGTAGACTTTATTAGAGCGAAGATTGACATTTATACATTCCATTAAATCTATGATCTCATAGATTTATTGGAACAGATCAATCTCAAGCTTCGCTCTAATAAAGTCTAATTTTGTTAAACGATTGTACGATTGAAGTCACTAGATCACCCCGCAGAGCCAGTAATTAACCCTTATGTGACCTCTATTTTAGGGTTAACCTTAATGGCCTCTGACCTCACCGTCCAAAGGAAGAAATTAACGTTGACCTGTGAGGCCATAAATGTGGCTGGATGGAGTGACCTTCACATCATACGCCATGACGCTGACGTTAAAGAGACCGTTGGCATAGTAACGGCCGGATTCCAGTACCCATCAGTGTCCGTCCTTGACCCAGATTTCAGTTCACAGATATCGTACAAAAACGACGCCGTTGCATTTGTGCTGGAGTCGGACATCCCGTACTGTTCCGGGGTGACCAACTACTCGTGCATTGTGAGGGCAGTTCCAGGAACCTTCACCGCGGTCACAGAGGTCAAAGGTAACTAATAATCATACATTGTATATAGTTTTGGGAATGTTTCGACCATTGACGTAAATACATTGCATAAGCGGTATATGAAATATTTGATAGACATAAACTTTCACATGAATAAGTATATATCTAGATGCGTTATACATCTTTGACACCGACGACATTAGGTGGTATCGGAATACTTGCTAAATCGAGTGAATCTGTATCGTTTATTTACATCATCCGCCTTTGTGTTCCAGTAAAACAACTGGAACCTTCGGTTATTGTACCAAAGTCCGTTGTTGCTGAGAAGAACATAACGTTGCAGTGCTCTGCCGAAATCCACGGACAGAGTGGAACCATCAAGTGGAAAATTCGTCCTCCCGGCATGCAATCGTTCTACGATCTGAGCACGAGTCCTGTGACATCACAAACGTTTTCGAACTGTTCTACATCCATTAACAGTACACTAATATTCGTACCGAAAACATCAGATAACGGATCACACTTCCGGTGCGTCGTTGAAGGATCGGATGGTGCTATAGAAAAGGCAGACTATCCTAAAACGGATGTGGAGTTCAATGTCATTCCGGGTAAGCATTTTTTAGCATTTTAAAAAATCTTGTTCAATTGACGAGATGTCCTAAACAAAAGCATGCATCAACCAAAACAGTATCTATAAATTCATTCACTTCACAAGTCTGACCATTTGCTTACCAAACTGGACTGTTGACTGCATGGAAAGATTGATTGGCTGTACTAGGTTTTAAATCTTCGTAAACAGTCAAGGTCATATGACGAATATCCACGTACGATAGGGCCTATCAGGGATCACTTCAAGCTTTTATCACACAAAAATGTCACAACTTGAAACGGTAGCATGACCATCTACCTGGTGGTAACAGGCTAACCAACGGTGCCTAGATGATATGTTTGATACACGACATAGATTTATGTGTGGCCCTACATATACTCCATAATAGGATGATGGTTTTGCGTCCTTTTCATCTTACGTCTGCAGCGTAACCATCCGACTGATGCAACCGGGTGGGGTGTCATGCTATATGTACCGTTCAGGGTGGTCGGGTTACGCTGTGGATAGTGCAATTACTTTTTCACATATACGGTCGGGGTTCGACTCCCCGATCTGACATAAAATATTATTGGTTCACAGGCAATGCCCGACCAACGTGGGTTTTCTCCGGTTACTCCGGTTTCCACCCAAATAAAGACCCCTTTCGCGTTTCCATCCAAGCCAACAAGAATGATTAATATCAGTTGAAAAAAACTTGTTCGCATTTTTATTTTGTAAAATATAGTGTATGTTATACATGCTGTCGCGTCTAGTTTGACAAGTCAGCAAAGGATACACATTAACCCTTGCTTGACATACTATATGAACATTCATCTTTTGACATTGGCGAGGAAACAAATCCATGTTTCCCATTCTTACTGTACTGACTCTCCGTTATTTTGTTCTTCTTCAGATACGTTCTGTGCTGATAAAGCAGTCTACACCATTCACACACATCCGTACTCGCCATGTAACCTGGTGATCTACTGTTTTCAGACAGGTCCACTCGTTTACGAAATTAACTGTGATCCGGGCACTTGCTACGACAAGGACAATACAAAGTGCATCTGAGCATGCTTATCATAAATTACGAGGATCGTCATAACGTTTGCCACCTATGTAATGTTGATGGAGTGTTATAGCACTTACATGACATGGACTTGAGCAAAGAGTGGTGAAATTAGTTTTGTACATATGACTTCCATGGATTGAAGAAATCCAGGAAATCTGTATTGATAATTAGTCCCGTGGAATTTGTGTATACTGTTATGCTGACAAATGTGCAGACACCAGGTGTTACCATGACGGTATTTTATTCGGAGCGAGCATTTGTGGGAGCTGCATTCGCAAGGAACTTTCTTGAATCTATCAAAATCTTATCATGATGTAGCTTTCTTAATAGATCACTTTCATCTTTAATCAAATATGTTAATGCATCAATACTGATGATGTTCTTTTTAAATGGGACTATGGAACAAATGTTTAATAGTTTGATATGTCGAATAACCTTTTTGAATAAAAAAAAACAATACAAATTTGATAAACACAGCAAAATGGAGAGTTGTCACCACATAATGGACGACTTATAGGTAAGGTGATTGATTGGGTCATTTCGTTGTTTCGTCCCGAAGAGACGAGAATTTATAAGCTCTGGTTCCTTTGTCTTCTCGGCCCCCAAAAAGTTAACAACCAGAATACAAGTTACTAATCTGGTCTTTTCGGGGAGAAAGGTCGAAACAACGAAATGGTAAATATCAATTACAAAATACACGAAACATTGTAAGCTTGATCACAAACTACAGGAATTTTCTACAATATACCACAGGAGCCTGAAGTTCTGTCAATAATAAATACTAGCAGTAATACAAAACAAAACAAAACACTATAATATGCTTAAAAATAGACAGGAGTGCAACGGCAGATTTACCCCTCGTCGTTTTTAACTAAGTTTTCTCGCACAAAACTGAAAAATTCCACAGAAACCCAAACTCCTATGCAGTCGAGGATGACAACTGATGTACACTACAGATCGTTTTGTGGAACAACATGCTTGCTAACCTGTTACATAGCCCTTTTTTTAGAATTCTCCTTTCATCGCGGTCGAACGGAGTGAATATACAGGTAAAATTAGAAACGATTCCTGTTTCCAAATAGAATGATACACAACTCTAATGTATATTTGCTAATTAAAGTAAATGTGCAGTTATGTTTTAAAAAGTTAAAAGTACCTACTATTGTTGGTTAATATTTAATTTCGAGCAGAAAACATATTACAATAATTACCTGTATATTCACTCCGTACGACCGGAAACGGATTTACCGCATGGATTCCGTGTCAGTGGGCGCTGAAAGGAGAATTCTAAAAAACGGGCTATGTAACAGGTTAGCAAGCATATTGTTCCACAAAACGATCTGTAGTGTACATCAGTAGTCATCATAGTTTGGGTTTCTGTGGAATTTTTCAGTTTTGTGCGAGAAAACTTAGTTGAAAATGAAGAGGGGTAAATCTGCCGTTGCACTCCTGTCTATTTTTTAAGCATATTATAGGTGTTTTGTTTGTGTATTACTCATTATTGACAGAATTTCAGGCTTCTGTGAATATACTTAGTAACACAGGAAAAAGGAGACAGTTTTAAATGACAGAAATTTCAGGAAACATACGTAACAAAATGCAGCTATTGCAAAATTATGTTACATTAGTCAGCAATTAGAAGAAACATTAAACATCCGAAGGCATTTCAAAATTCTGTTACCTGTGTTAGCTATCATGAATCATTGTTAAATTAGTTAGTAATCATGAAAGTATTGAATATCCTTTAGCACCGTAAAACATTGGTTTACTTGTTGTTAGCTGTCACAAACTACAGAAAACGTTTATCAGCAATTGCAGAACAAGGCTACATTTGTTAGATACCGTAAACTACAGGGAACATTGATTGGCTATTCCGTCTTTGCGTATTGCAGAGTTATCTTATCTTGGGGGCAGGTATTGATTGTTACGTCACTTGTTTGTGAGAGTAACGTCATCAATTTTTGAGAAAACGACGTAACTTTCTCGCACAAACCAATGACGTAACAATCAATACCTGCTCCCAAGAGAAGATAACTCTGCAATACGCAAAGACGGAATAGAACATTAAGGTTACACTTGCTGAAGCTGTCCCATCTCTTCATTGTTTTGACATCAGTTTTTATAGTGACAGTTTTACCCTTTCGCTGCAACAATTTTTGGGCAACATTGCTTTGGTGATAAGAAGTATGGAGTGAAATTGAGGTTGCGAGAAAAGAAATGACGCATAATGAGGTAGTATTTTAACTCAATGGTGTGATATCCAGATTAAACATGCAATTCAATTTTGGAGCCTTACACTCACTATAGATTGAAAAAGGAATATATATTATAAACATTTGTTTAATCATATAAAGCTGTATAGTAATATAGCACTTTACGATTCCAAAAGGAAAGCTTACAAACAATATAATTAAGTACTGATAAATATACAATATTCTTAATTTTATAAATCGAAAAAAGCAAATAAAACTGAACATATCAGTGATTTTTACAATGTGTTGGCTTAAATACAACGTACTCTATGGAATCTCAAACTTGGTCAGGGAGATAGGAGTAATGAATGTAAAATCTATAATCTCAGTACCAAATGTCTACATGTAATAATCTACTGTACTGAATAACAATAGCACAGAAGCTAACCATTATTGCTCATCATTTTACTACATTCAATACATAATGATCTACTTTCCATACAGGTTAATCTACTTCCGTTACACGTTCACCAACTTCCGGCACATGTTGATCTACTTCCGGTACACGTTGATCTATTTCAGGCGACTTTTGTTCCTTAGCTAAATGATCTAACATACGAATACATATGGGCAACTATTAGTAGGAATATCCGGGACCATAGGATATGGGACCATGTCCAACGGTTTCCGGTACACTTTGTCCTTCAACATTGCCGCCATGTCTTACTTCCGGGATGCTTTGTTCCTCTGCTCTTCGACGTAAGGTCCGGTTATACTTTCGCAGATATCGATTTTTAACATATTGCCTGATGTTCATCAAAATCAAGATGATGACTGCGATGGATATCATGGTCATCCACATGATCATGGCAGCGTTAGAGTTTAGAGTTTCCTTTCTACGGTTGTCTGGAGTAGTGTTCTTCTGTTTGGTATTCCCAGTATAGTCCACGCCATAAAGTGCTGAAAAACCCCATCGTGTACAGTATTACCTAGGTATACTTAATTGCATAGAGATAATTCAAATTGTATTTAATTCAGAGTATTACGCCTGTAAGTGTTTATAAATTTCAACAGTTTTTATCCATACCTTCAATATAGAAAAATGAAGAACTTTCAGTTTAAGTTCATATAATCTGATGTCCCTACATAATTTTAACCCTTGAGCAGACACGATTGTACTGAAGAAAATCGCCCATGCTTCTGTACATCTAACCAAAGATTAACGAAAACAACTGAATTCTTTATATCTGACGTCAAATCTTAAGGGCCGTTCAGGAACTTCGTATGTTAATTCAAACCACTTACGTGCTGCTAATCCAATGGCGAGACTAATACATTCGTAAGACCCAGGGGTGTTAAAGCATTTTCCTGACGCACACGCGGAGAAGTTCAGGCATTCGTCGATGTCTGGGGGAATAAAACAAAAATTGGTTCTGCTGTGTGAGAAATAACAAATCACGGTAGCCTCGAGCACTTCTCCGATTACTATTCTTCAGATTAACGTCCTTTACATTCGTGATATACGCGAATATATGACTTTAACTGAACTACTATATTAGGGACACTTTACATTATTTCATACCAACAATAAAAGCGACAGTTAAGTATCAACTAGTATTGCAGGTAGTACTGTAGAAGCTAGAAACATGATGTCTGCAGGTGTCGGTTTGACAAATATCCACAAATATCCACACATATGTAGAAATATCCACTATAGAGTTGTTTTAGATGTCTATGAAAGTACATATATCACTAAAAGTTCGGTTTGGTTTGGTTTGGTTTGGTATTGTTTAACGTCCCATCAACGGCTCTGGACATTAAAGGACGGCCTCCCCTTTGAGCCAGATGCGTGCGTGTAGTGTATGCGTATGTGTTTTGGGAGGCTGCGATATGTTCGTCTTTGTCTCCTTGTGATAGTGCGGAACTAATGCCGACTTAATAGTGATACCTCACTGAAACATACTGCCGAAGACACCCAGCAGGACACCCCAACCAGTCACATTATACTGACAACGGGCGAACCAGTCGTTCTACTCCTAAATTGCTGAGCGTTAAACAAGACTAGAAACGTCTCGGCCCAGGGGACAGAACCCAAAGCCTTCCTCACAGGGGCGAACGCTCAACTAAAGGCCAAAAGTGAGCTATTGTCAAGGAAGACATTAGGAAGGGCAGTACATGAAAACATCGTTCTTCTAACAGAGGAATTGAATAATAGGCTCGCCAACCTGTAATTTGGTCACAGAAATGTTTAGTATGTCTCGTTGGCAATCTATGACACAGTTTATTCAAAGTAACTAGAAATTCCCCTTGATTTCTACATGGAAGATACAATTGTAACGTTCTTCTAGAAAGTCAACGCAGAATTGATGTTTACTGCCTGTCAACCTAAGACAAAATGGGTAAGACGTCTCCCGTGAAAGGCCGCGGAATGTCACCAAATTTGGATGTCCTAATCGATAGTTCACCATTATCCAGTAGTTTCACGATGACTTGTGTCCAAGACGATGTTGTAGATTTCCCTAACTATCCAGTGGGAAACAGCGTCAAGCCAAGCTGTTCAGCATGTTTTCTGTCATACTGACTGATGCAGTGAACCAGAATGACTGGAGCAAACATCTTTTATGGAACAGATGGAAAGTTCTTCACATGCTAGGAGGCTATGGCTAAAGTAAAGTCTACCATCATCCATGACCTACTTTTTTTATTCGTTTGATTCTCCTTTAACGCTAAATCGGAGCCTGATTGGCAACATATCTAGATAAACTTTCTTGTATAAATTGTAGATGAATAACGTTGGCTCAAATATAACTATAAGGCAGTGATGCACATGTAGTGTATCCGCCATCACCGGTGAAATGATATACTTAACCTTCAATACAGATACACCGGAAAAAACCCATAAGTGGAAGACAACTTAATCTGGCAGTGCTTTGTCAAGAGCGGTGTCCATAGATGACAAGATTGACTTAAGAGTATTAAAGACAAGTGCTGCATTTATCTTCTTTGGAATCCATGTTACAAGGTCTCTGGGCTGTTGTCATTAATATCATGCTTTCTGATGAAGTATTGACTCTGTGTAACAGACATGCAAAAGATTTAATTTTGTTTTATCAAAGACAAGATGTCTAAACATTAACAATTCAGCCAGAGTAGGCACTGTCTGAGCCATCAAATTCTATTTTGGATTGATAAATGTTACCCAGACAGGAATGGAGGTCGTCTGAGAGTCGATAGCCGCTCCAGCAGGAACAGAAATACCACCCGTCCGTGTTAGTACAGTTATGTTGACAGAGCCCATTACTGTCCGAGCACTCAATGTCATCTGAAATTAACGAAATTTCAGGGAAAGGTTGCATTCAAAGAAAGCATTAAATAAAGAGGATACTGTTATTGTTACACAACACTAGAATGTACACAAATCAAGCAGTCATGATTTTTAACCAATCGTGTATATATAAAAACACTAGTATCCCGTTTAAACATGATCTCCGTTTCCTTCAAAAACACGTTTCAATGTTTTTCCCAGTCATTGAATTACCTTTCCCATATTCATAAGGGTTACGTCAGTCACGTGCCGAAATATGTGGTGTTGATTGGCTGGTTATTTAAGGGTAAAGATGGCTGCGTTTTTCGACCGGCGAGAGGCTGACGACAACCTCATGAATATGGAACAAGTGGCTTTATGTCTGCGAAAAACTCGGAAATGGCGTGTGGTTTTGAAGGCAACGGAGGTCATGTTTGCTGAAGGACAATTCATTTTACGTTTTTGTAGGACATTTGTAAAAGAAAAAAAATCCTTCTTTCCAACGGTACTAAGCATTTCATTGTACAGGTAAGTAGAATTTTCGACATCGAGAGCTTTCCTCCCTTCTCGTACATATTATATCATCAATGGGATGGCATTTTATCGAAAATCGACCTAAACCCCTAAAACATGTCAAATTACTCAGAACACTTAAGTTTAGGTCCAAATATAGCTGTAGAAAAATATGAAGTACTTACCTGTACAATTGCCATCCAGTTGTAGGTAATAACCGTCGTCACAGTCACAGACATAACCCCCGAACGTGTTACGACAGCAAGCATTGGCCGGACAGGAAAATGTATTCAGGGTACACTCGTCCACATCTGTCAAAAATAACCGTGTCACACTATAGGATAGCATAATGGATGGTCAGTAACCCTTACAGAGAAAATAGGTTTACACTTACTAACTAAAACCAATCATGCAGTATATACATGTACAGTGTACAACATGTACAGTGTACAACATGTACAATGTATTTCATGAAAATGAAATAAACTTCGTCCTTTTGTCATAAAAACAAAACAGTATACTTCATTTATCCTCGAACTCTACAGGGAGAAAGCATTTCCATATCATTTTTATAGTTGTAAATTTTATATCAAACTTGTACTGATAGACACAAACAATGTACGCATTAAACGTGTCGCAACGTTTCAAGACCGACTCGATCACAGAGCAAATGTTAACAAATTCGCTGGTCACAAGTATTATGTCCAGTACAATCTAACTATATGAAACCATGTTGTACCTGTGGGAATTGGTCCCCTGGGCCCGGTCAGTCCTATCTGTCCCGCCACACCTTGGACTCCCTGGGGACCTGTGGCCCCGACCCGGCCCGTCATACCTGTCTCACCTGTGCTGCCTGGGATTCCTGATTGATGTAGACGTAACAAATGTAAGTCTTATGTACGACTCAAAGTAAGTGACCAGGTTAGGCAGCAAACAATGGAACCAGCAACAGTACATTATTACAGGTACTTATATGAATGTAAACAGCTTCCCACTTATTGCATCATCTATACTCAGACCTCAAACTATGGTCCTGAAAGTGATACAGACGCACCACATATATTTAGTTATATTAGACAGCATACTCTTTTGAAGATTTGACCTTCGGTCAATTGATCCCAGCCTTGGAAGTACAAACGTATATTTACATGTAACGCAAATATCTGTGAAGTTTCGTGAAACCAAAAATTCAATGTTTTGACTACTGGACACTTGCTGTGGCCTTCAATTTAAAGAATCATTACACATACATGTACCAGATGACTTTTTACTACAGCCCGTTTTAAGGCAATGCATTTCATGGTACTGTATTGCACATTTTATATTTATGGTATGCGACGTTAAATAAATATTCTTGTATCTTGTATCTTGCCGCTAGAGCCTTTCTGGATTAACTCATATGTAGTTAAATGCTATCCAAGCGACATCTCCTGCTATTCCGTTTTTCGGGAAACAAATTGAATATTAATAGATTAGTTTATGACAGCATAACTTTGAGGATGTTCTATAGAAATACATACATTGTATTGTAATAACATGAATATGAAGAGAACAACTATAGGCATAAAAAAAAACCAATGTCATCTGCTGATCGTAAATGAATTCTTCCAAACAAAATACTGACATATACAGATATATAAGCTGTCTTGCGTTCTCTAGATAACAAATAAAGGAAACGAATTGGCCAACGTGTTCCGGAAACAAAACTTACGTGTGTCGATCTCGACTCTGAAGGACGGCGTGATGGAGAAGCTGGAAAATATCAAGTTCACCAGACTATTTACAGTTGGCAAGACGACGTGGGTGTCCGAAAACCCGAACTTATTTCCGGAAAAGGGGTTCGCATAATCAAACAGGATACCGCCAGGGAATTGTTCAAACGTCAGACCCATATAGGATCCTTGTGGTACGTAATAATAGTCAGGAACGAACTAGAAAAGGAAAATATGGTGTCTGTAACATTGAGAAAACAATTCACCATAAAGTACACAGAAACACTTGTAGTGATTTACTTTGGCGGTTTTAAAAACAACTTTTGTTTATAATTGTTATTTTCACAGCCACCTTGTACGGGTAAACTTTACTCCAACAATGTTAGAGGTTTTACACGGCGAAAAACGTTTGACAGGCGCCGCGTAACCGAGGTCGCAGTCGGCAAAATCATATCCGATTGAAAAAAGGCCGACCAGCGGCCTCTCATGTTATGGGAGTAGGGTAAACTTGACTCATATTCTACACGTATTAGTAATATTCGTTGTCCTAACAGTAACTGTGAAAACCACGAATTTCTATGCACCACGAACAAGGTGGTTGAGCATCCCATTGCCACGCGGTAGGTTGATCTTGTCTATTACTTACAGTTTAATGGGTCTTCTTTATTATACCGTTATATGTTATTTATCAAAACTATATTGTGCGAGTTTGTCATTATATAATATATGAAACATATGCATGTTGTCATGAGTGATACTGTCATTATACCAAAGGAATTTGCCATTATACGTTATTTTGCCGTAATGGTAAAGGACAAAACTACATGCAAATACGTTGATAAGCATGTTAAACTTGAATGATGATGTTTCCCATCGGTAATTAATTGTATCAATATTGTGGTAGTATATTATGATGTATAAACATTTTCTACATGTCGGTACAGCGTAAGTATGAATCGTAGAAAGGTTATCTGTCTTAGGTTCTTCATAAGCATTCAAATCAATGTTAGCTTTAATTTATTAGATCATAGTAATTTTGTCACACTGAAATATATACTCGGCTAGCGCTATACACGGACAGGGGAAAATGCCAAGAAGGATAACTCCTTCGGAATGTGCTGCCTCATGAGACATTGCTGATCTCTGTATATTAATCAGCCTTGGCAATTTAGTAAACACGTTTTACAAATGCAGCACGTGTGTAAAGTAGCCTGTTCGTACATCACTTCCCCAAACCCCAGCTACATGTAGGAGGATTTAAAATCCAGAAGGTTAATAAAAGTTTATATTACCTTTAAAAATCAAATTTAGTTAATAATATCCGTAAAAATACCCACAATGAAATAAATAGTTAGATATTTAGAAGTGATAAATAAGTGTTTTCTTCTCACCGAAATATTCTGTTGCCCATTGACTAAGGTAAATCTTTGACTATGGAGGAGTCTAAATTGCACAGCTGCAACTTTCTCCCATATCCCAAAATGTATGACGTCACTCGGTCCGTTGTTGACGCTCGCGGTAAAGGCGTGACATCGAATGATTGAACCTGAGGGAAGGGGATTCATAAGGTCAATGTAAGTCTTTTTCTGGAACCCATTCACGTTTCTTTGTATGGCGTCATTTCCATAGAATTCAATGAAGTTGTAGCACTTGACAACAGATAGCGTGTCGAACAGCACACATGCCCATAGCAACAAAAACCAATGATTCTGAAATGAAAGATTAATTATATTAAAACAAGGCATCACAAGTGATACCAATTCACGCATTGTGACATATGTAAGAGGAAATGAAATCGCTAGAGTGATGACATTTTTTTTTTTCTAAAATAGTAATAGTGTTATATACATGGTATATATTATATTATAACCATCAATAGAATATCCGGAATTAACCGTTTATGTGTATTATTGTATTCCGTCCCCGTATCTTGTTTCTATGTTTTGTTGTTTGACTTCCTGTTCCGGGGAATAAAATGAAAAGTTGAAGAGTGAAGTTGTTTCGATTCATCTCTTAATAATCCTCTCACATCGCAAACCCAGTACAATAGTGACCTTGGCCTACAACGTAGAAACCCGAAATGCAAACTTGTTCAAGGCATCGCCATTGAGGAATGAAGTCGATAGAGCGATGATAAATAGCAAAAATTAACCTTGACCTTGAACATAAAACACTTCAGAAAGTTTCATGAAATTCCGTTGAGGAATGAAGTCGCTAAACCGATGACAAAGAGTGTAACATACGTACGTATGTACGGGCGGAACATATATCCTCTCGAACTTTCGTTGCGAGGGAATACTAATATTTAATGAGAAGCTTTAAATATTCATGTACAAGGTTAACATTCTTTTACCAACCTATATCTTATGAAAAATAATGGTATAGCAATAACTATATCAACACAGTAAACAGACAAGTCTTGAAAAGTCAGACAAGACGTGGAAAGGTGTGGGGTCACCTGCGCGACAATGTGTATTTCCCCGAAAAAATCCGGTTTTCTCCCACCGTTAAAGGGACAATTAAGTAAAGTAAGTTTTTTATAAACTTGTCACAAAACTCTTCATGATTATGTAATTTGCTACTCCCTAAGGACAATTCATGTCGAGAAATTGAAAAGAACCTATGTTTTCTTGGCGTTTTTAATCAGTAATGGAGAACAAAAGGTCTTTCCAGCTGAGAAGAGAAGGTAACCTCTCGTTTTATTCGCCTAGCCTCTCTGAATACAAGTATATGCATATATTCTGAATCAAAATCATCTTCCAACAGCATCTAAAACATTGTTATAAATGAGTGATCTATTTTACATTTAAATCTATTGAAATCGTACTTTCTGCGGTTTGAAATTCTCCCTGCGGCACCCTCTTAGTGTGTGAATGGTCTAATTGAACCTGTTCGTTTTTATTCAAATCCGAATGTGGACAGAAATATCTGATTAGAGGTATATATTATGATATTTATAAATCTTACTCGCGATGTATTGTGTAAATTCAAGAATGTGTTACGTGTGAACTGCAGGTGTATGTGTGTGTGTGGGGGGGGGGGGGGGGGGGGGTACACTATAATGTACTGTACTGTATGTATCTTGATAATGATTATCTACTTCATGGTTAAACCAATTCTTTTCGATTCAGTAATTTATTCTCAATCTGACATTTTAGTAGTAGTCCGTAGTTAAGAAAAGAGTGGAAAAGATTCTGACCCTCACCACAATCCTCCACCCCTTTCCTTCGGACCATCTATTAAAAGAGAAAATCTGCCAATGACGTTATATAAAATAAATGTTATATGCATTCGGTCAAATCGTGTTACATTTGTTAGAATGCCAAATATCATGATCACCATATTATAGAAGATGTTAATTTGATCATGTTCAAGGCATACATACCTGTCGAAGTTTTGATGTCGTCATCGTGTTTTACTTCAGTTGCCTTACGTCAAAATGGCGCAGGTGTCCCGGTAAAGCTGGTCAAGTTTTCACAACCGCATATACCCACAAACGACTGCACGTGATTTTCGCGCAAATTTTAAACTGTGTTTTTATATATCACATTATCAATACACAAAGTTCATTATTCAAGTAAATTCGAGTGCGTATGAAAATTTAGTTGTTCTTAAAGTGTCTTGAATTAGATATTGAAATAACATTGTCAATTTACGTTGGCAACATTTGTTTGTTAACAAATCGCTCATCCATTTGTTTTTGAAGGAAAGAAAATGTCTGCGCTACAAACCACAATATTCTAATATATAATATATACATACTTTGTCTCGTAGGAGCTAACAATGGCGATAGGATTCAGTCGGCTCACAGGGACTTGACAATTTGTTACAGATATATTTGGACCCAAACTAAGGTGTTCAGAGTAATTAATTTTACATGTTTTAGGGGTTTAGATCGAGTTTCGGTAACAATGACACCCCAATGATCATATAACCGAGCTTCATTGGGGGTGTCATTGTCTCGGTTATATGATCATTGGGGGTGTACAAATATAGCTGTAACAAAGTCTCAGGTCCCTGTGCGTCGACTCATATGTTACAGTAAGGTACTTTACGAAGAAATCTTAAGATACAAAGCAGGCTTACTAAATTATATATCAGACTGCTTAAAATGTACCGTCAATATTATTATAACCATGAGTAGTCAATAGTATTGTCAGGAAATCAAAAGGTATTAAAACCTTTATCACACTGTGATGTTGAGAGCGAAGAAGATCATCTATAGCTAATGTCACGGTTCACGGTGATACATTATATACCTGTTATTTTGGGGGTCTACAGACAGTGATATTTACTTTTTACTTTTTAATCCTCGAATGGTTCAGAATGCCGCTGTTCTGCACGTAGATAAGCTTTCAGTTAATTTCAATGTGCCTTTATGTTATTATTGTCCATTTTTATTGCATATGCTTGCATATAAATTGCTCTGACATTTTTAGTGCTTGCTTACTTTTTATGTGTGCTTTCTCTATTTTTAGTTTGCTTGCATGATTTTGTGTTTATGTTGTTGTATAATTATGCTTGTATGTATTCGGTTAAAAGCTCATTAGAGCTTATGTTTTGTAGTTTGTAACTATACCGAATTTAAATAAAACTTTGATATTTCATATACACTTCTTACAAAGAAAGTGATTTATGAAAATTGCCAGGCACGGCGTGGCACCTTTTACCAAGATGGCAGGGGTTCGACTCCCTGAACGGACGAGAATGGGTATTGGGTCACCTGACATACCGTATGGGTTTATTTCCAGGTACTCCGGGTAATTGTTGAAAAATATTTTTTTTTTATATTGTTTTGCATCAGGTATAACTATGTTCAGTCTACAGACTTGGCTGGTTTGTGGTTCACAAAGCAAAACTTTCGGGTACTTTTTACGACAATATTTTGAACATCAAATCAGTATACAGAATGATAATGACATCATCTATGCCAAATTTCAGTTGTTATTGACGGGTAGCAAACATTCACTGCATTTCACATTGGCTGATGTATACTATTACAAGGTGTCCGTTTAAGAAGATACATGTATGTAACTGTTTTTATAGAAAAGATCAGAAACAGGATATACAATATAGAGTTACCGGCTCGTCAAATCGATCCGCTAAAACTTTTCAGACAAAAGATAATGCTGCATGCGGATAGCGCATCCTCGATACTCCAGGGTTTCACTCACTGACGCTCTCTGCATTCATGAAATATATCTTGGCAAAACTGAAGACATGCAGCTAACTTTTTGATTGCTCTCTAGTAAATAAAATACCTGACCAATCACTAAGCTGATACCTGTCCTTTGAAGATTACAGAGAAGCGAGGCCCGACTTCAAAGCCAGTCAATTTTGCCGTTACGCGACAGCGAGATTCTTTTGATGTACATTGAAGGATCAAACTAGACTTATTGTCTCATCCACAAGGTGGTGCACACTGAGTCTTCATTTTTGCTTATCCATGGGTTACGCTCACTTTCAATTCAATTCAATTAGTTTATTATGTAAGCCTTACGACTTATAAGATACGAAATACAATATTTATACATATTAACAGGTTAAACAGAGTAATGACGTACAGGAGAGTGATAATTGTATGTAATCGCATCACATACTCACACACACAAGAATGTGATAATACTAGAATGACTTAGAGCGCTTCTTAAAAGCAAATCTTATATATTTGCCAAGATTACACAATATTTTAACATTATTAACACTGAGTAATTGAACAAGTTTAAATACACTGGGACGACTAAAATAATACGGCTTCAGGTATCTCACCCGTAAATCTGCATAAATAGGACACTTGAGGATGAAGTGAAACTCATCCTAAATATCATGAGTATCACATAATGTACAAACTCTATTGGACGTAGCTAAGTTATTGTATCTTCCACTTTCAATATTGAGCTGATGAGAGCTTAAGCGAATACATGAAATACTGTTCAATAACCGATCAATTTCGCTCTCTGCATCCCTGGAATATATCATAGCGAAATTGAAGGCACGAAGACATGTTTGATTGGTCGTCTCGGGTAAAAAAAAAAAAAAGACCAGCCGCTAGGCTGATACCTGTCATTTGAAGATTGCAAAGGAGCGACACCCGACTTCAAAGCCTGTCGATTTTTACCGTTACGCGACTGCGAGGTTCTTTTGAAGTACACATTAAAAGGCGGTACACACTGAACCTTCAGTTTTGCTTTGACATATTTCAGGGGTCGAGAGCTGCGTAAGTGAGCGTAATCCCGGGAGTATCGAGGATGGCGAATAGCGAAGATATACTTAGTATTTTTATCATCTACCTTACATGCACAGTATTATTAAAATGTATATAAGCTTATTGAATTATTTTGAAGCTTTGTTTTCTTTATTCCATATTACCGTATATATGTAAACCCTTAATTAATTGTCAGTGTTTATTTGGTTTTATTTTGTTCTGTTTTCTTATTTAACTGTGGACAAATACGGAGAAGCTTATCGTATCAGGAATATATACCAAGATACGAAATGTATAGGAAATATGGTAAGACATATCCCATCTGATTTATCTGGCTCGTTAACAGCTAGTTGGTTGTGTTTTGGCGGCGAAGGTTTGATTATCTACCCTTCGTTGGCACATACTAAAGTGACGTCAACAAGTTTGACGTCATCAAAAACAGTGCACATTTTCGTGCTAAACGTTCTGCATTTGCAGACGAAAATCAAAGAAACTATTTATGAAAGAACTTACAGGTAACGTGCACACTTTTTATATTCATTGTGTTCAGTTAGCGTACATATTTCAGAAATTGGTGTCTTTTGATGCTCCTTTGTTCCATTCAGTGTAATTCTGACCTCACATGAAGTTGAACATCGATCGTTATAGCCTATATGCCAGTAGATTGTGGATTCATCAAAGATCGATTTGTTCAAAAACAGGCTCGACGGTCTAAATGAACACTCGAAAGGAGATGTTTTTGTTATTCTGAATGGTGATATGAAAAATATTCAGATGCTGCATAAAAATGGTTTGGAATTCCATGTGATTATGACTATCCGTTTGTAAAATCAAACCTAGTTTTTGTCACGTAGCAGTTTAAGTTTTAAAAGTAATTTCTTTTTGTCCTTTTGAAAGGAGAATGATCAAGTTTGCTTTAAGATAAATGTTCGACAATGGCATGCACAGCCTGTATCTCAATGCATAAATAGTAGGATTCATTGTAATGTAACGAAAAATGAAGTCCGTGCTGATCGTAAGACGGGAGGTAACTCGCAAGATTTAAAAAAAATATATTGAAATGTTGCGATTTGTTTTTGACTTCATATCATAGGAAACTACATCCTGTCCCAGGACAACTACCGTATGCATTATGTCCTTTGTGCTTCAATTTCGTAGCTAGTTAGAGGCATTTTTAGTACGTGTCCTTTGTATTCTGTTCTGTATTTCCGTAATTTGACAATGGTCCATGTTCTGTTGCATTATTAAGCTTACAGTAGAGCAAGCCGATTCAACAGGAACACTTAATACCAAAAGAGGAGTCTCAAGGGTATTCTAGATATCCTTAAATGTAAAAAAATATATATATCTCAAAGAAACCGATATTCAATTCGAGATTATGGCTGATATATCTCTAAAATATATATAGAGATGTTTTTAATTCAAAGTGAGATATATACTGTACATATACATTTTGTACGTCAAACATACAATACAGTCAAAGGTCAAAGTATAAATCCAAGGTCAGCAGTCGGCAGTTTTAAGATATATATATCCGAAGTTGGCAGTCGGAATAACTGAAGCGAAGTGCCGACCTCGAGATAATACATATAACTGAAGCAAAGTGCCGACCTCGAGATAATACATATAACTGAAGCAAAGTGCCGACCTTGAGATAATACATAAAACTGAAGCAAAGTGCCGACCTCGAGATAATACATATAACTGAAGCAAAGTGCCGACCTCGAGATAATACATATAACTGAAGCAAAGTGCCGACCTGCCGACCTTGAGATAATACATATAGGCTAGCTGAAGCAAAGTGCCGATCTGCCGACCTATAACTAAAGCAAAGTGCCGACCTCGTGAAAATGAATATAACTGTATTCGCCGAATTTACTCATTAATACAGATTTCATTATGCACCTGGAACTATTTGTTCCGTACACTCCAGTTTATCCCATTATTTAAGGTCACGACAGTTTCTTATTGTATTCTATGTTAATTCACATTTTTTCGAAAGATTTGCGCGACTTCGTGTGACATCCATTTTCAATAAAACTTTATATCATTTTAGAGAGTTATCCTGTGTTTCTTCCAGTAGTATTTCTTTTTATAATATTATCCGTGTCTCTGTTGTGGAGATATCACTTTTCATTACAGCATAAAACATATAGTTTGACATCATTCCCATCTAGACACGGTGTTCAATTATAATTAGTCGTAAAAATTGTTTTTGGTCAATTAACTCATCATAGCACGGACTTAGATAACTATTCTAATTCCGTGATCATAGTTAGAATTCTATGAAATTATATAAATATTACCAATAGAAGCGCTAAGTAATTCTTTAGTTTCGATAAAATGACGACATTGTTTTCGAGGACTTGTGTGGCATGTAATTACCAAATTCGTACTTTTTTTTAATAAACTGTATAATTGACCAAGCGAAAAACAGCTTCAGTTTGCTTTGTTTTGTGTCAAAAGACGCCTGAAAAATCTGAAAGCTCAAAGAGGCCGAAATAGATTATTTTTTTCCACCAGAATAACACTTTTAACTCGTTTTTGAAAAATCGTGAAATAATCATTTTTATATAGCAATCTAATTCCGTTTCTCTATTAACTTTAAAGTTAAATGAGGTTATATTTATTTCGTGCACGACTAAGCGTGTATAAAAAAAGTATGAAGTCTACTCCATACTGGATACAGTTTGAAAGATTTTGGCGAAATTTGGTATGAATCAATATCGTACACCAAGATGATAGTGATGATGAGTTTGTGCAGGTTCGAAAGTGGGGGAGGGAGAGTGTGTGGATTAATTAAAAAAATTCCCTACGGCAAACTGATTAAATCAAAATTAACGGGTGTGCTCCCTAGTTGACGGAGGGTTGGAGCCAAAAAATAGAAATTGAGACTATTCCTAAGTATAAGAGGACATCTTTTGATAAAATAAAAATTGTATGAAGCTTATCAAATGCAAATAGGGAGAGGGTCATTCTTGTATATTACAAAGAGGCGGGACAGCGGGGTATGGGGATTTGAAGCATTTGTGGATCAAAGTGAATTAACAAATGATATAATACTAACATTCAATGATATTGCAAGTTTTAACCACGAAATTAGATCTACATGTAAGACCGTTGGTTGTAACACAGACGTACGTGTCTCTGGTTGTAAATGATTTAATGCAAGCAGCATTGCAGTAAATAGACAAAACAGAAATAATCTTACTAGAACATGTCAATAAAGTATTTTGTGCTTCAATTACTTTTTTATAATTAATAATTTTTCTACCTTTTCCTGTTGACTGCGATGTACCTTAAAGCATAGGAAAAGATCACGGACAAGATACATCTTGACTTTTTTTTTTGTGCTTAAATTTGTCTTACATTATAAAATGTCGACGTCCCGTTACATCGTAATGAAGTATGAACTTTTGTTTGGATTTCTGCACTAGCTGTTTACTGTAAACAATGCGTGACCTACTTCACACAACGACGTGGTTAGGCCAGGGTGGTCGAACCTTTATTGACCGAATTCCATCAAAATATTTTCACAATGTCTATGCATATGATTGACAAGTCTTAGCATGGGAGCCTTGATGTCGTAAATATATTTTTGTAAAATTGCAACAATCACCTAAAAAAATATATAAGAATATGAAAATGTGCCGATATAATACTCCTACTCAGCGTGACACTTCTTTTTTAAAAATATACTTAACATTTTTTAGAGAGAGATGACGTAAACTAATTCTGTTCTGCACGACTGTTTTATGGCAGTCAATGTTTACTGATATCCAAGATGGAAGGCACTGTCTGAACAAGTTTTGATATTAGCGTACCTGTGTCAGTTTAAACGTAAGTATTGCAAAGCTATGTACATATTTTCTGAATAGCCCTTTTCGACACTGTTATTCTGTAAATGAGAACAAGTTACGCGTTGAAAATAGCAAAGAAGAGACCGTTAAATAAGAATTTCCCTCGTGAGTGAACCATAATCCTTCGGCAGATGTCCCCATGCATTTTTGATGATCATCCCGTTCCAACGATACGGTAGTGTCGAGTAATGGCTAGTTGTCTTCATATGTTGTTTTATCAAGTTTCGTCTAGTGTCTTGAAACATTTAACACATCGTGTATGGAAAAACACAGATTTCCAGGAGAATTAGTTTTAATATGTTTAGATATGTACTCCAATATGTGTCAATGAAAAATATCTCACTATTATTGTCGAGTGTTAGGCAAAAAGATATAAGTGGCTGTATATTCCCACAATTTTACTTGTCACACCAGTGATGAGACATCAGTGCAGATTTGAATTGTTCTGGTTCTCAATTTGTAACACGGTACTCTAAACAAAAGTAAGTAAATTTATACAAAGAGTAATGAAGCTACTTAATATCTAAAATAAGTTAGCTAAAAGAATGATTGAAATGGGTTGTTATTGTATAAATTGTATCATGTGTCATATTATGTGTGTACTATGTCCATCAATGTATACTATGTCATTTGTGACCTCTTGTTTTGCACGTATACGTGTGGGGTGAGTGTAAAAATAAAACTTGAAAACTTGAACTTGGTAATTTGTGTGACTGCACACTAAAAAATACTGTGCATACATCAGCTTCACATTTCAATAACACAAAAAAACATATAGAACACAAAAAAAATGGAGAATGACAGAAATGGAGAAATTTTAAATATGCAACTAGTGATGTTCAAAGCATTCCAAAATGTATCAGAAATTCAATCATATTAGTAGTTTAGTATCACAGAACCATATGGGAGTTGCCCATGCAGAAATAAATGCAAAGTATGACCTCGTATGACCCAAAGATGAAATTTCAAGAGTCATAGCACAGGAGAGGACAACCAAAGGCCACTGAAACCACCAAAGTATGAACATCTAACATGTTAGAAATGTGGAATTGAATATGTGGGTCAAACAGTGAATGTTAGAGGATTATAGAGGTCATTGCTATGATATTCAAAAGAAACTTGTGTACATTGTACAAGCTTTTAGCAATAACATTTCATGTTGGCCTACCACAATGCCAATGACATCACCGTGATTGCCATCACATCACAACAGGCATTTGTTATGTCAACAAGAGATTATGATCTGAGGAGACTTTGATTCAAACTTTGAGAAGGAAGCAGCCATGGGGCATCAATATTACTTCATAATAGTCAAAACAAAAACCACACCAGCTAAGTATAATTTTTGTTGTGAAGAAAATTCAAAAAGCTGAAGAAACCATACATACAGTGTAGTTGTTTTTGTTGGGAAGGAAAGTCAAAAATCTTAAGATACAAAATGTTCCTTGCATATAGTGTTGAAACCTATGTCAGTATCAAAATGTTTACAGCGGTATGCCAGTCATGCTCATGTTACAGTCCAGTACAGTTTAAATGTAAGATGTGTAGAAAAACACTCAGTAGGAAAGATGCATGGCTATATGCACATGAAGAAGAAGTATCAAGGAGGTACATGTATGTTGAAGCAGAAGTAGTCACCAGGAGTCCAGGAAAAGAAACCAGAAGCTGTATGAAGACCAGTGGAGGCACTCACCAAAATGCAACTGCAGGGCACTGTTAAATTCTGTGAACAACCGTCAATTTCCATACAACCACAGGTACAGGACCAGCATCTTCTATTCTAGATCTTAGCCATATTGACTTTGAGGATACAGCATCTACAGCCAACTCTAGATCTTCAGAAGACTTATGATGTATAAGGAACGTACTGGCAGGGGTCGACACTAACACAAATCCTGGACTAGTAGATTTCAGCGAGGACTAGTGAATCACCTAACCTAAATGGTCCTTTGGACTTGTGAAGAATACGGTTATAAAATAAGAACATTTCATTCTAAAATTTAGTAAACTGCAAAAAAATAAGATATATTCATTGCATGATTGTCAAAATTTTCCTAAACGTTACCATATATTTATTGTAGTAGTTATTCAAAGTCTCCTACAGTCAATTACTTTTGATGTTTTGTGCTGTACATCACAATTTTTTTCCTTATCAGGAAATCTTGGACTAGTTACATTGACAAAGGACTAGTAAGTAATCTATTCAACTAGTCCTGTGGACTACCTAACAAAAACAGTTAGTGTCTCCTGACTGGGGTACCAAAGTGAGAGTGTCTAACCCTGACTGGGGTACCAAAGTGAGAGTGTCTAACCCTGACTGGGGTACCAAAGTGAGGGAACCGACTGCCAGGGTGAACATAAACATAAACAGATCATTGAGATAACATTTATGTTCACAGAACAATATTTATTATTAGATGGAGTTACATCTTGTTTCATGAACATTGAGTATATCATAGAAAATAAAATTCATAGACAACTTGGTCTCTGAAGAAAATGATCCCATATACCTTAACCTGAAGTGTTTTTGAAGGTATTCTTGTCAATGGGTTTAAAGTTAAGTTGAACATTATATATATATGATGCATGTTGGTATATGTAGATCAACTGTCCATGGGTTTAAAGTTAAGTTGAACATTATATATATATAATGCATGTTGGTATATGTAGATCAACTGTCCATGGATTTAAAGTTAAGTTGAACATTATATATATATAATGCATGAAGGTATACATGTAGATCTGCAGTAAGTGTGTACATGCTGTCACCTTTCTAGATTATAGCACTTAATTAAACATTTCAGTATTTTCAATATCAGCTCTGTACATTGATGCAGCATGTATCAGAAATAATGCTGCAGTTTGAAGATGACATTGTAAAATGTGACAATATGACATTGGACATATATAGTAGACCTCCATTACAGATAATGATGACCAGTTGTATTGATCTTTCGTGATCAGAATTCACATCATTTGCCATTATTAAATTGCTTCAGCTTTGAGAGTACTCATTTTTGTGGACATAAGTTGTGAAGTAATTTCTGCAAAATTGTTTCTATTTGGCAAGGGAATGATGACAGCTATTTAAAATTGTGTCTGAATTAATAATATTTATAAGGTTGTAATTGATTCTCATTGGCTAGAAGATATCATCTCTTATATAAGTGATAAACACTATATATACAAGTATATATTTTAAGAAAAAATAAAATGAACTAAAATCATCACATGTCTATTAAGTTGTCTTATTTTGTTCCTGGTGGCTAATATCAGAATACATACACAACACTATATATGTATTACTTAACTAATTATAAATTTAAAAGATATTTTTTCAGACAATGTTAAGCTCCATGATAGTTTGTCCCAATAGCCATGTGTACTGTACCTGTACATGTGGGAGGCCATTTATATTCTGATTGTATTGATGTGTACAATTTTAAACCAGCACTGAAACAAACATTTGTTCACCATATGTTGATCTGCTAAAGGTAGTTTCCATTCCATAAAATGTATCGTCGGTGTCCTTGTAAATAAAACATTCACATTACTGTCTACTGTCCAGAATCACCTTGTCCCTACTGATCATTACCTGGCAAATCATCAGACTTTAAGGTTTAAGAAATTCGTACATGTTTATAACTGATTAAAAAGTGTCAGGCCATATATTTAAGGAGTTTTGGAGTTTAATCCTCTATAATCAGGTATAATCTTATTCAAAAGCTACTGATTTCCTCTGTACAGTAAAATGAACACAGCCAGCTGTATTTGTATCGTAATAAAATAAATAATGGGTAATGTTATTCAGTTTAGTCTTGTCCTTGCTGTTATACCCATAGATTACATGTGGTATTATAATAACATGTACGGCAAATCAAATGTATTACACAAATATATCTTTAACTATGTATACCTAAGTATCAGTTACAATGTATGATGTGAATGAAGATGTGAAAAAATCAGTGTTTTTATGTGTAGATTAATTATAATTTACTACAATCTTTATATTCATATAAATTATGTGTTCCTTTACAAGTTTATGACCTTAATAACTTCCTTAAAAATTCGTTTGAAGACATGTTTAATTGAGTTTAAAGCTTTTGAACATCTTATAAGGAAAGTTACATCTATTTTGTTAGTACTTAGCTGAAATCTCTGGTATTAAAAGTTTTTAATTTGCCAAGTTTAAAAGCTTAAAATGTTAAATTCATGTAGTGATGATGTTAAAAGCATTGATAGCTTGATGGTCAAAATTGAAATATTCAAAAAGAAAGTTCTCATTTTTAAAATTACAAAGATAACGAAATTGCACTTGCTGAATGTTAGACACAGTTGCATGCTATTGTGTTTGTTTTTAATTAATATACATAAATGTATATTCATAAAAATATTCATGGTTCATATATTTGCTGATCAATTTTGTTGGCTAGTCTGTGCGTGCTCAATGTGTTGTCATTAATCTGTCTCATAGCTGACTTAAGTCTTAATCCGTTTTTAATTTGGAATTGGGACTATTATAGTGGTATTAGGTGTTGTTATTTAGAATAGAAATCATTTAACCGTGTCACATTTGGATATTTATGAATTGACCCCACCAGATTTTGGAATGATAGACTTGAAATGGCCTTGTAAGGCATTTATGTATGTGTGACAACATTTCTTGGAATGGCTGATCCACTCTTTGATGATAACTATGCAGGGATGTTGCTACAGTTAAGGATTTTGAAAATACTTCACAAACTATAGTATCAGGCTTTCCTGATCACTTTATAAGTGTGCATACAGCCTTGAATGGAGAAATGTGAGCTGTCAAAAGTTGGAGGATTATAACCGAATTCTGACACGATGTATTTGTCACACATGTCAAGGTATGTTTCCTGTATACAGAGGAATCTGAAAATTGTCAAACTGCCATTCAGCATAATCTGAAGGACAGGCATATAGTCAAGACTTGCAAAATTTCTAAGTTATGAGATAAAATAGAAATTTAGTTGTGGAGAAGACGATTGTGAATGCATTTTATGCAATCGCCTATCGGACGGCAGAAAGGCGACAATAACTATCATTGATTAGTCCTCGAGTCATGATCAAATTAAACTCAAAATTGGTGGATTTTCCAGATTTCTACATGTAGACTTGGGACAAAAGGAAGCTATAGAGTATACAGTACACTACGGGAAAATGGGTTGAACTTTGTGTGTATTGGAATCACATGATACATTATACCTCTGAAAGGTACTTTGAAATACCCTTCATATGAAAACAGTCATGAAATAGCATCAGATAATTTTACACATGTTGCTGAATCATACGATTGTATTGATAATCGCTTATAAATAATAATAATTGTATTATTCTGACCCCAGTTTTATAAAAAATCTTTGTAACTTAGAGGTAAGGAAATCCCTGAAGATTTTCCTTAGGGAAGAATTAATGGCGTTAAGGAGAAATGTTATGTTAAGATGATTTTCCTTTATCTCAGTAATACCTTCCTATAGGGAATCTTAAATTAAGAATTATATATATATCTTGAGTTAAGTAACTTTCCTAAAACTACGATCTGGTATAGTGTACACCGTCACAATTTAACCATTATTTAAACAGTACTAGTGGTAGTGTAATTCAGGTGTCCATCACATACCCACATGGATTTTCAGTAAGAATCATGAGTCTGAAAACATAAAGGTAGTGATCACAAAGATTTACATTTTTATACAAAAATTTAGTAAACATATCGTTACATTTTTAGACTCAACTGGTCTTATTTTTAGACTTTACTATTCTCTTTATCAATCTATTAGTTAGATTATTTTTATATAGCTCAAGAAGGTGGCCAGTAAGATTTGCAACGCTGCAACTATTTGTGTAAAAAGTAAAACTTTGATACCTATCTTCAGGTTTATGTAAAAAGTTTAAATAGGTTTGTGTGATATAATATGTTTTATGAAACATTCAAGAACCTTGTAACATCAGGAAGATATTTTAAACATAAAATGGTGTCGTCCAAATGTCAGAGTTGTGCTGGTAGGCTATTGTGTTTATGACCATCAGTGGATGTTCATGGCCTGACTTGAGAATGTGTTTACACTACGATCATCAGATTATCAATAAAGAAGTGTGTCAACATCATTTTATAGTTTTATGACATTTGAAGATGGCTGGAATAGTTTCTTAGTAATTTATTTGTTCAGTTTTAACTTTTCTCATTTTACATGAGCAGCACTAAACACTTGCCCATTATATCTAATAAAACTTCATCAATATAAAGTGAGGACAATATAAAAGAGACTTTCCTTACCTGGTTATTGCTTTTATGCTTAAATCACTGACAGGATCAAGATTTAAACTTCGATTTTCACGGGATTCATTAACGCGATATACAACTAGTACTGCTGCAGCGACCAGTTTTAACTGAATTTCAAAATGTCTTATTTGGATTTACCTACCGTTTACGAACATCATGAATTGTGATGATGTACAAGAACTTGCACAGTCAGCCATATTACCGAACACGTCTTCACAGACTAAAGCGTAGTAGGCCTAGACGAAGAAAATATGTGCAGCCTAGGCCTATATATCCTCTTGGGACAAAACATCACATTTATCCATATGTGGTTAACTTTAAATTACCTGCACATACTTATAGGAAAGGTTTACCTACGAAATCTAGGATTCAATTGATAAACAGGCACCAGCTGTAAGTTCATTCAAAATGGGTGCATTTTTTAAAATGGTTTCTTTCCACTGGATGATAAATCAATTTAAGGCGATCTTTCCCTATGTATTGCGACCAGTTTTGACAAATTTTCAATATACCATATGTATAGTTGTGTACATTTGGATTTAGAGCAGTAGAGTGCTGTACATGTGTTTTGCCTGGTCCAGCCTCCAGGTATAGGATGGAGGTTACACATATATAGCGCTGGATTAATATTATTGATTGACGGTTTCGTTCCTGCCCATCATTGATCCAACATTACCCAGTCTTACCTAAACTCCTGGATCAATACCTACTAATTTCATTTTGCCAATGCATCTTTTTGTTCTAGTACTGAAATATTCATGCATATTTCTTCTGTATGGGTATGTGTCTCAATTTCTTTTGGTTGAGAGAATTTTCTCCATGGCTGCTGATATCTAATTGATCTGTTAATTCTTGGCCTTGGTACGTAATAATGTGGTGTAAGTTCATTTATACCTGATGATCTTTTCAATTCGTTTGCTATTTTAATGTCTTTGCTGAATTCTGTGGATGGAGGATTTTATGATGTTTTAGAAATCTATTCTTCACATTGCAGTAGTCCATACAGCCAGACTTACCAGTATGGCAGCAGCCCGGGGCTGTCAGGTTCAGTGACTCGGCTAAGAGGACACATCCTGACCCCAGGGGTTACTGGACTATATACCATCTCGGAGAGAGAAGAGGAACAACTTCCAGGTATGGCTTGAATTTGAATATTGTTCTATTGCATCTCTCAAAGTTACAAATTTATATATAAAAAATAACCCAACAAATATAAAGCCAATCTATGATCTTTGGTTCATCACAAAACGGTCAGTGTTATCATAAACTGTTAATTTAAACAATTTATGTGAATTCACTAACTGTATGTTGAAGTACGTATATTCTTCTCTATTTTAATTACATTTCAAGCGAGATGGCTTAATATAAGATTTAAAATCTTGTTGCCAGATTCTATTTCTATAAAATTTACCTGGGTACTTGTTATATATGACGAATGAAATAAAATATTGTTTAAACCAAATATAAAGCCAATGGCAGTTTAAAGTGTGTGGGTTGATAAGTATGGGGTACTTTGCTTTGAGTAAATTGCTGTGTAGCTTTAGGGTATGTAGGGTGATTCATCAAAAATAGAGGGAGATTCAATCACTAAATACTCGAACTGAAATTAGAGTCCTGTACAATATATAGAACAGACAGATATCTAACACTACACATGAATTACAGGTAGAAATCATCTCTTTTTATGGAAGAAAAGAGAAATCCAATTGTGGTACATTTCAGCTCATCCAGACACAAGACTGGTGATGTCGTGGTTACCATACTGTGTTGATTAGGACTACATGTATTGGACATTCTGCCACGTTTTCAATTTAACAACACTTTTCATTGATAAATAGCCATGGATTATTGGACGATAGACTTTCTGCTCCAAAGAACAGTCTATTTAAATGATGAAATTATCTAGGTCATTCATTATTTTATTCATTATTTGTGTGTAAATCAATCTTGATGAAAGGATTGCTAACAGTAACAAAACCTTTTTTTTAATTAGGGAATGTGTATAAAAAGAAATACAAGTTGACAATGAGTGCCGAACGTCAACAGAAACATTTACCAGGTAAGAGGTTTTTACCTTTGTCAGTTTCAGAACTTCAAACATGATAAGAGTAGAATGCTATGTTCTTAAACACTAAAAGATCAGGAATTTGACTAATTATATAACAAGAATGCATAAAACTGTTCTCAGACTGGAAATCAGGTCCAGTAGCCAAGTTCAAACCTTAGTTGATGCTGTTATAATTCTACCTACAATGTACATATTGATATGCATATATGGTTAAAGTTATACAAACTTTGAATATTTTTCATTTCTAACAAGAAAACATTTGAAAACCAGTTCCATGTATTATATATATATGTTATCATGCTTGTGTTCTAACAAGATGAGACTGGTAAAGGTGCTGGATCATCTTCACGAATCAGTGCCCTACAGAGTCCAGAAAAACATGGCGCGTCATACGGGTCGGTACCGGACATCACATCCTCAGGCATATACAAGGTATAGTCCTCCTTGTCGTATACTTCAGTGCTTCAGTAGGCTCTTCTCTGCTGTGACTTTAACTATGCCTGGGTCACAGTCTGACCTATTTACTATAGTAGCTGTAGATTTGTGACTAACACTTTAAACATGTGCTATTGGTAATGACTAGCTTTGAATGCTTTCTACCTTTATGGTGTCGTAGTGTGATTAGTAGTTTTAGTTTTTTTGTGCTCTAAGGAACCAATCTAGATCAAATTTGTTGCTTTCATTGATGTATTCTATGGATATGTAGAGAAATCCATGTATTAAGCTTGTTTGAATTTGCAATCTGTGTAAATGGATAAGTTAAGATGCTAGTTCATTTTTAAAAAAAACACCCAGCATGTAGCATTCAACCACTCACCCTATGCTATCTGATATGACCTTTCACCAGTCACAAACTAACGAATTGGTTTTGTCATTAGTGCATGTATGTCCGAAATCCTTGTATTAAAAACACAGGTAGAGGATGACCGTCAGGTAATGACATCACAAACAGAGAGGCAAGGCAACACTGAGGGTGAAGCTGCCATCAAGGAAAGTCTTGATGAAGATGGGGAAAAGAAAATAACATCTCTATGGAGTTTGCAACCAAAAGCACCTAGTACTTCTAGTGTCGAGATTGAATCAGAATCTCCCTCAACAGTAGAGCTGGATCCATCAAGGAAGGAGGACAACCACCAAGAGAATGGCAATCTGGAATCTGGTACAGCACTGCAATTTAAAATGGATAGGTTGGTTGAGCATATATCATTGGCTGCCACACTGAACAAGGATGAAGATGTTGTCAGAGATATGTCGGAGAAGTGTTACATTGTGGAAGATTTTGATGCTATTGAAGTCCTGATGAATGAAAAACCAGTGATGACTTCTACCCCAAATAATAGTCTATCAGACAGTCTTTTTCGCAATTCAGAGGAATCCACTGCAACAACACCAGGTACAAATATCAAAACCACTGACACTTTGACCATTGATAATGGCACAGAACATATTTCTGCAACCAGTATGGCTGATATTTGGGCTGATGCTGAGGATCAAACAGTGGAAGGATTTGCTGCTGAAGCCAGGGATGGTAAAGATGGGACATTGGATGCTGATGAAATCCACAGTATAGGAATAGGAGGCTATTCCAGAAGAACAAGTGATGCTTCCCTGTTAGATGGTGCTGATGGATCCTATCCAAAACATAAGCATAGGCCAATGCATGCTAAAATTCAGCGGAGATTGAGTCGAGAATTTGCAGGTGAGCTGGAACATGCTCTTGAATCCCTCGCTTCAGTTAATCCTGATCAGATTGCTTGTGAAAGTGAACAAACTGTGGAGAAAAGTTATTCCAAGAATGGTATTCCATCTGTGGATTTCACAACAGGGATCAGCAATGTTTCTCTGTCTGATTTCTCAGAGAGAAATATTCACAACAATAGACCAATGCATACCAAGATTACGCATGAAGGAAATCAGCATACAGAGCAAATCAGCTCCAAAGGCAACCAAGATGGGGATTTATCAAATGTCAAACCCGCTGAAACTTTAGCAAACAGTTATGACAGAGATGCTGCATCCACAACTACACCATCCATTACCTACACTGATGCCAAGGATAATTCAGCAGATGGACCTGAAGCTGGAACCAGTAATGGTGAAGGTGAGACTTTAGACTTCTGTAGTACAGATGCTGAAGGCTTTGCTAAAGGAAAAAGCGGTACATTGGCTTCAAACCTTGATGAAAGTTCCCATCATCATCACAAACTTCGACCCAAGCATGGGGCAATCCAGCGAAGGTTGTCTTTGTGTGGATTGGAACACTTACGTGACAATGACAAAGCAGATCTTCAAGATGAGGATGTTTCTTCCTCTACTGGCCAGGATCTAATGAAGAGTGATTCAGCAGTCAAGTTCAATGATACTGTGATGGTCAACATCTTTTCCTCTAGTGATTCCAAATCTTTGTCATCAGCAACTGTTCTCAACGATGCAGCAGAGGAAGCTGCTATGGGGAAAAACCAAGATCAGTCCTCAGACTCTGCTTTTGCTGCACCAACTCTGGCTAAACCAGTTTTTGTTTCATATGTTAGAAGGGATAGTGCTGTTAAATTGTCCAAACCGGCTGACATCATCAAAAAGAAGCAGAAAAAGCAAGCAGAAGCTATGTTGTATCAAGACAAGTCATCCAAACTGACCCAAGGTAACAAACCTCAAGGCAATCCCTATGACCTTGAAGACAATGGCACAGAACCAACAGCAGAACATTGTAGTAAGAATTCACCAGATGCATATAGCAATCTGCAATGGACAACTGTCAAAGATTCAGGTAGCACTTCAAGCAGAAATGATTGGGGCAAAGAGCAACTACTTGTTGGTCCCTCCTCTTCATCACTTGAGGGAGAGTTCAAGAGTTGTTTAGATGTTGACTTCAACAACCCATTAACACTTCTGGAGCATCTCCGCGACAAAGATGACGACTCTCAGTCGCACCATAGGCTGATGAACGGCAATGGTCAAGACAGAGGAGTGACCAGTGGTCAGTCAACTGAGAGTATGGGTCAAGGTCATAAAATATCATCCCAATTATTCCAACCAAAGATAGAGAAAGATTCTGTAGAAACAGAGAGAAACAAATCAATGCATCCAACAGTCATAAATGCCCATTCAACGGATGAGAGACCATCAGTTGTTGGAAAACCAGGACATGTATCACAATATAGACCAGTGGTTGAGAGGAAAAGGGAAGAGAGCTCTGAAACCATCTATCCAACCTCCTCAGCACTATTCAGGACAAGAAGGGACCAAGAAATAACCAAGACAAATATTCTGTCTCCAGGATATGCTGGTCTAGATCACACCATCCCATCAGATCTGGTGCTGAAAAGGAAGAAGAAGGAGAGTATAAGAGATGACACAGATTTCAGGTACCCAACTTCATCAGAGTTGTTTCATAAGAAATTGGACCAAGAATTGGCTGATGCAAAACTGAAATCCTCAGGTCAAGAAGAAGTGGATCCTGAAGGTTGGTTAGGGGCAAAAAGTGGTATTGACCATACAACACCGTCCAAGCTGCTGAGAAAGTATCAGGACAGAGAAGCAACTTCTTCACAACCAAACTCTTCTGGATATACGGCATTGGATCACACAACACCCTCAAGGTTGTTCCAAAAATGGTTGAATTACAAAAGGAAAAATAGAACCAAACAACAGCAAAAAGCTGCAGTTTCATCAAAACCATTACTGGAAAGGAAACACAAAAACAGTGATGATACGATTTATCCTACTTCATCTAAGCTATATCAGAAACGAGCAGACAGAGAAAGAACTTTGAGTAATTCTAGGTCACCTCCAGGATACAAGGAATTTGACCAATCAAAATCCTCAGTGGTCAAAACAGAAAGGAACAAGGAAGAGGGGTATGAACAGATGCATCCTACCTCCTCTCGGTTGTTCCAGAAGAGAGCAGATCGTGAGGTAACAGACAGAAATTCCAAGTCACCTGGCTATGGACATTTGGACCATGCAACTCCTTCAGAACTTTTTCAAAGATCCGAAAATAATGAAGATAAAGCGGACCTGCATTTGACATCTTCAAAACTGTTTTGGAAAAGAGTAGATATAGAGAAATCCAATTTAAAGTCACCGGAATACAAAGAGGTGGGTCCACCTTCTCTGAAACTTTTATGTGCAGCAGATCTTGAAAACACAACACCATCAAAACTGTTTAGTAAGTGTGAGGGTACAAACAAGGCGACTGCCCTGCAGGAATCTCGTGGCTATAAAGAGCTTCACCACAATTATCCATCTGAAGTTTTGATGAAAAATCCAGACCAACAAGTGAGCCATGTCCAGCAAAAGTCTTCCAAATCTTCTAAAAAATTTACTATTTCTAGGCGAGGAAGTAGGCCTGAGCTATTTACAAAGAATGCCGTAAAGGACAGTAGTTCAAAAGAAACCTCAAAAACTATGGCCACTGGATATTGTGATACAATGGCAAAGTCATCTCAGAAAAATAAGCCATATACAGTTCGGTCAGCTCGGGGTCAAGTGTCCACTTGTAGCTCCAGTGATAAAAAGGGGGTCTACACAACACCATCAAGGCTGATGCAGAAGAGAGAGGACACAGAAACAACATCTGAAAACCCAAACACTCCAGGATATGCTAAGTTTTTAGATGGTACAACACCATCAATGCTTTTAAAGAATGTTGAGCAAGAACCAAATCGAAAAGAATCTGCAGACCAGTTCAAACGCAGAGGTAGTTATACTCATGGTAAAATGGATTCAGGGAAGACGAGGATTACCAGCAGTCCAGACTGGACACTGTCAGACAGTGGAAACTGGACACTTCCCACTCCAAGCAACCTTACCATGGATCAACTGAACTCTGACCCCTCATCTCCAGGGCCTCTGCATATGGCCAGTGAGATCAGCCAGGGAACTTGTGTGTCGGAAAAAACACCACAACAGCAGGAGAATTTCAACAACTGGAGAACACTCAGTGATATCACCACTTACTACATTGAGTTGTCTGAATATGTGTCTAAGATGGCAAAGAAAATGAGGATGCACAGTACTAGTGAGCCCCACTTCATAGGCATGCAGGACCCAACATGTAGTGTGTCGACTCAGAGGTCTGAAGATGGGTACCAAACTCATTCTTACGATTCAAGGATGACTGATAATGAAAGTGATGAGGAGATAATTGAACCTGGTAGAATTCAAGGACCTGGTGCATCAGAGGGACAGAATGTTCCGTCAAATAAAATAGCACAAAGTAACGAGCCTCAATCTGACACTTCTGGAGGATCCATCACAGATCATGCTTCTTTTAATGATGCAGACAGTCAGTATGTATGGAATTCTCATCCCAATTTTAGTGGAAAAACCATTTCTGATAGCAGTGCATACCCATTGTCATCCAGCGAGGAAGTAACAGTCAAACCACTGTGCAGGAAATCATCAATTAATTCCTCCTTCACAGCCTATTCTGATTCCTCATCAACTGACGATGAGGATCACACTGGGTCGTCAACAGATACTGAGAGTAAGAAAATGTTACCTGAGGATTCTTGTGGTCTGAACACCAAGGATATGAAATCTAGCCTTGCCTCTCTGCTTTCTTTATACTTCACCAACCGAGCACCTTCCTCCTCCCTGTTTGATTTTTGCACCGACTCCACCTCATCTGAAGCTAGCATGGCACCTCCCACTGGTACTAATCACATGCAGGGACAGGTAACTCTTCCACAATCAATTGTTCAAGAGTTCTGTTTCTTCACTTCAATTTGCATGAACCAAACTTTATTTCATTTTGATGCATGGCTTATGATTTCCTTACCTTGACAGCATGTGTTGCTTGCTTGTTTGTTTGACATTTAACTGATCAGAATACTTTAGTGTAAGTATTTTTTTTGTGTAATGCTAGAAATCAGACAGGTGTCATTCAATTTTAATCAACTGTGTAGATTCATATCACAATGAAGATATTTGATTCTGTTGAAAATGTTATTTTTTATAAGAATTTATACTTAACTTCCTATATTCTGATCAGTTCATGTATTATTAATATTAATTAGGATTAACATATAATTTTGAATTAATCAGTTTTATAGATGTTTCATTTTACTAAATGTTAAAGAATATACAATATCAAGTCTTACTGAACTAACTTCCTCTGTGTTATTGACTAACAAAATGTTTATATTTCAGGCTGTTTTCTTCATACTTTGTTTGCAATAAGCTACACATCATGTTAAAGTGGAAAAGTTTGTGTGTGGAAATGTTCGCTTTGGGACTGTTCAAGCAGATTGCAGTGTGGAAAATTTCGCACTAGCAATGGTTGACATCTATGTACCTGCTATTCTATATACATATAAAATCTACAGATTAATTTAGGTGTATGAATATTTTGTCGCTAATTTACTTACACGAAACATATGAGCATTTCTACACACGAAACATATGAGCATTTCCACACTGCGAAAAGTTTACACTTTACAGCACCTTCAATAAATAAATGAAAATGGTTCTAAGCAATGCTTGTATGATGTGTACCACTTGAATTCGTAAATTTACATGGATTGATTTAAAGAGAACCTCTTACAGAATTTGTCCCCAAAAGGGAGGGTCCAACATGCCCCTACAAAACCTGCATCCCGTCTGCCCCGCCCCAAACCTGGCCGAGTGCGGGAGATGGTAGGTAGTCAGCTATATATCCTCCTGTCCCTCACATACCTGTTACATGCATCACTGACCCCGGCCTCACAAACTTCAGCCAACTCACTGCATGTTATATCTACCTGGAAAATTTGTAATCAGGCGCATGACTTGAATGTTAACAGATTCATACATGCATGCAAATATCCGACAAAAATTAATATCATTTTTAGCTTACCTGTCATGAAGTGCCTAGTATGAGGTTTTACAGTGGCATGTTCTCTGGCACCTGGCTTCTGTCCTGAAGGGCTGTCAAGTTTGTTGAAATGAATTACCTTGACCCATTTCCGCAGTCACAAAGTTAATAATAATTTGGGGTATGTAGTTTGCTGAGAGAAGAACAATAAAAAAAATTCCGGTAAGTTACCTTGACCAAGTATTTACGTGGTCACAGAGGTTAAATGTGTGAAAACACTAAACGAAAGATTGTGATAACACAGTTTATCAAGTTCAACCATTCCAGATAGCTCTATGGAACCTGGTACATGTACCTACATTAGACCAGTGCCCTATTTGTAGCTTTCACTGTTTTTGATTTCCTATTTTCAATATCTTTCCCATAATCATAGAAAACAAATAGCCAAAACATACTAAATTCACTGTTTTCTGGGTAGGACTTCATCTGATTAAGGCCATACAGTGTTTTCTGTTGATATAACCATAGTGTTATAAATACTTCAATCAATGTTTTCCCCAGAACCATAGTGTTATAAATACTTCAATCAATGTTTTCCCCAGAACCATAGTGTTATAAATACTTCAATCAATGTTTTCCCCAGAACCATAGTGTTATAAATACTTCAATCAATGTTTTCCCCAGAACCATAGTGTTATAAATACTTCAATCAATGTTTTCCCCAGAACCATAGTGTTATAAATACTTCAATCAATGTTTTCCCCAGAACCATAGTGTTATAAATACTTCAATCAATGTTTTCCCCAGAACCATAGTGTTATAAATACTTCAATCAATGTTTTCCCCAGAACCATAGTGTTATAAATACTTCAATCAATGTTTTCCCCAGAACCATAGTGTTATAAATACTTCAATCAATGTTTTCCCCAGAACCATAGTGTTATAAATACTTCAATCAATGTTTTCCCCAGAACCATAGTGTTATAAATGCTTCAAGTTCAATAGTAAAATATACAGAACTACATCAAATATAAGTATAGTTATAATGTTGATGGACATGTACCTCTGTTTCTTTGGTTATCTTTTCATCAGTAGGACACAGAGGATAATGTCATGTGATGCCTTGTTCGCAATTACAACTACATTTTGTACTAAGTTATCGTTACCATGAACATAACAAGAAATGTTATGGCAAAATTTATAAATGCTTATCATGGACCATTCTTGGTGAAGTAACTAGAAGTGTTGTCAGGTAAATAATGTTACACATTAAAAAGTTCATGTTTATACTTATAGCACACAGGTTTACATGTGTAACGACACAAAGATTTTGTTATGTCACACATAAACTGCATCTTTGTCAACGTATCAGCACAATATTGAATGGCTTCATTGTACTTTGGTTGAGGGGATCACAATGCTGTTGCATATCTTGACATTTTACAGCTGAAATGGAATATTGGTACAATTGAAAAAGCATGCCATATTTAATATATGTTTGCAGTTGATAAGAATTTGACAAGACATCATTTTTGAAATTTTAAAATGCATAAAAAATTTCACTTAAAAGTGATTATCATTTAATGCTTTCGATAGTTTTGTAAATAAAAAGCAATGATATATGTATAATGTAATTAAGAATAACCTGTTAACTTGATATTTAACTTGATCATATGTACAAGAAAAAATCTGTTGATATCATAATTATTGTGGACAAAATAAATGACATTTATTTAATTGTTGAATGTTTGAATGATTCATGTAATACTTATTGCCTCAAGTCTGACTTAAGTTGATTTGATCATTTTTAATTATATAGCACTAGAAAAGAAATCCTGAACTAATTTTTCACAATTCCTACTTGTTACTACATTTGCAAATTGGTTTGAGGGGAAAAATAAAACTAACAATGCAAATCCTCTGTCAGTTGGTAGTAAAAATAGGCTTATGGTTTCTGCAATAATAATATGCTTGGAATGGATGTTTTAACTGATTTTGTTAATGCAATGTACATTGTTATAAATAGATAGAGGATATGTTCTTCATTTTGTCATTAACAACAGTTATAACTTTTTTGCACTTGATTTGTCTGTAGACAAATGAAAAATACTACACACAGGAGTGTTTGTGAACTGTTATGATAAATTTAAGGATGCCTGCCAGCTAGTTGTGATGAGAGCTCACTGTGATATATGGTTGATGAGTTGACACAATGTTAACCATTTCTGATTTATGTAATCGTAGGATGTCTCTTCAACACACCTGAAAAATCCTAAGTAAATGTTATTCCTGACTCCAGCATATAATTGTTGTGTGTCTGTTATGTAGGGGAGGTATGAAGGGACACAGAAGAAAAGGAACCTCCCGAACATGAGGAGTGCCACACCTGATGGCAGGGGCATGATGATGGAGAAGGTAATTAGATGTTTATTACATGTATTAAAGCAGTTACTTAAGCTATTAAGTGGTTAAGGCGTCTGGCATTCTGCTACCTCTAGCGCTCCTGGGTCGCGGGTTCGAGGCCTACGTGGGGCAGTCGACAAGTACTGGCCGTAGGTCGGTGGTTTTTCTCTGGGAACTCCGGCTTTCCTCCACCACCAAAACCTGGCACGTCCTAAATGACCATAGACATAGCTGTTAATAGGACGTAACACACAAACAAACCAAACCAAACCTAAGCTATCTGGTTGCCATTTATACTTTATGAAATATACAACTGGCAGCGGCACTTTTGAAATGGAAAGCCAGAGCTCTCATTGATGTTTACTCTGCAGTCGACTGTCGGCAAAATGATATTTTAACTTAATTGGGTTTGATTTTCGTGCAAAGATTTAATTCAATATTGACAACCAGATGAATAATGTAATCCCATACCCGTGACTTTATTTTTGACAACATATTTACATGTTTTATGTCTTGACAATGAAAGACTCGCTGTGATTGGATAAGGATTTGACTCTCCGCTAATCAGAATATGTGTAACTAAATATAGCACAAAGTTGTAAAATTAAAACGGAGCTGAAATGAATGCTGGCAATCACATTCATTTTGCCTTGGCTACTGAGCCATACCGTTAGTGGAATTTTAGGTAACTCAACTTAACTGTGACACAACTTGTAAGTCATGTCTCGGGTCCTTTTTGTTGTCCAATTATGCCTGTCAGACTAATGATTTACCTGGGAAAAAGAAACAGAAAAAGAAAAAATAATTACAAAAGAATATTTGCACTGATTTAGTATAATTGTTAGCATTATTTTGAATCATACGTTCATGGGGTTTGCTTGACATTGACTATTGTAATAAATAATTCTTTGAATAATGTTAAAATAAAAAGGTATGTTATGTGTTAATGTGTTTGATTTGTGATTTGTCTTATTAACAGGAGATGATGGAAAGTCAGAACAGAAAGCTACAGATGGAAATCTCCACCCTACAGACAGAAAATAAGCTGATCAAAGACAAGTACAACAGGGCTACAGGTAGGTCACATAGACAAGCACAACAGGGCTCAGGTAGGTCACATAGACAAGTACAGCAGGGCTATGGGTAAGGTCACAGACAAGTACAACAGGGATATGGGTAAGGTCATATAGACAAGTACAACAGGGCTATGGGTAGGTCACATAGACAAGTACAACAGGGCTATGGGTAGGTCAAATAGACAAGTACAACAGGAATATGGGTAGGTTAAATAGACAAGTACAACAGGGCTATGGGTAAGGTCAAATAGACAAGTACAACAGGGCTATGGGTAGGTTAAATAGACAAGTACAACAGGGCTATGGGTAGGTCAAATAGACAAGTACAACAGGGATATGGGTAAGGTCAAATAGACAAGTACAACAGGGCTATGGGTAGGTCAAATAGCCAAGTACAACAGGGCTATGGGCAGGTCAAATAGACAAGTACAACAGGGCTAAGGGTAGGTCAAATAGACAAGTACAACAGGGCTATGGGTAAGGTCAAAAAGACAAGTACAACAGGGCTATGGGTAGGTCACATAGACAAGTACAACAGGGCTATGGGTAAGGTCAAATAGACAAGTACAACAGAGCTATGGGTAGGTCAAATAGACAAGTACAACAGGGATATGGGTAAGGTCACATAGACAAGTACAACAGGGCTTTGGGTAGGTCAAATAGACAAGTACAACAGGGCTATGGGTAAGGTCACATAGACAAGTACAACAGGGCTTTGGGTAGGTTGCAGCATTTCTTAGCATTACATACCAGTTCTGTAATTAATTTAAAAAAAGGTATTGTTTAATCTGGAGTTATTACTGATGACATGCTTATTTCTGGCACAGACAGGATTATGTAGTAGTAAAATGATCTGGATAGAAGTGTTTCAGTGGTAGTGATGTCATTTCTATGGTTGTGTATCAATAAAGAACACTTGCATTTCTGTATTGTTACAGCTAAGATCAATCACTTAGAGGAACAGTTAGCAGAGTCGAGGGAACAGCTGGAATCTCTCCATGGTAACCTGAACCAGGAACTCTCCGAGGTACAGAGGAGAAATAAGTCCCAGGCCATGGAGGAAATTGACCTATATCAGACCAAAGTTTCGACACTTACCAAGGAAAATCAGTCTCTCAAGACTGAGGTACAGTAGATTATCGTTTTTGAATTCATGATGAACTTTAAGCTTTTCAACTGAACACTTACCAAGGAAAATCAGTCTCTCAAGACTGAGGAACAGTAGATTATCGTTTTTGAGATCATGATGAACTTTAAGCTTTTCAACTGAACACTTACCAAGGAAAATCAGTCTCTCAAGACTGAGGTACAGTAGATTATCGTTTTTGAGATCATGATGAACTTTAAGCTTTTCAACTGAACAAAATTTTGAAATAGGTCATGGTGAAAGAAACAACTTGAGATTCAAAATTTTTGTAATAATGATAAATGAATGTGTGATAATGAAATTTGACTGTATGCGTGTATCATAAGGTAAGGTTGTTAACAAGAAACAAGAAATCAGTTTTATCGTTTTTAGGTGATATTCGTTTTAAATTCCAAAATATCCAAACTCCGTTTATTTTCATAAATTAAGTACTGCACATATAGCTATATCTTCGTTACAAATGAAAGCTTACTCTGACACAGCTGAAATTTTAAACTTTAAATATTTTTTTGCTTCAGGTTTCCTCCCTAGAGAAACAGCTTGAATCTGCTCACAAGAATTTGGACAGGGCTTTGCTGAACTCGGAGAAAACCAAAACACTTAATGCTCAAAACTTGGAAATCACCACACTGAAGGTGACTTTTATCTCCATTGAATGAAAACATAAGCCTCAGGTCACGGATGACATGAGAACTCAGACCTCATATTCAATCAAATTTTGAAAGTGATCTATAATGTCTCCATACCATACATTCAGCACTGTAAACCTAATACTGTATACCAGGAAATTTTTGCTCAGTCAAATTTTCACCCTTCAGTGGTAAAGACCTTACTTTCGTCAAATATTGAATTCGCCCTGCACATTTACATTTTATGTATATTGTGTTGATTACAATTAATGCTGGACATTATGATCAAATTCACACTCGTTACAAAGGGCAAAAAAGAATTACTGCAGAGAAAATTTCCCAGTCTACAGTTATCTCCATATCAAATAATGTATTGTATGTATTTTGTACTGAATACAGTAATATTAGTATTTCATGTGCTTGTTACTAACTGAACTGTTACGATATCCAGGATGAAGTGAACCGTGTCAAATCACTGTTGGAGCAGAGTGAGCGCCACCTACAGGAGGAGGACTCTCGTACCAAAGGGCTCAGTCAGCAGGTCATCAAACTGACAGAGATGAAAAATCTGCTACAGCAACAAATAGAGATGGGAGGGGGTGGAGCTACAGCCACTGACAAACAGGTATAACAAAGGGAAAGAAGGGGGTGGAGCTAAGGAGGGGGTGGAGCTACAGCCACTGACAAACAGGTATTACAAAAAGATGGGAGGGGGTGGAGCTACAGCCACTGACAAACAGGTATAACAAAGGGAAAGAAGGGGGTGGAGCTAAGGAGGGGGTGGAGCTACAGCCACTGACAAACAGGTTTAACAAAGGGAAAGAAGGGGGTGGAGCTAAGGAGGGGGTGGAGCTACAGCCACTGACAAACAGGTATTACAAAAAGATGGGAGGGGGTGGAGCTACAGCCACTGACAAACAGGTATAACAAAAAGATGGGAGGGGGTGGAGCTACAGGCACTGACAAACAGGTATAACAAAGGGGAAGATGGGGGTGGAGCTTCAGCCACTGACACACAGGTATAACAAAGGAAAAGGAGGGGGTGGAGCTAAGGAGGGGGTAGAGCTACAGCCACTGACAAACATGTATAACAAAAGGAAAGAAGGGGGTGGAGCTTCAGCCACTGACAAACAGGTATAACAAAAAGATGGGAGGGGGTGGAGCTACAGGCACTGACAAACAGGTATAACAAAGGAAAAGGAGGGGTTGGAGCTACAACCACTGACAAACAGGTATAACAAAGGGAAAAAGGGGGTGGAGCTACAGCCACTGACAAACAGGTATAACAAAGGAAAAGGAGGGGGTGGAGCTTTCGCCACTGACAAACAGGTATAACAAAGAGATGGGAGGGGGTGGAGCTACAGCCACTGACAAACAGGTATAACAAAGAGAGGGGAGGGGGTGGAGCTACAGCCACTGACAAACAGGTATAACAAAGGAAAAGGAGGGGGTGGAGCTACTGCCACTGACAAACAGGTATAACAAAAAGATGGGAGGGGGTGGAGCAACATCCACTGACAAACAGGTACAACAAAGGGATGTGAGATATACATGTAGGGGAAGAGACGAGTAAGTCTGTATTAAAACCTGTTTTGTGTAAACAATCTTTTTAAATAAAGACACTCCTGTGCCTGATGACTGCTAACATTTAACTTATATGTTACAATGTTTTCCACAGATCAAGTCGCTGGAGAAGCGACTTCGGGTGACAGAGGAGAGGCTACACCATGAGCGAGCTGACCGTGCTAATAATCTGTCACAGGTGGAGGACAAACTCCTAACAGAGAATGCTCGCTTACAGGTACGGTTTGTTTATCTCACATCATTTGATTTGACCGTTTTAACAGAGTTTATTTATGAAATTTGAATGGACCTTGTAGTCAGATAAAACAACAGACCTGGTATGTTTCCTTAGGGGACCTGGCAAGGTGTCATTCATCCTCGATACTAGTACTCCAGGGTTACGCTCACTTACGATCTCTACAACTCCAGAATATGTCATAGCAAAATTGAAGGCTCAGTGTGTGCCACCTTGTAGATGAGACAAGAAGACTAGTTTGATCCTTTGATGTACGTCAAAATATTCTGTTGGTCGTGTAATGGTAAAACTGACTGGCTCGACTATTACCATACATGTGAATGAGCAACTGTTTTGGTCTTTCCATTACATACTGTAAGAGTAATCAGGGACATTTTATTGCAACACTATCACATCAAATTCAAATTAGGAGGAAACTTTTTTGGTTTTCTGATTATTTTTTTTGTTACCTGAATGAACTGGTATAAACCATGGAAAACATGGTCTTGTTCCCACAAAACTGGCTTGATGAAATAGTTTGATTAAAATGTATCATATGAATCAAAAGCAACCAGCCAGAAAAATGACATACAGTGCCTCTGTTGTTCTAAAGTAAAATGACATACAGTGCCTCTGTTGTTCTAAAGTAAAATGACATACAGTGCCTTTGTTGTTCTAAAGTAAAATGACATACAGTGCCTTTGTTGTTCTAACGTAAAATGACATACAGTGCCTTTGTTGTTCTAAAGTAAAATGACATACAGTGCCTTTGTTGTTCTAAAGTAAAATGACATACAGTGCCTTTGTTGTTCTAAAGTAAAATGACATACAGTGCCTTTGTTGTTCTAAAGTAAAATGACATACAGTGCCTTTGTTGTTCTAAAGTAAAATGACATACAGTGCCTTTGTTGTTCTAAAGTAAAATGACATACAGTGCCTTTGTTGTTCTAAAGTAAAATGACATACAGTGCCTTTGTTGTTCTAAAGTAAAATGACATACAGTGCCTTTGTTGTTCTAAAGTAAAATGACATACAGTGCCTTTGTTGTTCTAAAGTAAAATGACATACAGTGCCTTTGTTGTTCTAAAGTAAAATGACATACAGTGCCTTTGTTGTTCTAAAGTAAAATGACATACAGTGCCTTTGTTGTTCTAAAGTAAAATGACATACAGTGCCTTTGTTGTTCTAAAGTAAAATGACATACAGTGCCTTTGTTGTTCTAAAGTAAAATGACATACAGTGCCTTTGTTGTTCTAAAGTAAAATGACATACAGTGCCTTTGTTGTTCTAAAGTAAAATGACATACAGTGCCTTTGTTGTTCTAAAGTAAAATGACATACAGTGCCTTTGTTGTTCTAAAGTAAAATGACATACAGTGCCTTTGTTGTTCTAAAGTAAAATGACATACAGTGCCTTTGTTGTTCTAAAGTAAAATGACATACAGTGCCTTTGTTGTTCTAAAGTAAAATGACATACAGTGCCTTTGTTGTTCTAAAGTAAAATGACATACAGTGCCTTTGTTGTTCTAAAGTAAAATGACATACAGTGCCTTTGTTGTTCTAAAGTAAAATGACATACAGTGCCTTTGTTGTTCTAAAGTAAAATGACATACAGTGCCTTTGTTGTTCTAAAGTAAAATGACATACAGTGCCTTTGTTGTTCTAAAGTAAAATGACATACAGTGCCTTTGTTGTTCTAAAGTAAAATGACATACAGTGCCTTTGTTGTTCTAAAGTAAAATGACATACAGTGCCTTTGTTGTTCTAAAGTAAAGTGACATACAGTGCCTTTGTTATTCTAAAGTAAAATGACACACAGTGCCTTTGTTGTTCTAAAGTAAAGTGACATACAGTGCCTTTGTTGTTCTAAAGTAAAATGACATACAGTGCCTTTGTTGTTCTAAAGTAAAATGCATCCTTTATGAGTATTTAAAACCCATTTCTGTTCAAATATATTACTCATGATTCACTGTGAATCTTGAAGAATATTGTTTGAATGAAACAACTATATTGCATATCATCATACATCTGTAAACTGTTCAAATGACACGTATCAATCCAGAAGTAACAAATAGGTATGATTATGAAATCGATTGATAATTCAATATGAAATTATGTCAGGTCTTATATGTTGTTAAAACACAATCTGACTTTTAGTTTTTGACTTTCTCTTATTTCTTATTTTCTTGCTACACAGGCTATGGAGAAAGAACTTAGTAGACAGCTCCACCGTGAGAAAGATAAGAACCGCAACCTTGAAAATAAGATCAAAGACACTCGTGAAGACAACGAACGGCTTCGTCTGTCCCTCCCTTTTGATGAGGCAGCCTTAACGACACAGAAAGGTTACGACATTCCGTACGGTGTACATGAATCTCAGCGCCAGGAAACAGTCAAGGTCAGTGTTAGGTGTTATTCAGTATAGAGAGAATCAGATTAAGTTAATGTGATATAAGCATCAAATGTTATGTAAAATACTTAAAGTAATGTGTGCTAACAATTGTCCTCAGAAGAAAAAGTTATGGTTTGATAATTTGTTTGTGTTAAAACAAAAAAGTACATGAGAATCAGGTTGATCTGGGATGTTGTTTATTGTATTTTTGGGAAATATCTGTTTGCATGATATTCACTGATCGTTTGAAATGTTGTTCACTTGATGCCAGGTTTTAAGTTGTAAGTCACTGTGTATGCTGCATGATCTTAAACTTTACTGTTGTTACTAATCCAGAACTGATGTGCATTCAAGTGGTGAAAATACAAAAGTGTGTAATGTCTTGGAATCTATATCAAGGGGTAAATTGATGCATGGAAACCACTTGCAAATTGATTCAGGTACAATTATTAGGATGTGGTTGTCTGGGAATGGATTTATTTATGGATATTTATTTAACTGTATTGTGCAGGCCATTTATCAGATGTACTTACATAGAGAAAGACAATTTATACATGCTATTATTCTGCAAATGTCTCGTTCAGCTAAACTAGAACTAGGGTCCTGTCATCAATTGTTCAGACATTCCACATTACCCTGATGATGGAGTGATGCAAGGGGTTCACCATTAAAACCAACTTTTACAGTTAGGAAAGGAAAGTATGGGAAAACATAATCAGTCAATCCTGTGTTATGCAGTCAGAGAAATCTTTACTATCGGGAGGCATTAGTTCCATTCAATTATTTCCGTGGCCAAAACGGGATTGAACCAGTAAAGTATGGGAGAAAACATTACTGTTTACCTGGAAACTTTCGCCCAGTGAAACATCTGCCCTTCACTGATAAAATCCATATTAGCCCCGTGTTAATTTCGCCTTCACATGTGATTAAAAGGCATGGTAAATTGTATACTAATATTCACTGCCATGATAAATTCGACCTCATTATGGAGGATGAAAAAGGCGAAAGTTAAAATTCGGCGAATATTTCCCGGCATACAGCATTCCTTTTTCATATCAGTATGTCTTTTTGAATATTCCTGATATTAGGATTGCCCTTATATTGGTTTCCTTGATAACAGGTATTCCTTACTTTTTGGTCTTGCCATATAAGCATTAGAGAAAGCCATATACAAGTGGTCCTCATGATGGTTGTCCTTCTAGAACAATTTTTGCTATCCATAGTTATAATATGATTAACAGTCTTTTCGGGTAAAATTGGTTTTCACTGCATACAAACATATATGTTGTCTGTGTTCACTCGTCACTGCATGTGTCCTCCTCCAGAAGGACTACCGACAAATCCTGTCACAGCTTGAGACAGAGGCGGGCCTCAAGGCGGGTCAGGAACGGGAGATGATTTGTCAGCTGTGGAACACACGGCAGCAGACATACAACCGGCTCCGACAACTAGAGATCAACCTCCAGGCACTTAACCTCAGAGACAATAACGTAGCAGAGGGGCTCAAGGTACAGTGTGAGGGCTCAGCAACGGCCTGACTGCAGATAGAGACTAACAATAGGGAAATGTGATGTACATGTATATCATACATTAATACCTGCTGTAGTTGATGCCAAAATGGCATGATGCTGTTGGAGCCAAAATTTCTCTTATGTATTTATAGAAAATATGTGTTTCGGCATGAAAAAATCACCACAGCATGTGTACTTCCACTTACCACTGTAAGGATTTTATGGATAACTGTGACCTGATTGTGTTACTTACTGCATGATATATTGTTTCTGGGAATATATGGAGTGTTATTTTCAGTGCCTGTCATACATTTGTTTTAGGCCAATTGGATGACCTAATCTTGATAATGTTGTCTTTATCTAGCAAGCCAATGGGTAAAGTTACAATAAATTTCATTTCTCTTTTCCAATCACAAAATTATGATGGTGTTACATCGGGTAACCTGGAAAATTTAGGCTATTAGAATTTTTTAAGTAAATGACCTGGACCTTCATTCAAAGTCACAGTGGTAAAATATGTAAAAATCTTCAAATGATTTCTTTTCAAAAGTTCTCAAAACCTAAATTTGTGATATTTAATCTGAAGGTTAGTTGAATGGAGGATTTAGTCAACTTGTCTAAATAAGCTCCACAGACTCGGATGTTATTTTGAAATTTATATCTGAAAAAAAATACCCCCTTCAGGAATATGAAATGTACTTCAGTCCCAAGGAGGTTAATTTGACACTTCAGATAACTTTTAGCAGTAAGAGGCAGAACCACTGACGCAGGTAATTTTGACTATTCTCAAAAATCTACCCCACTTTAATAAATGCTAGAACAATGTGTTAACCTTCAGGTGTTGATTTTGACAGAGACATTACTGTAACAACCATATTTCTGGCCTGATCAATTTATTAAATTGATACTATAGGTATGCTGATATGGTGGACCTTTTGTTATATACATGTATTACTGTTTAAACAATGATTATGTTTTATTCTGCAGAATTTAAGAGATGTGAAGAGTCATGCAGATGCTCAGGTCAGACAACTTCACGAACAACTGGAGGATTCCAAGTCAGAGAAAGAAACTCAGGAAACAACATATAAAGAGTAGGTGGATGTGATCCTAAAGTGGTGAATGAACTGATAATGAAGATTTAAAAGAAAGTCTTACTGTAATAACAGTCGTGTAATTGACATAATACAAAAAATATCAATTCATGTTCAAATATATGTAGTACATATATACATTGTGCTAATACTTAATGATCTTGGGTTGTTTTTGTTTTGTTTTTTAAATTTCTTTTATTTTTGAAGATCATTTCACTTTTCCATACACATACACACACTTATTCCATTTCTAGTCATAAGCAAAAATTCAGCATTATATTAAAGATACAATTTTTTTTTATTTTCTATGTAGTTAATAGTGTAACTGCATATAATTGTGATATGTACTGTTTTTAAGAAAGAAAAGAATGAGAGATAGAAGAATTAAAGGAAGAATAGGATCAACATAGAGAAGGAGAACTTGATCTTGGTTGATATGACTGAGATCATATGCATTTAGTGGAATAATCTTAGATTGAAATTAAAATTGCACTGATCTTAATTTTTTATACAGATACATGTAATAAAAGTATTCAGCTAGAAATTAAATGTAGTATCTAGTTTGTATTAAAAGACTTCTTGAATTTCTACAAGAAAAATACACTTATCAAATTCAAAGCTAGTAATATAGAAAATATTTTGGCAGGATCATTTTAAAAATGTCGGAAATATGTGAAGAAATTTTTCTATGAGCATTGTAACACTGACTAATCACTACGGTTGTTCTGTTTCTGTTTATTGTACTAAAGTATATGTTTGGTAGAACCTTCTGATATCAACTGACCTCTGGTTTGGTAAGGTTCCTTATCAACTGGTGTTACTGTAAAAATGTACATATTTATCATCATAGTAAAATACCTGATTATGAAAGGTACAAGTTTGTCACAAGTAAAAGTTGTTGTTTTCTGTTGGACAGACAACTGGCACTGCTAGTGAAAGAACGCCATGATGCCTTTGCTCAACTGAAGACGGCCGAGGATTTGATGGAGGCTATCCGCAGTGAGAATGAGATCCTGAAGTCCGGTCTATCTGGAGGTGGTACAGCCAGTCTTGGTGCTAGTCTTACCCTCGCCACAAATAGTAAGTCACCCTCGCCACAAATAGTAAGTCACCCTCGCCACAAATAGTAAGACACCCTCACCACAAATAGTAAGTCACCCTCGCCACAAATAGTAAGTCACCCTCGCCACAAATAGTAAGTCACCCTCGCCACAAATAGTAAGTCACCCTCGCCACAAATAGTAAGTCACCCTCGCCACAAATAGTAAGTCACCCTCGCCACAAATAGTAAGTCACCCTCGCCACAAATAGTAAGTCACCCTCGCCACAAATAGTAAGTCACCCTCGCCACAAATAGTAAGTCACCCTCGCCACAAATAGTAAGTCACCCTCGCCACAAATAGTAAGTCACCCTCGCCCTCGCCACAAACAGTAAGTCACCCTCACCACAAACAGTAAGTCATATTTCCTTTAGTATAATGATAATGTACAGGGCAACTTTTGAACAGACTGTGCTTCTCAAACTTAACCTGAGTGTTTTTAAGTGGTCTGTCTAAAGTACACTAAACATTACTGTTTAGTTCAGTTGAAAAAAAGTATGAAACTAAATGTTACTGTAAATACATTCCTTGAGAATGTAATGCTCTCTGTAGGTACACAGTTGTACACTATATAGTTGTGGACTGTTATTGTGAAAGCTGTTAATTGTACTAACTGAAACATTATCTTCACCAAATCATAATGTAATTTATCAGTACGGAAACAAAACTATGCATACCCAAATTTAAATCTTAATTCATTTATAATACCCCGCTGTTTCTGTCCAGGCCGTGTTGAGGCACTGCAGGTCCAGGTAAAGGATCTTGAGAACCAGATCCAACAGATGACTAGGACAACTCGCTTGTTAGAAGGCGAACTGTCTACATTGCGAATACAACTAGAGGCACGAGACAAGGCGCTTGAAGACACTAAGAGTGAGCTGGATATCGCACATTTACACCTCAGCGGTGATGGTGGTGAGGACCGCAAACAGGAGAAGATAGATAAACTCACCGCACAGGTAAATAGTTCACCTAAGATAAACTCACCACACAGGTAAATAATTCACCTCAGGCAAACTCACCACACAGGTTAATAGTTCACTTCAGACAAACTCACCACACAGGTAAATAATTCACCTCAGTCAAAATTCAGCTCTCTGATGTGAGTTCAGCACAGACAAATTCATATATCAGACAGGTAGTTCAGCTCAGACAAAACTCATCTCTTAGATAAGTAGTTTAGCATATCCTCAAATCTCTGAATTTTAGTTAAGTTGAGACAAACTCACCTCATGGATAAATTGTTCAGCTCAATACACATCTCTGATAGTTCAACTCAGACAAACACACCTCTCATGTAAGTGGTTCAGTAGACTAATTCACCTCTCACTCTGGTTAGTAAATTAGCTTTGTTATATTTTAGTTCAACTATTCTAAGTAAGTGACATTATTGAATCTTTAAAACATTACAGTGTGATCCTGGTACAGAGATAACAAACAGTTATTCAGGTGATCTGGGGTTTACAAGTTTGTACTTAACGTTCAGAATTCAGTCAGAATGTTTTTGCTGATTTTACATTGAAAGATAACATGTTTAGGATCATTCAGTGTCAAAATATGCTTGATAAGATTGCTCGAAGAAATTTCCTTAATTATATAACTTTTTGCATATCTGTGTTTTTCCTAAGAGTTAATTTTGACCTTTAATACAGATTAATGGCCATCAGTCTGAAATCAAGCTCCTTGGTGACAAGGTTACTTCCCTAAACACAGAGAAGAGCAGACTAGAAAGAGATCTAGAGGCAGCCTTGAGAGAGGTCAATATTACCAAGGCCAAGGTCAAGGAGACCAAACATGGAGAAATGGCTGACAGTAAGGTGAGTTAGGGTGTGTGGCTGGAACTTATCTGGATAGACAACCCTTCTGATTTATACTGTATCATGACTCATCTCATACCAGGTATAGATAAGGTCATTCAAAACATTGACTGAAACCTTCTTAAAGAGACCATTGAATTTTAATAATGGATACAAAGTACTGCATCATGACTTATAGAATCTATTACCAGGTATATATTTTATATAAGGTCATTCAAGCAGATCAAGCAATCAAATATGATTGGAGCCTGCTTAGAGAGACCGCCCTTAGATCTGTTGAATGTATAGTAATCGTAACTTATATAAACTGTCACCAGGCATAGATAAAGTTTTTCAAAGCAAAGCAAATAGATATTGACTTGAACTTGCCTAAAGAGACCATCCTATTAAATCTACTGAATACAAAGTGCTCCATCAAGATTATATATATATATATATAAATTGTAACCTTAACCCTTGCAGCAAGCACAGATATTACGAGAGGAGCTGGAGGAGAGAGACCGGCGGCTCGGTAAACTCACTCAAGAGTATGACACACTTGAAACAGAGCTGCAGACAGCACGTCAAGACCTGTACGCAGAACAGATACAGTCACAGGACTACGAGGCCCAGGTACAGTAGTAAACAACTCAGAAAAGACGCTTCTCAAAATAAAGGCAATTAGCGATAAATTCTAGATCATGTTTTAAATCAATTAATTTATGTTCCAAGTCATTAATCTTAATCATTAAGCAAAGTTTAAGAGCATGTACCATATGCATGTCAGGCGACAACTCCTGCCCTGCTCAGCAGAACAGAAAGTTCCAACATTATCTCTGTAGGATGTAAATCAAACATTACATTTTTGTACCGTATTCAGTGGTGTTGCTGCTCATCATTTCTGTTTTCCTTGACTCTGTTTGTCAGAAACCTATGTTCAGCTTATTAAGCTTACCCTTCATTGTTTTTTGTAATATATTGTGATAATTCCACAAATAAAAAGCCTCTTTTAAAAAAGTACAAGCAATGATTTTTTTTTTTTAAATATCTTTTATCACCTTCACAAGGTTACTGGAGCGACGACTTTTATGTAGATTGGTATGACTTTTTGTAGATCGAGAGTTACACACTTCAGATAGAGCAGCGTGGCCATATACTGGACACACTGAGTGGCACGGAGAAGGAACAGCTCGCTCAGTTCCTGATCCTTAAGGAGACACTTGACTCGGTCAGTCAGGAGATCAACCAGAAACATGCTGAGGTATGTAATTAATGATGTTTACAAGATCAACCAGAAACATGCTGAAGTATGTAATTAATGATGTTTACAAGATTAGCTAGAACTTCTCTGTACTTGTCGAACAATAAAAGATAACTGAAAAAAAAATGTTACTAAAATCGATAAAATTGTGTCTGCTACACTTTTTTCACAACAGTTCTCATTTTCATTGTTGAATAATTCAAATAATTTTGTTAAGTTTGTTTTTTTCCAACTGTATACTCTGAAAAAGTCTTACTTGTAAATGTTGATATTCATTTATAGCACATGATATGCACACCAGCAAAATCCTTATAGAACGTATATGAGATATTTAGATTTTGCAGCTTTCTCATTGAATAGACTTTTCTTTTCAGGTGAAAATGTCTATTGTCAAAAGAAGGGTTTCTCATTTGAGACTAAATGTTAAGTTTCTTTAAACAAAATCAAGTCTAGAAAAAAATTGCTTTTAATAGGGCAGGAAGATTCTCAAAATTTCTTCCTAATGCAAGTTGATTTACAAAGAATGAGGTACAAGAAAAAATGATTCAGCGTATTTACACAGGTTATATCTGAATGTAAACTTCAGCTAAAAATTGTTTATCCTCTTAGTTGAAGGTGCTACATCTGGAGATGAGCAAAGAGAAGGACCGATATGAGTATATGGAGAAAGAACTGATCACTCTGAGGAAGGACAGGCCATTAGGGGACAATGACCAGGCATGGGAGACAAGTCTGCCAAGCCACATGCTTCAGATCCGTGAATTAGAGTCAGAGCGGGACCACCTGAAAGTGGAGCTCATTGTATGTCAAATCTCAAGTGCTCAAATAGTTAATGACTTTTTTACATCAATCATGGTGTTGGTTACAATATTTCAAATCAGAATTTAAGATTTAACTAATCAAGAGTTAACTAAAAAAAAAGCTCATTGAGTTGGGTTGTACTTTCCTTTAATGCATATTTTTATTTTAGGAAATGACAGAGGCACTAAAACAGGCCACAGAAGAAAATGGTAATCTAGACAAGGCCATGAAGCAGATGGAGCAGCAGCTATTGGATGAGAGGTCAGCCCATCTACAGACCAGTGCTGAGAAAGGAGAGCTTGAACAACACCTAGAGGTCTATTATATCACCAGCTTCATAAACTATTGTTTAAAAAAAATGTATACTTGAACAGTGAACACTAACAGTTAATTAGAAATGAGTATTCATGTTTTGTTGACTTATGAAAATATTTTCCGTACTAATCAAGAAAATCTCAAATGCCAATTTTAAAAGTATGAAAACTTCATTTTTCAAATTAATATCTACTTGTCAGATCCTTTGTTCTCATTAACATACATTAATATTGTTATGTGTGGATTCTGACCAATCAGTATCAAGGAAAAAGGTCCTTTGTTTTTGTCCGTTTCAACAATTATGTCTTGTTGTTGATTTAGGAGATTGCAGAGGAGCATGACGCTCTGTCCCAGGAGAGAGACGAAAGTGAAGAAGATATTGTCAAACTTGAGACTGATCTCAAGGATGTCGTACACAAGTTTGAGATGGAAACTCGCAAAAATCATGAAAACCTGGCCTCCAAGTATCCACAAGTACCTGCTGAAGCTCTGAAGGTAGTGCTGCGATTCTTGTTTAAAAAAAAACATTTGGTTAATTATGAAAAATTAATGGACTGCTGATTAATAAAATAGGCAAAAAGTTGTTAGGAAGGGAGGATTTTGGGGGTAAGATACCTTGAAAAAATGTAATTTAAGGTAATTTTATAATGTGGATCTAATAAAGTGATATTTGTACGGAATTTTGTTTGATCTATTTAGGATATTGTGAATTTTGGAAATAAATCATTGTGAAACATATAATGCATCCGACAGGTAAAAAGGAGTAATATTTTGAAAGGGAATAAATTTTGCATTATTTGTGTGCAGTAGATTTTCTAAAATTTGAAATTTCATGTAGATAAATCATAAAAAGATAATAGTTTTTCAGCAAATAATGCTGCTTAATATATATAGGATCCTACATGAGGTTCCATTTCATATGAGATTTATGAAAATGAGTCTAAGATTTTTTTAATTGAGCGAGCCTCTGGCGAGCTAGAATGAAAAATTTGTGACAAGTTTCATAGATTTCATATGAAATTGAAATGAGTGCAAGATCATTTTTATCACATAATCAAGACTTGTGGTATTATTTGTGTAAAACAACAATTTTCATGCAACCTTGAAATGTAAAAAGCTGCCATTTTGACTCCAGTGCATCATTCTGTGACGTCATGTACCCGTCCTAGGTGTGACGTCATGTACCTGTCCCTGGCATGACGTCATGTACTTGTCCTAGGTGTGACGTCATGTACCTGTCCTAGGCGTGACATAGGTATATTCACTGGATAACACAGTACATTATGTGATAAATAATACTAATGAATATATCAATTTTAATGACACCGACCTTAAATGTGTTGTCACAGATGGCTGCAGAACTGGACAGCCTGAGGACCCTGATGGATGCCAAACACAAAGAACATGAAATGTTGAACAATAAAATCAGGTATGCATTGTTTAATCCATCTCCTGTAATTCTATTGAACTCATTTAATAAGAATCAATCACTACATATGAAGCCTTTCGACAGGTATACTTATGAACATGGATGCCATGGTGTTGTTGTTGAGTCCCGTCTATACATGTACATGTAACTACTACACATGTTTTTGTTTTTTTTTACTTTAGGGAAAATTATTATTCACTGATCATGATATATAGGGCATTGTTCAAATAAACTCCACTGATAAATGGAAATGACTGTTATTTCTGAGATCATGAAATTTCTTTGACTTAAAATGTAAAAACAGATCAGGAACAATTTCTTTGACGTTAAATGACACACTGTAATTTTCTGTGTTAGTCGTCAGCAGGTGGAGATGGACTTCCTTAACAGACGAGTAGAATTACTACACAACGAGAACCAGTGTAACCGCGATGACATCGCACGTCTTACTTCTGAAGTGTCGGCCAAGGTAACGTTGTTAGTTGTAGTTTACATCAGTATAGTCATGCTTAAAAATTTCAGCTTCCTTCATTTTCAGCTTGAGCGGTTCTGTTGTTTAATACTGCAGTTACTTTCGAATAGGACACTTTTGACATAGTAATAAAAAGATTGTCCATAAATCATAGGCGAGATACCTGGATTATTGGTTGCTTGATAAAAAGACTGGACTTTATATCGGTCAGAGGGCCTTCAGAGATTATATCACTGTAAAAGACAGGAATATGAAGGGGAAATACTGCTTTAATGGTAAGCTAGCTTTTCCAGCGATGTGGTATAACCTTTGGACTCGCTGACTAGTTCAGTAACATCAGTGTGGTCAGTGGCTGGACGGGTGCACGCCCACACGTTTAATACTTCAATACTGCTTATTAAACCTTGTTGACACTAAAGACAAGTATATTATCTCAAGCTTTTTCATTTCACTCTGAAAACAAAGGTGTTGAATTAGAATAAGTAACTATGTTGAGGTAGTTCTTAATAAATGATGAGATCTTCTAACTGATCCACTCAAAAAATACTGTCTAACATACCTGTAAACTGTACCTTAGTCTGTGTGTGATACAGCACCAACAATTGACCCAGCCCTGTTGTAAAATATGGTAGTAGCTGTATAAAAACTGTTATACCGTAAAACCCCACGTCAAGGAATACATGGTACTTGACGAATCCAAGGTCATAATGTTTTGATCCGGTGAGACGGCAGACAACTCAAGCTCTGCCAATGTCACGGATAATATATGATAGAAAGTAGAAAAAGAAGTTTAATAAAGATAAAAACATTTGATAAGATATAAAACTGCTCAGCTATGAAAACATATAGCTATCTGTATTTGGAATAGCAATAAAATCAAGTAACTGTAGAAATAAATGTATTTATCATTTAGGCATAGTCATACTGTATTCAGCTACGTTAATTTTATGGAATATCATAAAGAAAGGAGCTGTTTGATTTTGCTAAAATGCAGAAAATGTTAAATTCATGTTATTATAATGTTGATTGATTACGAAATTAAAATTCAAAACATATTCAAGTTAGAATATCTTAAAAGATGGTCCCGAATCTGCTGTATGATTCTCACTTAATATTGCCATGCCAAAATAGGGTTTTACTCACCTAGTAGAGTGAATGAACACTTTTGCTAAAATGTTGATGTCAAACGTCATTGTGAAATAATAACTGGGCACACAAAATGATAATTAAGCTACAACAGGGATGCGGTACAGGTATTTAATGATAATGCCGTTAATCCTCTAATGACGTCTGGTCGTCACCTATATAACACAGTGAGCGCAGACTACAGTCTGTACCTCAGGGCGTTTCGATGGCACACTGTAGGTGTGATAGGTAGGTGTCACTACCTGATCAACAATCCAATAGGATAAATATTAAGGATATGAGTGGTCGGGGATAAATCAGAGTTTGGGGAACACAGGGTATTCGTGAAATGGCAGTTTAAGTATTAAATCCAATGTTACTTTACAAAGATCTAATGAAGGGAAGTATTCGAGTAATGCAAGTTTGAGTAAGTGGGGTTTCGCTGTACATCTTAAATTATATGGAGAATTTATGGACAGAATATAAATGGATATTCTGTTCAAGGAATTTTTTGTTTAACTGAGAGGAAAGTGTCTTGGAGTAATTTCACGTAAAAGCAAGAAGATATTGGAAGATACAAAAGATGAGAATAATTGGATTTACTTTTGTCAGATAAAAGAGGGCGTGGCTAATAGGGAGATGAACCAGTTCCTTGTGAAGGAGAGAGCAAGGCTACAGAAGGAAAACACTCAACTCAATGCCTCTGTGGATAAGGAGAAGGGCATTAAGGAGAGGCGCAGAGCAGAGATAGCAGATGTTATGAGGAAGGTGAGGAGAACTGCCTACATGTATAAACCTTTTTCAAGTGTTTCTACTGAATATTAAAGGAAATATTTTGCATGACCACAGACAGATTGAATGGAACTATAATTTAGCTGGAGTGACATGTCTCATGACAAATGCAATACATGTACAGTAAAAGGTGTTTTATTGCTAAGGGTATGTATTTATTTTTATGGAAAATTCAAACAATCTAAAAGTTAACTCATAAAAAATATTGGTGGTACCATTAACACTGTATCTTTGACATTAGGACAGAGTAGATATCACCACCAGTGTCAGGTGGTAATCTGGAAGAGTCCATTGTTGCAGTGAAGCATTGATATAGTCTCAGTTTACCTGTACAAATTGGATTAGTCCCAGTCACTGAAGACGATTTTATGAGAAATGAAAAATTCTTATTAATAGTAGAAATTGAAACATATTTTCTGAATATAAGCATCACGTTAGAGATCTGTACTGATATCAGTCTTGATTGAAGAGGTTAAACAGTGACTATACATCAAATATACATTTAGTTTATTCATATTATTCTGAAATTAAGTTCAGAAGTACAATGATATGATAACTTTTGGCTCCTTCAGGTGGAGAAGACAGAGGAGTCGACCAAAACTACATCCCGAGAAGTCCTACAGAAGGATGCCATCATCGCCAGTCTGGAGGCGGAGCTTGGCCAGACCAAACAAAGTTGTCAGACTCTAGAGGTCGACCGGTCCCAGCTTAAGGGCAAGGTAGAACACCTACAGCAGGACGTGGACAGCAAAGCAGTCCTGGCTTCTACACTTGAGACTCGGCTGGAGACAGAGAGGAGGCGGGTCAGTATATATACCAAAGTTTGAAAGTATTGGTTCTGTTACCTAGAGAGTTGTGATTTGACTTGTAGCTTGCTTTAGTGTGGAGCAATCAATGCAAGTTTGTTCAAATCAATGACCTTGGAAATGGCTCATTATGATGTTTCAGGGTTAAAAGTGTTGAATATCAATTAAAAAGAAACTGTAAATTGGCATAAAGTATCTAGTATAAAGTCTTAGATAGCAGAACTCGAAAATAAACTTAGCTTTAGTTATATGTTCCCTCAGTAATGGCCGGAGAAAACATGCACCAATTGATCTAGGTGTGCAGAAATTGCACACAATTTCTGAAGAGGTTTTTTTTCAAGAGTTTAAACTTAAAAAAAAACATGTATTTGCGAGTGTCACAATCTTCTGAAAAGAAAATAATATTTTCTGATATTGAAATCTTAAAAGAATTTAATTCTATGATTGTATTATTAATTTCTAATGTACCTACGATGGCATCTCATTTTTCATTTTGAAATTCTCGTCTAGAACCATTGTTTGCTTTTTAATTCATATCTCCTTTGTGCCAGGTATATTGTATACTGGGAAATGTTTAACCACATTTTAATATTTGCCATTTTGCCCTCCATATTGAGGGTGATTTTATTTTGACAGGGAATGTTAGTACACAGTTTACCATATAGTAATTACATGTGAAGGGAAAGACTAACACCTGGCAAATAGGGATTTTACCAGTAAAAGACAAATACACTGTAGTTGACTAAGCCAAAGTTTTCTGGTACATATGCAATTGATCATATCCATGATAAGCAAGGATCTACACTGTTCTGAAACACTGATCACCTACAGGTGTAGTGGAGGGCTTAAACCTATCTACGTGCAAAATATAGTACCTACAATGTATTAACAGTATAAAGCATTGAACTGTTAGGATAGCACAATTAAGGTTCCTTTTTCCAGATCCAAGTTTGTGGCAAATTCACAAATGTTTAGGAAATTCTTTGTGGAAATAACAACATATTCACTTTAAACATTAAAAGTTCTGATAAGTTTTCAGAAAAATGTTTGCATACTTATTATTAGTTCATAGGTTTTAATAGGATAGCTAATTTTTCAGCTGGAGGAAGAAAAATCAGAGGCAGCCCAAAAACGAGACGAGCTCATGGCTACATGTCATGAGCTCGAACGACTCAAGCATGAACACGGATTGTTGTTGAACAACCTAAATGACGAGAAACAAACCGTGGAAAATTTGAAAGTTTGTAATCTTGGACTTTATAGATGGGCACTAACTGACTTACCTTGGTGTGTGTCTCTTAGACACATTCACTCTCTGTCACAATTAGTTTGTAGGAACTAAAGTCACTAGATGTTGTACACTCTGGACTAATGTTTATTATTTACTAAGCAATTAATTCACATTCTCATCTAATTGGTGTCTATGGGAAAAAGTTGTCACTAACTCATTGTAGAATTGTGTCTAGATTGTTTGTGTGAAGATTTTTACTATCTATCACTCTTGCTGTTTGAGTATTTTTTGGGTTGTGCTTCATATGTAAAGGTCTACGATATAAAACCTATGACATGAGATATGACCTATTCATTAAACTGACAATAAGGCATGCAAGTAAGAAGTTAGCCTATTTTTGTATAGAAATAATTTTTCAGAAGTTTGAAATTACAAGGACTGAAATACAGTGATGATACGGACTAAGATAATCTGGACAGCAATAATTATGAGGCTATATATCTAGACTGAGATTATCTAAGCAGAGATGCAGAAATAATCTGGACAGAGGCAATATAGATTGAGATTGGACACAATTTAGGCTGAGATAATCTTGAATGAGATTATCTATGTTATCATACAGAGATAATCTAGACAGATGATCTAGACTGAGATAATCAAGACTATCATACAGAGATATTGAAGGCAGATAATCTGAACCAGATAATCTGGACTGAGATAATCTAGACTGAGATACAGAGATAATCTGGACTGATAATCTGGACTTAATCTGGACTGAGATAATCTAGACTGAGATACAGAGATAATCGGGACTGATATGTAGAGAAAATATAGGGTTTGGAAATTAAGTTTTTTCAAGCAGTTGTCTTATAGTTCAGTTAACTTTCCTTGGAATAATATTGTTTATTCTCCGGTCTATCTTCATATTGTCATCACTAACACCTATCACATCTGTCTTTTCATCAACTTTAGGCTGTAGACCTAACTCCTGGACGAAACTACATATAGTATCCAAGAAGAACAGTTCTGATATAGCATGTCACTTACAGTTCACTAAAGCTGTTGACTTTCAAGCTCTAATACACAGATATACATACTGTCATGTTTGATGTTGTACCTGGTTATCTTTCAGAGAAGTCAAATTAATATATTCAGTTTAAAAGTTCACCTTCCCAGAAACATACTCCACAAATCTCCCTTGAAATTATAAATTTGCTGTAAAAAAAAATGTATGTGCAATTTCTGCCTAATGCCAGTAGATCTGAGAAAACACTCTTCCAAAATTCAATTATCTTTTAACTGATTGTTTCTAGTACAGCCTTTTCTCAGTAACATTGATAATATATGGTACATTATGTAGACTCAAATGTTGAATATGATAAATTAAAGTTAACCTGTTAGATTGAGTTTGTTTAATGGGAAAGGTTTGCTTTTTTATCTTTATTTTAAAGGTTTTAAGTTTGCGGTTACCTTTTAGACAAAAAGGGTAATAAAATACATTATTTTCCCAATTTGCATTTACCAGGTAAGTTGACAAACTGAATGTGCATGCATTTTTCTTTTTTGTCTAGCAGCATGTATTACAGTACAAGCAACAGCTACTGTGATTTCTTTATCAATTTTTTCTGTGTTGATATCAGACAAATACAAAATGAACTGGGTTACTTTGTTAAGGCTATGGTACAGATATAAAACACAGTCACCGATCTGTTATTAGTGTAACATTATGGTAACAATGACAGAACAAACATTCTGTAAGACTTTTAACATAATTTACTTGTGTGTACTTTACCACACCACCTGATAAGTATTTTGGATTCTTTTCTTTTCCTTGCAGTCTTGCATGCTTACTTAGATCTCCAGGGGACAACTCTAAACAATAAACAACTTCTTTTGGTGTAAAATTTTAGAAATAAAACACACTTTTAAATGTTTGGTGTACCTACATATGTAAAATCCATTCCAAAGACTAGAAAATCTTCTTATTTTTCATGCACACCACTTTTATGATAAATATGCAAAACTTTTATTAAACAATTGAACTTTGAACAATTTGTACTAGAATGAACTCTCATGTGTTATTCAGGAATCTCTAAATGTCAATCAGCAATCATGTGAAAAGTTAAAGGAGCAGGTTTATACCTTGACAATGGAACTGGAATCCACTCAGGGTCAACTGACCACCAGTAGGGACACTGTGGAAGCTCTCAAACAGGACAAGGGAGCCATCTACCAGGGTAGGTAACTCTAGTATGTCTTAAACAGGACATGGGAGCTATCTACCAGAGTAGGTAACTCTAGTAGGTCTCAAACAGGATAACGGAGCAATCTACCAGGGTAGGTAACTCTAGTAGGTCTCAAGCAGGACACGGGAGCTATCTATCAGGGTAGGTAACTCTAGTAGGTCTCAAACAGTACAAGGGAGCTATCTACCAGGGTAGGTAACTCTAGTAGGCCTCAAACAGGACAAGGGAGCCATCTACCAGGGGAGGTAACTCTAGTAGGTCTCAAACAGGACAAGGGAGCCATCTGCCAGGGTAGGTAACTCTAGTAGGTCTCAAACAGTACAAGGGAGCTATCTACCAGGGTAGGTAACTATAGTAGGTCTCAAACAGGACACAGGAGCCATCTACCAGGGTAGGTAACTCTAGTATGTCTCAAACAGGACACGGGAGCTATCTATCAGGGGAGGTAACTCTAGTAGGTCTCAAACAGGATAAGGGAGCAATCTACCAGGGTAGGTAACTCTAGTAGGTCTCAAGCAGGACACGGGAGCTATCTATCAGGGTAGGTAACTCTAGTAGGTCTCAAACAGGAAAAGGGAGCCATCTACCAGGGTAGGTAACTCTAGTATGTCTCAAACAGGACACGGGAGCTATCTATCAGGGGAGGTAACTCTAGTAGGTCTCAAACAGGACAAGGGAGCCATCTACCAGGGAAGGTAACTCTAGTAGGTCTCAAACAGGATAAGGGCGCAATCTACCAGGGCAGGTAACTCTAGTAGGTCTCAAACAGGATAAGGGCGCAATCTACCAGGGCAGGTAACTCTAGTAGGTCTCAAACAGGATAAGGGCGCAATCTACCAGGGCAGGTAACTCTAGTAGGTCTCAAACAGGATAAGGGAGCAAACTACCAGGGTAGGTAACTCTAGTAGGTCTCAAGCAGGACACGGGAGCTATCTATCAGGGTAGGTAACTCTAGTAGGTCTCAAACAGTACAAGGGAGCTATCTACCAGGGTAGGTAACTCTAGAAGGTCTCAAACAGGACAAGGGAGCCATCTACCAGGGGAGGTAACTCTAGTAGGTCTCAAACAGGATAAGGGAGCAATCTACCAGGGTAGGTAACTCTAGTAGGTCTTAAACAGGACAAGGGAGCTATCTACCAGGGTAGGTAACTCTAGTAGGCCTCAAACAGGACACGGGAGCTATCTATCAGGGGAGGTAACTCTAGTAGGTCTCAAACAGGACACAGAAGCTATCTACCAGGGTAGGTAACTCTAGTAGGTCTTTAACAGGACACGGGAGCTATCTACCAGGGTAGGTTACTTTAGTTGGTCTCAAACAGGACATGGGGGCCATCTACCAGGGTAGGTAACTCTAGTAGGCCTCAAACAGGACACGGGAGCTATCTATCAGGGTAGGTAACTCTAGTAGGTCTCAAACAGTACAAGGGAGCTATCTACCAGGGTAGGTAACTCTAGTAGGCCTCAAACAGGACAAGGGAGCCATCTACCAGGGTATGTAACTCTAGTAGGTCTCAAACAGGACAAGGGAGCTATCTACCAGGGTAGGTAACTATAGTAGGTCTCAAACAGGACACGGGAGCTATCTACGAGGGTAGGTTACTTTAGTTGGTCTCAAACAGGACATGGGGGCCATCTACCAGGGTAGGTAACTCTAGTAGGTCTTTAACAGGACACGGGAGCTATCTACCAGGGTAGGTAACTCTAGAAGGTCTCAAACAGGACAAGGGAGCCATCTACCAGGGAAGGTAACTCTAGTAGGTCTCAAACAGGACACGGTAGCTATCTACCAGGGTAGGTAACTCTAGTAGGCCTCAAACAGGACAAGGGAGCCATCTACCAGGGTAGGTAACTCTAGTATGTCTTAAACAGGACATGGGAGCTATCTACCAGGGTAGGTAACTCTAGTAGGTCTCAAACAGGATAAGGGAACGCAGGTGGTTGGGGTTCGATCCCGAAGTTTTGGTACGCATAGAATATTCAGAGAAAGTGTTTTTCTTCTGCTAATTGTATTGATTGTATAAATTGTATATCTATGTACTGTTAAGCGCTTTAGAGTGACTTATCCAAGCTAAATACATGTAGGGGGCTATATCAAATGTTGTATATTATTATCAAGTTGGTCTCAAACAGGACAAAGTTGCCATCTACCAGGGTAGGTAACTCTTGTTAGGTCTCAAACAGAAAAATTGTGCGATATATGAGGTTAGGTACATGTATCTCTCTTTTCTTAAACAGGAATATTGCAGCATTAAAAACTTACTTTTTGTCAATGTTAGAGCTTGCAACAGAGGCCATCAGTTGAAAATTCATCTGCAACATGTAGGTATACAGAGAAAAGGAAGAACAGCTTCACACTTCAGGCAGTAAAAGTATAGTATTGGCTATCAGAGGCTATTCTATGTACATGTATTCAATTGATCCTTTTCAGAGTATGATTCAATGATGCGACGTCTTGGTGAAAAAGACCAGAAAATTGCTGAACTACAAAACAAGTGTGACCGCATCGAGCAACAGATGCAGCAGGAGCTGACACAACAGAAACACGATCTAGAGAGGGAGAACACCTCAACAGAGCGGGACCTCGACACCACCAAGTACGTACAGCAACGCCACTTCTATTGACTTTAAAGCATCAGTGACTATAATTTTATTGCTTGGGTCATTTAAACAGGTGATGATTACCCAGTATTTATTAATGTTTAACAGATTAACATTAACCACTGGCTCTAAAAAAAACAGAATTAGTTGATAAGTGTAAATTGTAAACTTTTTCTACTTTTTAAATTATCAATATATAAAATGATGTCTTTAAAGGGTTAGACACTAACTGTTTTCACTCTGTAGTCCACTTAACTGGTTGAAAAGATTATATGCTAGTCCTACATCAACATAACTAGTCCAAGATTACCTCAAGGAAACATCTCAAGCAAGAACCATAGAAAGTAACTGAATGTAGGGGACATAACATAGCTACTGCCATGAGGACATGGTGTAGTTTTAGAAAAAAAAAATACAATTATTATTCTACATATCTGTATTTTAAGCACTTTTCCAAAAGGATTATTTTTATTTTGTAATCTATCTAATGATATTGTGATATCAATCTATTTCATAAGTCTAAAGGAACCAGTTAGGTTAGTTGATTCACTGGTTCCTGCTGAAATTTGCTAAAAAAAAAATGTAATCAAAGTCAATGACTCTAAAAAATCTTTCACAGACGACAATTTTAAATTCTGTAAAAGAAAAATAATTTCTTGACTTTCTGTGCCAAATACGATCCCTCTATGACTAACATTAAGACGACACACTATGACCACACTAGTGAAAGCCTGAACTGCAACATAAATAGATCAGATATCCCTGTCTACAGACAGAGAAATAACTTAGAAGTGGTGTAAGTATACTGTGTTGAAAGGAAAAAGTAGCCCTTGATGTTTGATGTCTCCATAAGGTTGTGCTGAACTTCATAATAATGTTATGTGTTTTAAGGGAGGAGAACGCAGTCCTCAAGGAAGAACTCAAAATGAAAGAGGCACAGCTGAGTAGTTTTGGACGTACACTCAAAGAACTCGAGGACATGAACAAGTAAGTAGTCACTAATATAAAAACAGAGGTCTTATCTAAATAATCCTTTTCACTACTTAAACTTAATCAATCTGCTTACTCATTGAGTAATGAACTAAATCAGCTTGCTAATTGTCAACCACTTTCAAAATTTTAACTATTAAAGGGAATTTTTATTTTATTTTTTTATTGTGAAATCTTTTATCTTTGAAATTAATTTGATAGTAGATTTTAAAAATGTTACAAATTTGAAAATGACACATAAAACTTGTCAGACTTTTTTTTAATCTTATTTTGTTTCCAGGAGAAATTATGGTTGAAATGGACAATTTTAAGATACATGTATAGCCTTTTGATAATACATATTAATAAGTTGTCTTATGACATATAACGCACACAGGTAAATACAAAATGACATGCCCATTATGCATTATGGATCTGAAACACAAACTTTTATCATTAATTTAATCTGTGAACTATTATGTTTTTTAGGGAAAAAATGGAGTTAGAGGGTCAGGTGAGACAAATGGAGGGCACAGTCGGGGACGTAGATCTGTTAACACAAAGTCTCCGCAAGGAAACCATCACCCTGCAAGAAACTATTGCCAGACAACAGGTAATTATTAGTCCCACATCGGTGAAACAGGAGGGACTATAAGTTATGTCTGCATCCATCTGTCAGTCCGTCCATCCATTACCTTTGATGAAGGTTTTGGTTAATGTTTTGTAATGGGCAACTGTTCATTTAATAATAGTGCTAGCCTGATAATTTTCATTTTTATTTTTCTGCACTGAGAATCTTTAAATGTCTAGCATTAATGTTGTTTAGTGAATTGGAAAAATAATTTCAGTCTTTTGTTGAATTTTTAACATGTTTTGGACTTAACTGTCTTGGCCATATATGTAGTTGAAGGTTTTGGTTAGCGTGTGTCATGGCTCACCGTTCAGCTAATAATAATGTTAGGATGCTGATTCTATACTCTTCTTTAAGTATCTATCATTAAAACTGTGGAGTGAAACTGACTCTGAAAACCTCCGATATATTTTGAGTGAATATTTTTGGTAAAATACAGTGAATACATGTTACTAGAAATAAATACGTATAGACCTCAATTCAAATAGGTTTCTTAATTATTTACAACAAAAGGTTACAGTTATTGAAATTTGCTAACTTAAGTTCGGAAAATGAAACTAAAATTTGTGCTTTTTCCCTCTCCCTACAGGAAAGCCTGTCCAGTCTTCAGTTGGAACACTCATCACTTAAGGATAAAATGCGGATACAGGAGGAAAAGCTGACGGATCGGGTCATGGTCCTGGAGAAGACTAATGGGGATCTACAGAACCAGTATGATGGGGAAAAGTCTTACCTGAAGGACAGTCTGATGCAGGTAAACACAACATCGTCATACTGGAGGAGTGACGTTTGTGTCACATGTCATTTTCATACTGGAGGAGTGACGTTTGTGTCACATGTCATTGTCATACTAGAGGAGTGACGTTTGTGTCACATGTCATTGTCATACTGGAGGAGTGACGTTTGTGTCACATGTCATTGTCATACTAGAGGAGTGACGTTTGTGTCACATTTTATTGTCATACTAAAGGAGTGACGTTTGTGTCACATGTCATTGTCATACTAGAGGAGTGACGTTTGTGTCACATATCATTGTCATACTGGAGGAGTGACGTTTGTGTCACATGTAATTGTCATACTGGAGGAGTGACGTTTGTGTCACATGTCATTGTCATACTTGAGGAGTGACGTTCGTGTCACATGGCATTGTCATACTGGAGGAGTGACGTTTGTCTCACATAACATTGTCATACTGGAGGAGTGACGTTTGTCTCACATAACATTGTCATACTGGAGGAGTGACGTTTGTGTCACATGTCATTGTCATACTGGAGGAGTGACGTTTGTCTCACATATCATTGTCATACTGGAGGAGTGACGTTTGTGTCACATGTCATTGTCCTACTGGAGGAGTGACGTTTGTCTCACATATCATTGTCATACTGGAGGATACTAGAGGAGTGACGTTTGTGTCACATGTCATTGTCATCCTGGAGGAGTGACGTTTGAGTCACATGTCATTGTCATACTAGAGGAGTGACGTTTGTCTCACATGTCATTGTCATACTGAAGGAGTGACGTTTGTGTCACATGTCATTGTCATACAAGAGAAATGACATTGGTGAAACAGGAAGACAACTCATATGTCAGGCACACATCTAGAGGAGTGACGTTTGTGTCACATTTTATTGTCATACTAAAGGAGTGACGTTTGTGTCACATGTCATTGTCATACTGGACGAGTGACGTTTGTGTCACATGTCATTGTCATACTGAAGGATTAACGTTTGTGTCACATGTCATTGTCATACTGGAGGGGTGACGTGTGTGTCACATGTCATTGTCATACTGGAGGAGTGATGTTTGTGTCACATGTCATTGTCATACTGGCGGGGTGACGTTTGTGTCACATGTCATTGTCATACTGGAGAAGTGACGTTTGTGTCTCATATCATTGTCATACTAGAGGAGTGACTTTTGTGTCACATGTCATTGTCATACTGGAGGAGAGACGTTTGTGACACATGTCATTGTCATTCTAGAGGAGTGACATTTGTGTCACATGTCATTGTCATACTAGAGGAGTGACATTTGTGTCACATATCATTGTCATACTAGAGGAGTGACGGTTGTGTCACATGTCATTGTCATTCTAGAGGAGTGGCATTTGTGTCACATGTCATTGTCATACTAGAGGAGTGACGTTTGAGTCACATGTCATTGTCATACTAGAGGAGTGACGTTTGTGTCACATGGCATTGTCATACTAGAGGAGTGACGTTTGTGTCACATATCATTGTCATACTAGAGGAGTGACGTTTGTGTCACATGTCAATGTCATACTGGAGGAGTGACGTTTGTGTCACATGACATTGTCATACTGGAGGAGTGACGTTTGTGTCACATGTCATTGTCCTACTGGAGGAGTGACGTTTGTCTCACATATCATTGTCATACTGGAGGATACTAGAGGAGTGACGTTTGTGTCACATGTCAATGTCATACTGGAGGAGTGACGTTTGTGTCACATGACATTGTCATACTGGAGGAGTGACGTTTGTGTCACCTGTCATTGTCATTCTAGAGGAGTGACATTTGTGTCACATGTCATTGTCATACTAGAGGAGTGACGTTTGTGGCACATGTCATTGTCATACTGGAGGAGTGACGTTTATGTCACATGTCATTGTCATACTGGAGGAGTGACGTTTGTGTCACATGTCATTGTCATACTAGAGAAATGACATTGGTGAAACAGGAAGACAACTCATATGTCAGGCACACATGTTGGTTCTAATTCATAGTAGTAACTAATGAATAGTATGCACTCTTTTCATGTGTGTAGAGGCAATATAGAAATATTTTCCCTAAAGTGTTAAGGCAACCGTAAGTATACTATTGCTTGGTTGAAGTGAAGTAGGTAAAAAAATAAAGGAATAGCCAATTACTTTATAATACATGTATATCTTAAAGAACAAACAAACAAACAAATAAACAACTATCAAGTAATAAAATTAGATATGCTATCATTAATTACCTTTTACATAATTTTGATTTTCTTGAATATCAGAAGTCAACTAAATCTTATTTTTTTCATTTGAATTCTCTTGAAAGTGTTGTGTATATCTAGATTCAATTTTTTTTTCATCCTTTGTAAGCACCGGAGTTAATTGCGTGTAATCAAACTCTTCTCATATATCTTTACATTTACCAATACCAGACACAGACTAGAGTTGCATCCGTGGAGTCAAGTCTAGCCTCCGCCATTGACAGTCGTGACAAACTTCAGATGAGCAGCAGGATGATGGAGAGAACACTTGAGGAGACAAAAGAGCGCCTTCAGGAGGAGACAACTTGTCGCAAAGTAGCAGAGCAGAGGGCTGAATCTCTACAGTCCCAACTACACGAGTCAAGGAAGGATAAGGTAGGATATGTTCTCTCAGACTCAGTTCATATACACCTGCCAATAGATGACAATACTGTGACTGCAGCTAGTCCCACAGTTCAGACTAAAAAACTGAGATTTGGTGTTTTGAGAATCATCAGACTTGCATGTGGTAAAATTGGAAGACTGTAAAATTTTACAATAACAAAAATAAATGTACATAAGGTATTTTGAAGCAAGTTCTAATCTTAATAAAGAACCCTGCCTTAGTTTCGACAGCTGACCTGATGGATACATAGTTTAATGTACGGTAAATCTGAAAACAAAATTTGAAAATGAAGCCAAATCCTTCAATCTGACAAAGTTTACACCTTCCAAATTGAAGATGTAGTTTTAAATTATTATCTTTTTGTCAGTGTGATTTTGTGGAGATTGAAAAAGTTAACAAGGATTGAATGGCATTTTTTTCATTTTCTAGCAGGCTTCATGGAATATGTATATAACTGAGTTGCATTCATACCGGTATGAACATTGAATAATGGTCTTTCAATCATTCGTTTACCTAAATATAGATATTCCCTTATTTTCGATATTGAAGTGTCTGTGTCCTCCGTGCAAATGAGATTTATGGAACAGCCTGACGTTACCAACTTCTTTGCTTCATGTTGTCTCATGTTATTTAGGGCAGGAGGAGAAGCTTAAAATGATGCTGATCAAGTTGCTTTCATGGCAATTTCTTGTGGTAATGCTTATAGAGGAATTTGGAGTGGAAATGTAAATATTAATAACTTTTATAAATTTCCACATAACAAAGCAAATAACATTAATTTGAAAATAAATTAACAAATGATAAACACTATGTAAACACCTGGATATCAGCACCTGTAAAACAATATTGATTGTGTGTTTTAGTATTTATCTGAAGAAAAACTGAACCAGATGACCACAACTCTGACCAAGTCAGAACAGATGGTGAAAACAGAGAAGGACCGGGCCAAACGTCTGGCAGAACAGCAACAGGAATTGGAGGCTACAGTTTACACACAAGATTCTTCAGCAAAGTCCAAGCAGGAACAGATTGACCTTCTTCAGGTATAAACTTACAAAATATATGTCAATGTTAAAATTAATGAATTACATGTACAGCACTTGAATAAAACGACTCATATAGATAATTACTGATAAGATATTGTAGAATTTCTCTTATACAAGTAAGACCAGTTAACAGAGAATACCAGGAGGTGAAACATGTAGACTTAACACAGATAGCCATCAAAGTTTCTTGCTATTATTGTACATCAGGAAAAATTCAGCCTAGGTAAAACTGCCTAACATGACATATAAACACAGATAAATCATCTAAATCTTAGGCCACCCTTGTAAAACATCTACAGTTTAGGTAAAACTGCTAAACATTACATTTTTATTCCCATACCAGAGTCTCCATGGGCTTTAACTCCAGACTTGAGACATTTCGAGAGGTTAAGTCCTTACTTGCCAACCCTCCCTATTTTGGACACTTAAATTTAGCATTTTAAACCATGGAATTTGCTAAAATATTCCTATATCCTAAGATCTAATTATTTAATCTGAAAGAACAAATCAAAGTATAACATTTAAAGGCATATTTTGTCTCTAGGGGGTATATACACACGTTTTATTTAGGTTTTAATTTTGAGAGTGGAGAAACTCCCACATGGAAATTTCTAAAAGTTGGCAAGTATGAAAGTCTATTAGTGTGAAAAAACAAAACATATAAAAAATAAATAAAAAAATGGTGCCATATCCCTTAATCTGAAAAAAATCACACTATCAAAATTGAATATGTAAGTTAAAAATTGTTATTTTTTCCTCATGATTTTGTCAGTTTTGACAGAGAGATGTGTATTAACCACACATCTATCTCAAAATGTTGAAACCCTGGTGTTAGGGCCAGAAGTAAATTGGCAAAGGATATGAGTAGTCCTAAGGATATATCCTAATCACTAGCTACATTGATACCTAAACATAAATTCATGTGGATACCTTCTCGATGGGTTTCACTCAACATCGTATAACATGTCAAGTTTTGTTTTGTATCTGTTATTTTTTTTCAATTTCCATGCACAAAGATAAATTGATTTAAGATTTTGATGATATTTATTGTCACAAAGTGTTTGAAATTGAGGATGTGTGTGATTGTGTTTCTCACTATAGGAGTTTGAGATTGATGAGGAGATCATACAGCAGACTCTCACAATGGTACACTACAGCATCTGTGTGATATTTTGATAGATATCTGTCTCGCAGCATAGATAACATGCATTGAATACTGCGGTCTCTAAAAGCATCAGATTCCTCTGTTTTGCCTAGCCTTGCTTCTTTTTTTGCATTTGTTATTTGTTTGCTGCAAAACAGTTCTTATGAGATGTGATCATTACTCAAACCACAACATAATGTACCCCAATACAGAGTAAAGGGAGATAACCGCATCATTTCTCCTAGGATCTAAGAATCTATGTTTAATGAAAACAATAAGTATTGATCTTTTAAACATAAACCTTCAAGTTTATATTGTTAATTTGTTGTATCTTACCAACTTTCTATAATTGTATCTTTAATATATATATATATATATCACAAAATATATGTCAACTGTACTAATTGTATCATATACATTACACAAATATATTAACAGGTCATATAACTTGTATCTTCTATAAATAACAAAACCTTTCAACAACATATAGAAGCTCATAACAAAACACTTAGTAATCCTTCAGAGCTAATTACATATTTATTATCCCCCGCATTCATGGAACAGGGGATATTAATTTGGGTCTGTCTGGGTGTCACGCTTCGTTTCCGTGCAATAAGTACAACAAATATTAAATGATTTTCTTCAAACTTTGTCACAGGGTTAAATGCCCTAAGGGCTCTGCTAAGTTCGATGGCCACTTTCAGCGGACCCGATTTGGCGGAGTTAAGGCCCCTTGAACGAAAAACGTCATTATCTGCAGCGCTTTTTTTTCTGTGCAATAACTTCAACAAATGTTAACCGATTCCTTCAAATTTGGTACCAGGGTTAAATGTCTTAAGAGCTCAACCAAGTTCGATGACCACTTTCAGCGGACCCCATTTGGCGGAGTGATGGCCCCTTGAATAACAAACAAATGTTATTATCTTCCGTTTCTGTTCATTAACTCTTGCAAATAGTATCTGATTGTCTTCAAACTTAGCAACAGGGTTCAATACATTAAGGGCTCGGCCCAGTTTGACAACCACTTTAATCAGACTCCATTTTGCAGAGTCATTATCTGCAGTTTCCTCTTAAAAACTCTACCAAATATTAGATAAGGCTTTAATTTCTTAGAGTTTCAAGCTATACATTATGTCTCAACAGCACAATACTCACATGTTGAAACCTAACCTCAATAATGTTTACCTACAATATGTCCTGAAAGCGGTGGATATAAGTTTTTGGAGATATTATAGGAATAATATACCTAGCTTGATGTAATCCTTGACATTGTGAACTTTAACCCAGCCTCTTGGCCTCTATTAACACCAATCATAGCGCATGTAGTTTGATAACATAACATACACGTTTTTAATGGTGTATATATGTATAACATAATGCTTTCCTATGCCAAAAGAAATGCTTTGTATCAAAGAATTAAATTCTCGGTTTTACTGGGTTCTTTTTCCAAGAGAATTTTTACTAATACAAGCTGATGTGAATGCTTTCTTTATAAATCTGACTTGATAATTTGTGATTAAGATAATACTGAATGACTAACCCTGCTCACATGTAATATAGATGTCCTGTGATGTTTCCAGTTTAATATATACCTGTTTTCTTCTGTCATGTAATCAACTTACTGCTTTCAAAGCAAATGAATAAAATGTCAAGTTTGTAATAATAGTTACTGTAAATCAATAAATAATGCATTTTAAGCTGTTTGCAGAAACATGGCATCAGTGAATGGAATTTTGTGTAATGATTACACCTAGGCAAAAATGTTTGAGGCAAATTTGACCTGAAATTAATCTGAAATTGACATCAAGAAATTTTGCCTGTGTATGCTGTGTACATTTGTGTTGAATGACTAGTCAAAACAACAAACTAAAAAACTGGGCTTGCCGTTGCAGATACAAGTCCAAATGAGAGAATTTTGATTTATAAGTGATAATTTTTCTTCACTTTTTTATTTGAATTTTGTGAAGGAATTGATATGTAGAAATGTAAATGAAGCTGACAGCAAAAATTGAACTGATTCAGAATAGTTTTGTGTAATTTACAACAAGAAAGATGTCAGGCTCAGCCATTTTGAAAAATCATTATATAGCCAATATAAATCTCTAAGCAGACATTCTCAATAACATGTTTTTTACTGGTGATAGATATCTCAGTTTCTAATCCTGATAATAAAGTTGTAATATCATATTATCCCCTCGTCAACTGTTATTTTGTTTAGTTCCCTCAGTGTTGAATTAAACATCTACTTTTTACAGACCGAGATCAGTAAGCTTCGACATATACTGGAGAGTCAGAAACAACAGCTCAATGCCAAACTCAAGAAAACAACAACAGAACTGAAACAACAGATGTGAGTACCAAATATGGAACAAGCCATTGTGTATATATACAGGTCTATCTTCTGGTATTGAGGTTTACTTCTGTTTAAAACAGAAAATGAAGTTGAGACTTAAGAGCTTTTTCGAAAATTTCATTTCATTTTTGTCACCTTACAATGCAACACTAAAGTCAGCCTACCTTTTTTATGCAGTACTGTTAGCTGTGCATAGACTATATGTAGGTATCCTTGACTGACCCATATCCACCCGTACACCCCATATATCTGCTTGCAAACACAGTCTACCAAGCACATATGTAAAGTTTGATTGGATTTTTTTCAAAATTTGACTAACATTTCATTTAGATGACAAAATTCTCTCGTGAGAATTAAATCTGAAAGTATTTCTGAAATCTTGCTGTGAAAATGAAATCTATGAATCCTTACTTACTTTTCATTGAGTTAATAAGGTTGATAAAATGTGGAATCTGAAAATCCTTCAGTGAATGTGGAACCTTCACTAGTTAGGTTTTTGAACTGTTTGTTAGTAGATTATATAGCACATGTAACATGTTTGCTATTTTGATCTGTTAGTGAGATAATCGAGGAGGACCGTATCCGCATTATGCAGCAGAGCCAGTTGTTGTCTGCCGAAGTGGAGAAGGCCAGGGACCAACTTGCCATGAAAAACAAAGAAAACCTACGGGTAACATCTTCTGTCATTCAAATGAATCTTTGGATACCTATAACTTTTAACAAAAGGTTGTAGTTGTCATGATATTATTAGTTATCTCTGGGTTAGGAGGGGTCTACAGGCTCATAGACCCCATCTGGTCTTTATAGACCCCGAGCCAAATTAGAAGGGTGACAAAATGCTGTAGGAAACTTAATAGATTTTTTGAACCCTGTCAATTTCCTGAACTTAATAAATTTTGATTCATTGATTTTGATTACCACATTTTAAGTCTCCTTTTAAATGGCAAATTTAAAAAATAACTGGAGATGACTGTGGTGAATATTGGGTAAATACACCATCCGACACAGCATGATATCATATATGACAGTACAGAACTATAATACCAATATTTTTGAAGAAATTGGTATTCTTCAAAAGGCTTCATTGTTATATTCCTTGAAACCAACAGCTGCAAGAGAAAATCCTAGGTCAGGAGGACGAGCTCAGGGAACACACACTCCGACTTCGTCGTGCAGAGGACGCTCGTAAAGCTGAGGAGGAGCTTCAATCAAAACTCTCTTCCAAGTAAGGATTCTGTTCCATCATGCTGTGTAAATTTGAGTTTATCAGGTCCAACCAATGCAGTATATGTATAGGATTACATGATGCATTTACTGATGCAATATAAGGAGGTTTTATTGCATTAATTTTCACGTAATTGACAGTGTGACAACACAGTCACTTTTAAGAGTGATAAACTGTTAAGAAGTTATATTTGACAGAGAAATATGTAATACATTGTATGGGAATATTATCTATTACAGTAAATATTATCTATTACAGTATATATTATCTATTACAGTATATTTGGATGTTGTTGTTATTCTGTTATAAATCATGAACTGATCTCAATGTCTAAAGGGTCTATTTACTATTGTCTTTTGCTACTGTAGATTTACTGCCCAGGAAGAGGAGCTGAAGAGAATGAAAGTTTACTTGTCGAAGAAAGCAGAAGAAGCAGGAGACAATGAAAAGTCTATGTGGTAGGTTGTCCAAAACTTTCCCTTTGAGGATCTGAAATAACAAACCAACCATTGTAGTATTAAGAACTGATTATTACAACTATAAATGTGATTTCTTATATCTTTCAAAATTGTGTTTGAAATAAATTTTCAAGTTTTGTTCATGTTTGTTTCAGGATGGACCTGAACCGTTTGATACAAGACATGAACCGCCAGCTCCATGAACACATGGAGTCCCAGAAATCTGGTGGACAGGACTCGAAGGACCGAGATGTGAAGCAGCTAAGCAAGTACAAGAAACGTGTCATAGATCTCGAGTCGGAGTTGAGTACGGAGAAGGCCATTCACCAGATAACGAAATCCTCACTTCAGGCACTTGAGGAAGACAACCAGAGATTACGACATCAGTATCACGCCATGCGGCGCAGAGACAATGTTACATCAGACAAGTAGGTCCTCTTTTAGTTATAAGTGTTGTATGCTAAATACCATTACCAATTACCTCACACTCATGCCACCGTCTCATGAACCTATCCCATCACATACCCCCACCCTCTCATATCTGGGAGCCTGCAGGTTTATTTTGAAAAGTTTCAATAGCCTGACTTATACCGGTATTTTCACAGTAAATATTGAAAATACTAGCCTTGGACATCAAGCTCATGGAATTGTACACCCATGCCCCCTCACATTTTCCCTCATACCCTAGACCTCACATACCCCCATGCCCTAACTGTCACCCAACATCTACTATATCCCATACCCTTACCCCCCTGACAAACCCCACCATACCACTTACCCGGGGCCCTCTGCCTCACATTCCCCACCCCCTCACATAACACCACACCTCACAATCACACCCTTCTCACACACCTATCCCCTCACATACCCCCCATTCCCTCAGAGTTTTGGTAATAGTCCAAGGCATGTTTTAATAAGATTCATGTTAAAATCAAATTGTGGAGTCCACAAAAGACCTTTGAGATCAATATCATTTGAAATGTACATAATTTGTCATCCCCATTTAAAGGGCTTATTCAAGTGCTTTCACCATTTAAAGGGCTTATTCAATTAAGTTTCCTGAGGTCATATTAATAATAAGGTTTGAATTTATGCTGGATAAATCATTAGAAAATTTGTTTTGTTACCACAGGAAATACAAATCAAGGATGGAGGCAATTAATGAGATCATTGCTAAGTCACAGACACAAGCGCAGGCAATGTTAGCAGCCAGCGGTTACTATGACGACCCGCAGAAGAGTCTACACTCGCCAAGGACAGACTACAGGGGTTCTCCCGACAATTCTCTGGCCAGTGACCTGTCCTTCAGCAGCACTGGGCCAATGGTCATCCCTCCTTACACGGGCTCTTCCCCTACCAAGGTCAAAGCAGGAACTCTGTCTCCACGGAAATAGTCTCCATGACAACAGTGAACTATACAACAACAAACAACATATACTTCTCTATCACCGGGTGTTATTGATTAGGACATCTATCTTCATTGAGATGCTGTGTAGGAAGTGAGGGAATATACCAAGTACAAGTTAGTGTATGTGATCCGAGTTAGAGACCGGATGTCTCATCTGATAAATATGCAATGATTTTGCTGTGATGCAGATTACATGACAGAAACACAAAATACATCGATGAAAAATGCCAAATATCAGAGAATATATTTTATAAAGTGACAAAGGTAAGTTTCATACATAGTGATGCAATATCTCTTACATTCATTCAAATTGACTTTTCACATCCGCGATATGGATGATTCCAGGGTTGTGATGAAAGAAAGGTCTGTCAGCCATTATTTTATACAGTGCACTTGCTATCTGAGTATTTTGAAGTATGTATGACATTGGATAGGCACGAATGGGTTGTTATACAATGAACAAGGAGATGCTTGCTGTATGTATGAATACTACGCGAACTCTGGGATACTTAATTAACTAATACACTATGCATCTGTGTTGTATCACAGAAATGTCAAAATCAATAGAATTCCTTGAGATACCATATTAATTCTAAAATAAGTCTGGATTCTTCCTTCCTATTTTTTCATATCAATACAGAAATTGTTCTTCATATTTTGCAAGACATTCTCTCTTTGACTTCCTTTGCCATTTTTCTTGATCAGCAGTCAAAGTGAAAATTCATTGACAATTTACTGCTTATTTTTTGAGAAACTTTCTCTGCAGAATTTTTCATATAGGTATATATTATTATATCATCTTCTACATAAATTTGATGTTCTCAAGAAAGGCCAGTGTATAATTAGAATTAATTGGATATTTTCAATCTCACAAAAAAGTATTAGTATATTATAAACCTAGTATTATATTCATTTTCCGTCACTGTCAGATTTGGCACTTAAACACTTTCCCCTGTGATGTCATTTTTTAATATCCATTTATTGTTCATATACCATTTTTGCTCTTCGTGACATGGTTTTGTTCGTGCATGAATTTAGCACTGCTAGAGCTCATTAAACATACTTTTATAAAAGTTTTATAATATACATTTTAGTATATGTTGTACACAAAATATATTTAAAAGAGATATACATATTCAGCATTTTCATTTTTAGTCTATGTTATACATCTTTCCTTCGCTGCTTTACATTCCAGCTTAGTTGAACGTCCCGTGATTCCATTACCTGTACATATTATCAAACATTCCATTATCCATTCTAATTAATTTTACATCATTCATAAGTAAACTCAACAATTAAATAAATATTTAGTGTAGATATTAAAAGTAATTTAAAAAACATAGTATGTATTGTTTAATTTATTGGTAAGAAAACGTTACTCAGAGGAATTATTAATCCTGTATTTTGGTGTACTATCACAAATCACATTATTGGATTACTTCCCTTTTTGTATTTTTTCAATGATTTATATATTGGATATTATTCAAATAATTTGATAATGTTTGAAAGTTTGAAAACCAAAATTCCATTCACATAACAATTTTCAATGAAAATATCATATTTATCGTAGTGAAAATGAAGAGATGGCAGATAAATGCCAATTCATTATTTTTCTGTCAGTATTCCTTTTAAACGAAACCAAATTCTGGCATCAGAGAAGCATTTTGAGAAGGGAAGTTATCCGGTAGAACTTTTTATTTATTCCTCAGTATTAAATATATATTTCCGTCCATAATGTGATAAATCAACAAGTATATTTTACTTGACATCAGCTTTCTGTTAATTATTTAAATATTTATGCCTATTAATTTTACTATTAATTTTACTATTATGTTTTGACTAATACATTGTTACACATTTAAATTAGAGGATTTAAAAATGTTATCAGTCACATTTTTCTGTTCATGGTTCAGCAGAAAGAGTTGCTAGCGTCCTTGAATACCTTGAAGCTACAACTGTATTCATTTTCAAGTGTTCAGACTTTTACAAAGATCTTTTCATTTAAATTTTTGAAACTGTAACATTGATGCCAATATTTTATGGTATGACATCAGTGATAAAATAAGTAGACCTTTATTTTAATTAAAAAAGAGGCTAGCTACTAAAACCTCACTATGTTTTACACATTGAAAGTTTAATAGTGATATCGTGGGAAATATCAGAAGAAAATGATAGATTTTTTAAGTTGACCCATTTGTTAACTTACCATATGCGGTATAGTTAAATTGATCAACAAAGTTGTGGATCTAATGTCTCAAATATTAAAAGCCAGTATACTGCACTCTGAATTGGTGATGCTGTGATGTTGGTTTCATATGGTTCTGAAATGAGTCGCATCATCAGTTTTCATCAAAAGTTGAACACAGGATTCATATTCAAATACCTGTTGGTGTCTCTTTTTGTTTTTGTTTGTGGTTACAATCTTGTGGGGCAATAATATCCTTTAGAAATGCGTTTGAGATTGTTGGATGTCTTAAACAAGGCCAATCTTTTTGGGGGCCATGTTTTAATCTAGTTAGAATTGAGATTGTAGCTTTGGATAAGTGACATCAGATAATTTTATAGATGGTCAGTTAAGTTAATTCTAAGACAGATTTTTAGACAAGTTAGAAACAATTTATAAGCTAGTCTAATATTTGTCTGTAGTAATATTGAAATAGGAAAGAAATAGACTTGAAAATTTGCAATAATGCATGTGTTCATAGGGTTTTACTTCACAATAAAAATAAGAACTTGTCTCCAGAGTATGAATGACTTTTGTCATGTTGAGTAGCAATAATTATTGGTTTTGTGCGTATCAAAATTTGTCATTGTCAAATCCGTCCGCTATCTTGTAGGGTATTTGTGCAAAACAGGTCTACTCAGTTATTTTAAATTGTCTTGTTATGAAAATGTGTTGTGTTCATACGGTCTTTTATTTCGAGACACTAATACAAGGTTCACAAAGCTTCAGTGGGTCGTGTTTTACATAGAATATTCATCAAAACTGTATTGTTAATGTTTCATTCACATCTTTTTTCAAGCTTTTATAAATTTTATTAATCAGTATATTAACGTTACTCATACCAGAATTAAATTGTGGCTTTATTTGGTAATGTGCTTGACTGGAATGATTCTGCTTGAAGAGAAAAAATAAGTGTAAATCATTTTTTTATATTTTTTATTTTTAATATTATTTTGATATTCTAAGACTAAACTTGCCAGAAACGGTTGTCTTCCGATGCATTTGCTTCAAAATCAAAATGTTTCAGATTACAATCGCAAAAAATGCACAATTATTTTCAAAGAATGCACATATCTAAATGATGCACATAAAGTGATATTATTTCAAATCCTTAAGATGAGATACAGTTATTAACAATGTCCCTGCACAATATGCACATTCAAGTAAATGTCTAATTTTGTAGCATAATTTTATTTTTAGTCAAGACAACAAACTAATCATTTTGAGTACTGGGTGAATTAATTTCAAACTAGGCCAACTGATTTGAGATTTAGGGTACTTGGTGGATTGATATCCAACTTAACCTACTGATTACAGTGTTGTCTACACAGTTAATACATTTTACACTGCTATGTTAATTATACAGATATACAATAAAGTATACATGGTAACTGGAACAGTGTGTTGTTGTTGTTGTTGTTGTTGATGTTGTTCCCAGGGTATAGGTACCATACAACAGGTGCTGTCCAATGATGTTCATAAATGTATAATTATGGAAACAGGAGGCCCATGGAAACTATCACTCACCTGGTAATTCATGTAACATATTATAAATTAAGGACATTTTAATTTTGCTGATTAGAGTATGGTGAACATGAATTATAATCAGATTTAGATTCCAATTGTGGTTTTAATCAACAGCAATATACAGGCTAAATTGCATGGTTCTAGGTTGCATGCTCATTAGAAAGGCAGTATTTCAAGTTTTACAAGATAAAAAACCGTCATTGGACATGGAAGTATCTAACTCGATACTTGCACTTAACATCAGCAAATTACAGGCATAACAGTATCACCGCCTATTTTGTGTCATCCATTGTGCATAAAAATTATATAATTTTGTCTCCTCTGCTGTGAAATTTTGATGAAACAGGGGTAATCACCAGTTGGTGATAGAGATCAGAATCTATACTCATGTAGATGGTAGATTTAGACAAACAGTTTGTGAAACAATCCAGAGATGATCAGGTATCGTAATCTATACTTAAAAAGGTGCTGGTCCCATTGAGATTTTGGGGAACAGGGCCACTAGGGGATGGGGGGGTTACTGCACGATTTCTCACCTAGACAGCCCCCCGGGTGAGAAATCGTGCAAAACATATGGGCATGGGTAACACGTTTTCTCACCCCAACTCTCAATTGGGGATGGGTTTTGTCAGTGGTGTCTTAAAACGTGCCCAAGTGTACATGTAATAGATGAGCTGACATGATTTCAAATGAGTAGTAGTTCAATGTACAATATCTATCAATCTATTTATTCATATATTATTATATAATTTATTGCTTTTTACCGAAAGTCGATCTAAACTCCTAAAACATATAAAAATTATGCTATGACTATTGGACTAAATTTTCAAAGGTTTGTCCATATACATAAATGCATTTCTGGTCTTTATAGCTTATATACAAGTGTTTTTAGGTCACCTGAGCTTTAGCTCAAGTGACCTATTGCTATCCGTTTTCGTCCGTCGTCGTCCGTCGTCCGTTAACATTTTACATTTCAAACTTAAAGTCAAGTTCTGCTGGGCCGATTGAACTGAAAG